TTGTTTTCATCCTTTCCCTTCTCTCTACAAGGCCTTAGTTTGATTCAGTAGGCAGTAAAATAAACTATGCATATAACTAGACTTATCATTCAGTAGCACATATACATTTCCCATGCTGGTGTGATGTTTACCCAAAGAAACAAGATATAGCTTTTTGAATGTGTATACTACAGAAATATTTTTGTAACATGGAAATTAAACTCTAGATAAAAAGCAAAAAGACTTTCACCAGTTCAAAGCTAGTGTCATGAAGAAACTTCATGGCTTTAAGAACAATATTAAAATCTGATGATGTAATGCCTTGATTGACATTATCAAATATGCAGACATGAAACACGTAACTATGGGAGAAATATCCTTCATTACCATCAGCAAACAGAACTTGATAAATCTGCAAGTGAATGAATACCTCACCTGTACACAGAGAAATGTCAGTTGGACATTTTAACTCTTCCTTTAGATAGATCCTCCTCTAAATGTAAGTCAAGTTAGAATCCTGATACTTTTCTGCCTCCTCTTGCACATTTCAGTGTTGGACCTTCTGTGGTTTAAATAATTGTCTGACTAAACTCCCTGATGTTGCAACTGGTGCACTTTTGTCATTCATTCTCAGTGTTGGAGGTAGATTCTAAGCTTTAGAGTATTTGGACTGCTAGCAAGCAAGCGAAAACTCAATTATACTTAGGTTACTTTAAAATAAGCTTAACTTGACCTCAAACCTGCTGAGCAGCGTTGAATTTTTAGCATTATAAACTAGCTCTCCCCCTTTCCCCCTCTTAGCACATTCAGACCTGAACATTACATTTCATCCGTTGGTATTTTCTAGGTCACAATATGTTTATTATAAGTGAGTGCCTGTGTCATTATAAATTCAGAGCATTGAGCAGAAATTATTCTGGAACAAAAGAATAAAATGCATTTCCCAATAAAGGGAATCAATCAACAGTAGAGCTTTGAAGTTTAAAGGCTAGCAATTCTAACCTTTCTGCTGCATCGTGTGTGTGTGTTTTCCTCACCTATTAACATTCAGTTGGGGGAGAAGTAAGCTTTTAATACCTAGCTCAGTTGGCTATACATTTTAAAAGAAGAGGTTATACAAAGTGAGGAAACTTTTACATGGTTAGCTCACTACTTGACAAAATTGACACATGAGTAGTTTTAAAAAATTACTAGTTTGTATACCCCTCCTTAATGTAACAAGCTTCCTTATCAAGTAGTGGTGCTGTAATAAACCATACTTGGCAAACACATCTGAAGCAGTAACTGTGTTCTAGGTTCCACATGTAGGCTTACCTTACTAGTTAGAACTGGAGTTTTTATGTAACTGAAGGGGAAACCTTTGGCTTCATGTGGGGAGAATACTCTCCTAAAACATTTTCCATGTGATAATGTACTCCATGCAACAAATATAAATGGCTTCTCTTAGAGAAGGGGGCTTGAGTAGCCAAACACAGCTACTTGATAACTGGTGCCAACTGCTTTTGGTTTTGCTATTTAGGGAGATGTGTTCTACTGACGTGGCGTAAATGATTTTATCTTTTCCTCCTCTCTCAAACCGAATCTGAACACAATATTTGAATTAACTTTTTTGTAATAATCTCAGGACCTGAAAGATTGTAGCATAGTGTGTCTTAAATGATGTACTGTACCAGCCATGAATTTTGTAAATACCCCTATCGCCCTCCTTTTTGTATTTTTGTTCTTTTTTTAAGTATGTAAGGCTCCTCACCAGAACTGGTGCTTGCTTACTATCCATCTAAAACTGGAGTAGGAAAAAGGGAAAACTGCTGTCACAATTGCCTGCCCCAGTTCTAAGTGTACGTTAAGGTTTGCTCAATTTTTAAAATGCTATTTATCTGGGAAACAAATACTTTTACTCCTAGCACACTATATCATGGTTTGGACCTGAACAATAACATATTGAATAACATATATTTGTTCCAGAACCAAATTGCTTGATGTCAGAAGCAAGCAATTTTCTTCATGGCATGCCTGCCTCTGAAGTCCAGGAATTCCCAGTTTTCACACTTCCAAACAGGGTGCAGATTTTTATTTTTTTGCAACAGACTTCCTCTAAGAATGCATCTGTAGTTAGCTAGCAGATATCTGATCTGAAGTGGGAGCCTTGTTCAATTGAGTGTAGGTGTTCCTGTTCTTAACTATGGCAGGGCCTTCATGAGTGTTTTTTTCCCCTTTTGTATGTGTCATGTGTCTGTGCTGTATTAAATAAAGAGGAATGTACATATAAGCCCATCCGTCTTCTGCTATTTATTTATGTATTTGAAGCCATTAAAACAAGCAGTGTTGCTATCAAATAATGCATTTTTTAAACCCAACAAAACTAACAGTATAGGGAGGACAATACTGATTCAAAGTACAATGAAAATACAAAATATCAAAGCAAAAACTAATATACCTGATCCCCAAATGATCACAAAAAAGATATTTACAGTAGCAAGAAGAGGGTTGTGTGTTGTCAAGACTACATGTGAAGAAAAATCCTCAGTCTAGGTCCAGTTGTCAAAAATGCGCTCTCGTGACAGTGGCATGTGAAGCAACACCTTGGCTAAGAATGCAAGAGAGCAGGTAGATTCAGCTAGAAGCTAGCCTGGACCCAGGCAGGTTAGGGTCTAAAGCACTGAACCCTAGGGCTTGCCGATCGGAAGGTTGGCGGTTTGAATCCCCGTGACAGGGTGAGCTCCTGTTGTTCGGTCCCAGCTCCTGTCAACCTAGCAGTTCGGAAGCACATCAAAGTGCAAGTAGATAAATAGTGATCCCTCTTGCTGTTCCGGCTACTGAGATTCAGAAATTTTTTTTCTTGTTTTCCTCCTCCAAAAACTAGGTGCGTCTTGTGGTCTGGTGCGTCTTATAGAGCGAAAAATACGGTAAGTACTTAACCAGAGGTACCACTGTACTGTACTTCAATTGTGCAGAAGTAATTGTACACAGAAACACTGTTAGAGCTTTTTCATATACAGTACAACCAGTTCCGATAGAACTGATAAACTGGTGATATTTATTGTAGAGCTGCCATACAGTATTTACTCAGGTGACAGGATTGTTGTGAACTGGAAATAATATGTAAAGCGTCCCTTAATAAACCGTGGAATAGTTTTTAAAAAGCCGCCTTGTAGGCAAATTTGGAAGCTGGAGGAATTATTAGCAGAACTATGCTAATGAAAAAAGGGATGCATGATATTTTGCAAGCATTTTAAAACAGTGGTGCATTTTACAAGGATGGTAGGTGAGCAAATAACTAGGAAAGAAAACCAATGTGTTTCTAAAGCTCTGTTAAGTTTATCTTGGAAGAAAAATGCTGTGGTGGCTTACCTCTGAATAAACATGCAAAGGCTGTTACAGTATATGCATATTCCTTGTAAATATGTTTATGTATGAACGAAACAAACAAACGCATAAGCCTTAGTGTTTAACACCCTTGCTCTTCCCGGTCTTCATTCTGCGTTCAGCAAGAGGCGAATGGCCTTTATCTTAAACCAAACCACCCACTCCGCTTTCTGCCTTAAAAGCCAGTTATGGAGACAAGCACCTCCTATTAACGAAGAAGGGTTTTTGAGTGAAGAGAGCAGAGTTACTTCAAACTTCAAAGCACTGCCGCAAAAGAAAGCCTGTAGCCTTGCCCTACTTTTTTATTTTTCTCGCACTGATTCCTTTATATTTCCAGCACTCTTACCCCGAAAGGCAAGAGAAGGCGTGTGGGGCGGAGTTCCTTCGCAATGCAGAGACCCTCACTTAGCTCTATGGGCGCCTTCGTGTGTCTAGAAATATGTGGGGCAACGTCTGGCATGCAAACGTCACAGTGTTGCCGGATGAGCAACCTGCGACGTATATGGAAGGGGTGGGACCTAGCTACGAAAAATGCGAGGTTAGGTACAATAACAGGATTGGAAGACCTAAAACTGTGCTAGCCCCAGTGGCCTAATGGATAAGGCATTGGCCTCCTAAGCCAGGGATTGTGGGTTCGAGTCCCATCTGGGGTGAAGTTTTTTCCACGCTTCCTCCCTCTGTTATTCAGTTTACATTTTGATGCTATTGAAGAATTACGCTTCCTCTCAGCGCGATGGTCGGAGTAAGGCGCGAACGGTATTAACTACAGTTATACTAACGGTAACGTGAGCGACACAGAGTAGTAATATTCTGCTGACTCTCTCATACTACTTATGAGTATCTTTGGCACTGTGCGTAGCTTTCGTGAGGCGTGTTCATTTCACACAGCCTTTCCACAGTAAAACTCTTTAACCATTTCACAGCCCTCGTCTTCAGCACACGGAGGCTTAGCACATTTATGGCATAAAATGTGGTGGACCCCAGCCCGCTTCATAAAAGGAGGTTTACGCCACGAATGTGCAGCTAAGCCTTTATGTCGCCTTTGAGCACTTTCTGGGACCCACCAGGGCTGACCACTATTGGGAGTCTATTGGCAGGCAAGGCTGGCGGTGGAAGAGCCTGGCTGTCAGGGCACCTCTGAAAGCTGAGGTAACGCAAAGGGAAGCCTTCTGTGCTGGGAGAACCAGCGGTCCTCAGGCCGTTGTGGAACTGCAATTCCCGCCGTGCCTGGCCGGAGATTTCAGGCATGGGTGTAGCGGGGCGCGGGGGCAGCTTCCCCCCAAATCGAGGAAATACATAGAAACACTTAACTGACGAAATGGATCGCAGAGATCTCGGTTCTGCCCCCCTCCCCCCACAGAATTCCTGGCCACGCCCACGCGTTCGGAAGTTTGAGTCCAACAGCCGTTGTTTCCTCGCGCCCTGCCTGCTGAGTTCGCTCCCCCACGTCACGCCTCGGCCCCGAACTTAGGCACGCGGCTGCCGCGGCGCCCACGCAGCTCGCTGAGTTCGGTTGATCTCGGCTCTGTTAGCCGTCCCTGCAGGGCGGGTGAAAGGAGCTGTTCCGCGTTCCCCCGTCGGCTGATCTTATTGGCTGAACCTGGAACGGGCTGCGGCGTTTCATTGGCTGAGAGGAACCGAAGTGTTTGGCCAAGATGGCGGCGCTGGGCTCGCCTCTCCGTACTTTCCGCGGTCTGCTGCGCGAGCTCCGCTATGTGCAAGGCGGCCGCTCCTACCGGGAGACGGAGGCTTACCAATATCTGAAGGAAGCCTTCCGCGCCCACCGGGTACGTTGGTGAGGAGGAGTCGGCACGGCTGTGGGGTCGCTGCGTTAACAGAATGTGTGTCCCGCAATGTCGTTTATAATGTCGACCTTCTAGGTTACGGTAATGCACGCTGCGCGCGGCTGCCGTGGATAACTATAGCGTCTAGCCTCTTCATAAAATTATAAGAGTGCATTTCGCGCCTTAGGGTCTCCGCTATCCTCTCCCTGCGGTTTTATGGGTCCAGTTCAAGTTGTTAATCCAGTACCTCACCCAAACAGCTTTGGTTTATATACCAACCCTCTTTTTGATGTCTGCTCCCAGCTTTTATCAGCTAAGAAAATCATCTTGATATAAAGCAATTTGAGCGAATGAGACCAATAGGGGGTCCAGTGGTAAAGAATGCTGTCTTTGCACATGGTGTAGAGGGAAGTGAGGGGCATATGGGGCTTGTCAACCTGGTAAGAGAGCCCATCTAGGAGAAGGAAAACTCTGATCCTAAACCTCAGTCACCTTGCAACTATCAACATTCGTGAAAAAGGCTTTGGGAGTAAACCCTGAGGAAAAATCAGTACCAACTGCCTTGTGGGACATCTTCAGGAGAAGAAAAGGCTAAGAAGTAAACCCTACATACAGCAATCTGGAGTGGAGTCCCTAAGATGGCTGGATGGTGCCTTGTACGCCTTCTTCCGGCAACTCCTGTAGTCAAGCTGGTGCCAAACATATTGCTCTGCTTTCATTTTGACTACATCAGCGAGGCCGAGAGGCAGGTCTTGTCTGGTCAGCCCAGGACTTATGTACACATTGCTCAGGCTTGTGCCCCGGGAAGGTCACTTTGGTGCTACTAACATAGTGGCACCTTCGGAGGCACACTCCAGTGTCTCTAGAACAGAGGTTTTCAACCTTTTTGAGTCCATGGCTCCCTTGACCAACTACAGGAGTGACACTCCTATGGGGCTCGGGAGCCCAGTTATGTCACCTCTTGCCTGCAGAGCTGGCAGCCTTTCATGCTTTTTCAAAACCCTCCCTTGTGGAGTGTTCTCTCAGCTTCCTGTCCTCTCCCATCTCCTTGGGAGTCCTCTGGGCAGCCGCTGCTGCTACCCCTGGTCTCTTGAGCTGCTCCCCCTTGCTCCAAAAAGAGGTACCTCCTCAAACTGCCCCACAGGGGCCTGGGACTTATCTGTTCATTCCCAACAGCAAGGGCTGGAGGACTGGCTGAGCTCCCTCAACTGCTTGCTTACTCCAAGGCCACATCAGCTCCTGGCAACCAGCACCCCCTGGCCAGCCCAAGGCACCATTCACCTGTGGAGCTTGTAGCCAGGGCTGCAACAAACAGCTGAGCAAGCTTTTGGCAGAGATGCAAGAGGGCATCAGAGGAGGGAGAGAAGAAAAGAGAGACAGAGGCCAGTCTTGCCCATGACACCCCTGAACATCATTCAAGGTACCCCAGGATGCCACGGCACGGCACGGTTGAAAACCACTGCTCTAGAGATAGACAGATGCCAACAATTGTCTATGACTAAGTGTATTAACTGCAATTTCTGAACTTTCTTCAAAAGCAACTCCATATAGATTACTGTTAAATGCAGTGACATCTGGAGGTTACTAGAGATGTGTTAGGCCATCTCTATCTCGGTAGAGTCACAGCTGGCATTCTAGTCTAAACTGATATGCTTGTTTAGCTTGGCCATAATAATCTGATCAAATTAAAATGTATCTAGATCTAGCAAATTTCACAGCTTGAGGGGATTCTAATAAGAATGCATAGATATATATTTATGAGGTTCTTATGTTCACCTACCTCTCTGTCTGCAGGTAACCAGTGAAAAATTATGCAGGGCCCAGCATGACCTACATTTCCAGGCTGCCACCTATCTCTGTCTTCTGCGTAGTGTCCGAGAACACTTAGCATTGCATAAGGAATATCATGGCAAAGGAGAGCGGTCAACAGAGGAAGCAGCTGGTCTTGTAGGCCTTAAACTGCCACAACAGCCTGGAGGGAAAGGATGGGAGCCGTGAATATAACAAGATTTGTTCTTACTTCCTGATAATTCTATATTGAGTTTTATTTTTGAAGACACGTTTGTTCAAATAAAAATGCTTGTATGAAATATAGGACTCTTAACCAGAAATTTGCAGTGCTCTTAAATGTGTTAAAGTACAGTCAAACAACTCTTCTGATACATATATTTGGTTGCTTATTCCATCTTCCCTTTCAGCCTGCCTGCACTGCCATAACGAAGTGTTAACGATACAGACTGCAAAGTGCGTATGATGTAGACTCAGCTGTTTTCCCAGCCAGGATTTTCTTTGATCCGTTGAGTTAAGAAATACTAATTTGGGGTGCAATCCTTTCCACACTTACCTGAGAGTAAGTCCCAGTGAACACAGAACTTACTTCAAAGTAAACATGCACTGTAAATGTGCAGACAAAGCTACCTTGGAAATTGATAATTTAAATAGTTTAAATGTCAACCACCTTGCAACTAACCAATTCAAAATCAGCAGTTAAAAACTAACATCAAGGATATGATAAAGCATCAGTTATAAAAACTACAAACTTACTATTGCTTACTTTTAGAAAGTCTATGTAAGTATGGTAAATTGTATCCGCTAAAAAGATGGTCGTTCGTGCCAAGCAGGCCTCCCTAGAGAGGACATTTTATAGATAAGGTGCCATGCCCAACTGGATCCTTTTTCCTGTCACCACTTGCCAATCCTTTGAAGATGGAGGGGTACAGCAAAGGGGTACTGAAAATAGCTGCAAGGTTCAAGCAGTCTTGTGTGGTAGAATACTGTTTTTCAGGTATCAGGTTCCCTAGCTGCATCTATCTTTATAGGTAATCACCAGCACTTTGAATTGTACCTGGAAATGAAACAGCAGCCAGGCTAGCTATTTAAAAACAGGTGATGTTTGAAGCATATAGTTGCTCCATTTAATAATCTGGCAGAAACATTTTGTAGTAATTGAACATGTCTAGGAAGTCTTCAAAGACAGCTACACACAAAGCACTGCCGCAGTCTGAAGATTGCTTAGATGGTTATTCATGAGCTACTGATCTCTGTCCAGGAGACACTATTGGAAGGCAGTGGCGTAGTGTGGGGGGTGCAGGGGGGGGCCAGCTGCACCAGGCGCAACATCTGGGGGGGCGCGCTCGCACTCGCAGCTCTCTGCCCCTACCTGGCTCACTCACTCTAGGGGGCGCAAATTACTTGCCTTGCCCCGGGTGCTGACAACCCACGCTACACCACTGTTGGAAGGTACTGCATACCATGAGGATCATCTAAGCATCCAGTATTCTGGATTTAGCAGAACCCCTAGCTATGAAACTAATCATACAAACAACACTGTTCAGTACCATTCTGTAACTGGCCTGCTCCTTCCATGATCAGAAAAGCTACCTTCTAATAGTACATCTGACTTGTCTGGATTGATCTTTGGTTTATTGGCCTTACACATCCATTACAGTTTGCAAACACTGATTCAGCACTCCCATTATTTAACCTTAATGTAACAAAAAAAAAGAACTTATGTGATTGCAACTGGAATCTCCAGCTGAACTGATTTGTACATGTTAAGAAATGATTTTTAAAAAGACTTTTCCAGCAATGCTGTGTTGTTTGATGTTGCATTTCCCCCCATTTATTACATTATTATGTTTCATTTCACATTTTTGTAAGTTGCTCTCTGAAAGTATCCTAAAATGTAGGTATAAATATATTAAATAAATAAACATAAATGTATAGGAAACTAGATGGACCCTAAACTATAAATACAATAATGTCCCAGGACATTATTGGCTGTCTGGAATTGGCTGTCTAGGTCAGGACTGAAACCACTAAAATAACAGTCCCAACCCATACAACCTATTCAGAAGATACTGTCAATAATATCAAAAGCTTTCTAGAGATGCTGAACAGGGTAGGCCACAATGCATTTCCCTCTCCTGGTATAGCCCATCTATCTGGTAACCAAATGAGTTTTTGTAATGAAGCTTAATTGAAATACAGTGGTTCTTGAACGTAATCCATTCCAGGAGTTTGTTCGACTCCCAAAACTGTTTGAAAACCAAGGCACTGCTTCCGATTGGCTTTAGGAGCTTCCTGCACTCAATTGGAAGTTGCGGAAGCAGCTTCGGATGTTTGGCTTCCGAGAAAACATTAGCAAACTGGAACACTTCAGGGTTTGCAGCGTTTCAGAGCTGATTTGTTCGGCAGCTAAGCCATTCGGGAACCAAGGTACCATTGTAGATCCAGAAGGGTGGATGGATTTGTATGGCAATCACTCAAAGACCATGCATTGTTTTCATTGGGGGGGGGTATGTCAAAAGAAGAAGTCTTTAGAGGTCTCACAATTGCCTCTTTCAACACTACTAATAGTCAAGGTGCATAATGTGCAAGGCAGTTGGCTACGCTCTGCCAAGCACCTTGCCCATCCCCAGGCTGCAGCAAAGTCAAATTCATCCATCAAAGTAAGAATGGATGGTTCACTTGAATATATCCATAAATTGAAAATGGGAGCTGATCTATATACTAGATGCACCCATATATTGAACTGCACAACTAGTACCATGTAATATGCAACTGGTGACGAATCTAAACTTATTAATTTTTATTCCATCTATCTTTCAAGAAGCTTAGAGTGGCCTGCAGTTTCAGACCATAGCCCTGTGAAGGATATGCTCAAAGACAGTAACAAGCGCAGGGTTAGTGGGAATTTAAAACTGGGACTTCTTGGTTTATGTCAGGTGATGTACACCCTCTAGCCACCCTATTCAAAAACGAGGCAGCTATTCTCACCTCTAAACTGTGGCCAGTCATTTGGCTACGAAAAGGACCTTTTGAAGTTTCAAGAGGTGGAGAGGAAGGTGAGCTTCCTCCAAGGCTGTGGCTAAAGGAGTCGTTTTCTCTTTAAGAACATCTGCTAGGCCGCTGACGCTCGTCTGATTCAAAGGACAAAACGTCACAGAAAGAGGCTACGGGTGTCGCCTCCAATCAGCTCAAGCGGCGACCCGAAGGCGAGACGGCAGGAGGCGAGAACGCCTGACGTCGCACGCTTGTCGAGCGCCCGATTTAGCCAATCAGAGCTATACAAATAGTCGGAGAAGGCGGGAGCGCGCGCGCGCGCAAGGATGTCCGTTACTGCCAGGCTGCGCGCGCGCGCCTAGCGAGGCAGGCGAGAGAAGAGTGAGCGCGCGGGGGGGACTGGCGGCCCTCAGATACCGACGAGCACGAGGCGGTTACCCGCTTCCCTTTCCCGTAAGAAGAGGCGACGCTTCGGCTGCGCCGGCCTCGGAGGAGAAGAGCGTGCGAGAGAGAGACGGTGCGCTTGAGCTCGCCCCTGGGCGAAGCGACCGCGGCGTCGGCTTCGACATCTTCTAGGCCGCTGTGGGCGGGGCTTATTCGGACTCGGCCGGCCCTGCCGGGTCCCGCGCGCTTTCAGGATGTCGGCACAGGCCCAAATGCGCGCGATGCTGGACCAGCTTATGGGCACCTCCCGGGACGGTAAGAATGATTGCCTGCTGGTCAGGCTCGGAGAGGGCGGGGGCGCGTCCCCCTCGGTCGCGGGGAAAGAGAGCAGAAGGAGCAGGAAAGGCCTACTGCGATGATTGGCAGGTCCTGCGCCGCGGATCCTTTCTCCTCCTCTTCACGGGCGGGGCTTAAGGCAGGGTGAGAGGCCCCCGCTCGGGAGCCGCCACTACGATTTGTAAGAGGGACGTGTGTATGCCGATGCGGATGTGCGGGGAGCGGGAGAGGGATGCATCCTACTGCGAAGAAGAGCGCCTCTTTGGTCTGCAGCGCACGCAGGGGCAACGTTGGCAGTGAAGTACTCAAAAGGATATGGGCTGCACTAGTTAATTATTAAATTCCCCGTGCCACTCTTCATTTTGGCTCATCAGTGAAACAGCAGTTCACCTTATTCTGACCGGGGTAGGGGGGGCATCAGGTCATTTCGGTCACTTGTAACTGTCATATATGTTTTGCCTACTGGAGATCTGACCCAAACCAGCATTTCAAGTCAATCCTGTATAACTAACATTGCAGAGAAGCATTTTTAATAGACATTTTAGGCATTGTCTGGATCTGTTAAAAATTCTGCATTTATGTATTTTATTATATTTTGTATTTATATCCCACCTTTCCTTCCAAGGAGCTTGAGGTACCATACATGGTTCCCACCACCCTTTCCATTCATACAACAGCCCTGTGAGGTAGGTTAGTCTTTGAAACAGTGGCTGGCTCAAGGTAACCAAGTGAGCATTGTGGCTGAGTCAGGATTTGAACCCTGGTCTCTCAGGTCCTAGTCCAACTCTATCCACAACACCACACTGGCTCTCCTGAGGAGTTCATTTGTTTCTAGCTTTTTCCTTTTAAGTTCACTTTGAAAATCAATGGTACCTGAAATAAAACACCTTAGAAGTACATTCTTTGAAAAGGGGCTGTTTTGACCACATGTCTCATAGTAAAAGCAGCAGCAGGAGTAAGCAAATATTCTAGTGGCCTGTTCATAGATTTGAATAGAATTCAAAGCATTCATCCATTAGTGAGCTAATATTAGTCCTTACTGAAAAAGTTATTATTCCAGGCACACAGTAGGTTATTGAGGAAGCGAAAATGTTGAACAGTGAACGTATTGCTATATTAAAAGTAGATATTTATACATATTCAGTCTTTTAAAGATACTTAAATAAAGTGATTCAACAACTTGCATAGGCAGCTTGCTCAGTCTAGGATTCTATGAGTCTTTCTTACCGTTTCATCTAAATCAGCTATAATGTGTTTTGTCCTTGGGGAAATGATGATGAGCTTCTCCTGGCAGCCTTTTAAAGTATGTATGTCCATATGAGCCCCTATCCACTTTAGTATCATTGGAATAGCATCACATTACAGTACACCCCACCATATATGGGCATGGTGGGAAGGCTTTTGTGAGAAGTTAGATTGTGAGAGCATCCCTACCAGTTTCAGAGTTGGCACACCAAGCAAGTCTTGGGCAAGAAGCAAGGCTGAGAGCTTTATTAATTTTTCAAATTTATATTTTTATAGCTTGGTTGCTTTTCCTATCTTTTTTCAATTTTTTATTTTGTTTGTTTAATGGAAAGCTGAGCTGTAAGCATTGTACAACTTAAAAACGATAATACAACAGAAATCCAATAAAACAGTACTAACAAAATATTAAAAATATAAAAACAAGAATTCAGGAAATTCACACAAATAAAATACAGGGTCTGAGATCATAGGCCAGGAAGTGTCTGGACAAAGACATATGTTTTAACAAGTCGCCTGAAGCAATTGATTGTTGCTTCATGTATGGCAGAAGGCAGGTCATCCCATTGCACACTGACAATAGCAATGTCACCAAACTGTGGACTTGGAGTTGGGATGCTAAGTGTGGAAGTGAATATGCTCTACACAAAAGTTCAGAGGTGGTTTCTTTTAAACTAAAATAAATTATGTTGTTGCGCTGTTGCTTGATCAGGTGAGAGAACTTTCTTATTTAAAACCTATGTGTTTTACTTTTTGTCTCTTTCAGAGCAGGGGATTTGTTCTTGGTCAACTTTCACACATGCTGGCTGTGTTTTTTATGCAGAAACTTTTTAAGGGCAATGGATGCTGTTGAAGAGCTCTTACCATCAAAAAGTTCTTCCCAGTGCTTAGTCAGAATCTCCTTTCTAGTAACTTGAATCGATTGCCTTGGGTCCTAGCCTCCAGGGCAGGAGAAAACAAGCTTGCTCCCTCTTCCATGTGACAGCCCTTTAGATATTTGAAGATGACTATTAAATCTCCTCTGTTGACTCTTTACCAGGCTAAACATACCCAACTCCTTCAGCAGTTCCTCATAATGCTTGGTTTCCAGATCCTTTATCATCTTGGTCACCCTCCTCTACACACATTGCAGCTTGTCAGTGTCCTTAAATTGTGGTGCCCAGAACTGGACACAGTACTCCAGATGTGGTCTGATTAAGGCAGAACAGAGCAGTACTGTGACTTCCTTTGATTGGGACACTAGATTTCTGTTGATGCAGCCTAGAATAGCATTAGGTTTTTGTTGTTGCATCACATGGTTGACTCAAGTTAACCCCTAGATCCTTTTCACAAGTGTTACTGGCAAGCCAGTTGTCCCCTATATTGGTGCTGCTGGTTCTTCCTACCTAAGTGTAAAACCTTACATTTGTCCTTATTAAAATTCCTTTTGTTTGTTTTGACCCAGTTCTCCAACCTGTTAGGGTCTTTTTGAATCCCGATTCTGTCTTAGGCAGCATTAGCTACCCCTCCCAATTTGATGTCATCTGCAAATTTTATGAGCCTCCTCTCAATTAATTAATTCAAGTCATTTATAAAGATGTACAACAACAGACCCAGGATAGAACCCTGCAGCACCCCACTTGTCACTTTTTCCCAGCGTGAAGAGGTACTCTGCATGAGCACTCTTTTGGTTCAGTCAACCCATTACAAATCCACCTAACAGTAACTTCATCCAGCCCACATTTTACCAGCTTCTCTGCAAGAATATAATGGGGTGCTTTGGCAAAAAGCCTTACTGAAATCAAGATAACACTATGTCCATAGCGTTCTCCTGATCCACCAAGCTTGTAACGCCATCAAGAAAGAAAATGAGACTTGTCTGGCATGACTTATTTTTGAGAAACCCATGCTGAGTCTTAGTAATCATAGCATCCTTTTCTAAGTGGTCACAGCCTGACTGTTTAATTGTCTGTTCTAGAACCTTTCCTGGTGGTGGTATCAAACTCACTGATCATTAGTTACCTGGGTCTTTTTTCTCCTTTTTAAGATGGGTACAATATTTGCCCGCCTCCAGTCTTCAGGGACCTCGCCTTCTCTCAAAAAGTTCACAAAGATTATAGATAGAGGCTCTGTGATTACACCCACAAGCTCCTTTAGTACCCTTGGGTGCAGTTTGCCAGGCCCTGGAGATTTGAATTCATTTTAAAGTATCTAGGTGTTCCCTTACCACTTTTTTCCTATCTTGGGCTGCAGCTTCCTCCTTACGTAATTAATTCTGGTATCACCATGTTGGGCACTGCTTTCTTCTTGGGTGAAGACAGGCAAAGTAGATGTTGAACAGTTCTGCCTTTTCTTTGTCTTCTCCATGCAGAGAACCTACTACTTGCTTATTCTTTCTCTTGTTTCAAACACAGCCAAAGAATCATTATTATTATTAACCTTTCTTGCAAGCCTGAGCTCATTCTGAGCTTTGGCCTCCTGACCTTTTCACTGCAGCTTTTGTCTACCCTTTCTTCATTATACATTTTCAGAAGGTTCATCCATGAAGGAAAATTTGGCACATTAAATGCAGAATGAAATTTTGAATGGTGGCCATCAGGGTAAAACTCTTGGTGAACTGCTTAATTGCCATTCTGCATACAGTGGTGCCTCGCAAGACGAAATTAATCCGTTCCGCGAGTCTCTTCGTCTTGCGGTTTTTTCGTCTTGCGAAGCACGGCTATTAGCGGCTTAGCGGCTATTAACGGCTTAGCGGCTTTAAGAAAAAGGAAACAAACTCGCAAGAACTCACAAGACGTTTCGTCTTGCGAAGCAAGCCCATAGGGAAATTCGTCTTGTGGAATGACTCAAAAAACGGAAAACTCTTTCGTCTAGCGAGTTTTTCGTCTTGCGAGGCATTCGTCTTGCAGGGCACCACTGTATTTGCTGCATAGCATTTTGAAGTTGCTTTGTTAAGCTACATTTTAAAGTTAACCTGTGTAATTGTCTCCTTCTATGGAGATGCTTATAACACTGTATCTACAGAATCCCAATAGTTACAATGCAGTACAGTAAAACCTCCGTGAACGTCCGCCTCGTCTAGTGTCCATTCCGGCGAATGTCAATTGCAAACCCGGAAGTACTGGAATGGGTTACTTCCGGGTTTGCCGCTTGCGCATGCGCAGAAGTGCAAACTGTTCCGTGCGCAGGCGTGGGGCTTTGCCCTGCGTCTTTTTTTGTTAGTGGCTCGGGCTCTGGAACGGATCCCGGATGCAAAACAAGGTACAGCTGTACCAATTAAGCTTGTTCGTGAACTCTGAACTGTCTATTGCATTGTTTTATCAACTTGTAACTGATTAGCATCTCTAAACTATATAGGATCCCTTAAATGGAAGGGATTCCACTAATATTAGTATTGTATTTCTAGAAATAGGAATGGAGGAGGAAAAGTTATTGGTCAGTCTGAAAATAGTAATTATCAAAAAGTTGAGATGATTAAAAAATAATTGTGGATATCCTCTTAAGGTCATACTTGTTCAGATATTGAATATCCATAATAATACTGAATAGTTTAAAATGTAATCTGAAGAAGCAAATACACAAGGCATATTTAAAATGACTTTGTAACTTAGATATATTTACTATGGCCTAACCTGATTTAATACTTGCATTGGTTATACTTAGAGTTGTAGTGAAAATGAAATCTGGTTTTTGCTTTTGGTATATGATGGCCCCCACTGAGTTAAGATCTGGTGGATTATGAATAATTTAATTTTTAGAGAGAGCTGAGTTTTAATATCCACGAAAGGTGTAATTTGTATATGTAACAGTTATCCTCACAGGCTTTTCCTAAATGAGATGTCATATAATTAATTGCTTCCATCTCTACCAAGTAGTATATGGAAATATGGTTTGGGCCAGAGACCTTGGGAAAAAAGGAAGCTGCTGTTTCTAAAGATGAACTCATGGTTTTGTGATCACATACATTCATTGCTACAATTGCAAGAATAAACCTCTTCATTAGAACGTTGTAACGTATAGCAGTAGATTAGTAGAAGGTTATTCATTTTCACTCCAAAATTACTAGGGGTGCTGGAGTACAGCAATCAGATTTTATCTAAAATTGTATTTTAAATAGCTGAGCAACATTCTGTTTTTAGTTTGTTTAAAATTTGGCAAGTCTGTCATTAAAGAGTTTACTCATATGTAATGATTTGCATTTTGATATAAGTTGCAGTAATGGGAAAAACTAGACTTTCTTATGGAAACAGTTATATTTACAAGCAAGTCTGGAAAAAATACTTCAAATTCTAGGCATCAGAATCAGTGTTTTTGAGCCAACATCATATTATTTGCTTTCTGGGCAGTCTGGAGGAAAGAGGAGGGAATAAACAAAACATAGACACCTAGGAGTTAAAATATTTTTCCAGTCATAGTTTATAGGAGGCTATTTTTCACTAAACTCCCCTGAATAACAGGCTGACACATTGCTACCAGGCACAAAATTATTCAGGTTTCCCACCATTCTTTACATTCAACATGTATTTCTAGATGCTGTAATGAAAATGCTGGCAGAGTTTATTATATACAAACTGAACAATCTGGCCCCTTGTTTTATTTATAAAGGTTCAATGTATCTATGCCTGCCTACTTCATTCTGCAAGGGAGTGTCAGAAAGGCCCCGCATTCGCCGAGCCGTGAGTTATTGCTAACTTTTCAGATGTGTTAATTAATGTGGAACAACGACTTGTGTCTTTAAAAAGAGAAAGAGGGGAAAACATATCAGTTCCTCAAATCTTCTGCAGTAGCAGGCATGACTTAAAGAAGCTCTAAATTTTCATTAGTATAAAATGGTTAAATTTATAGACTTAGCTTCTGAAAACCTATTGTTGAACTACTATGAAGCCATTCTAGTTTGTGAATTACTAATCTAATTATCCTCTTGATTTCTGAAACAAATGTTTAAATGGAATAGAGCCCATATGAAAATGCTCAATTGAGTTCTGCATAGGGCAGATAGCTAAAACTGAAAAAACATAATGGAATTATTAAGTCTAGAATTTTGAGTGTAGAACCACTGCATAGATGCACTTAAAGTTGCCTATTTCAAGTTGATTGAAATAGGATAGTGATTACATTTATAATAGCAAGCTTCTCTATCCTCTGAGGTGAATGAGGTTGGGATGAAGTTGCAAACGTACCATTTTCCCAGCAGCTCTCCTCTGCTTCAGTAATTCACCAGTAGGTTTTCATTATACATAATTATAATTTAAGGGGTAAACTAAAAACAAACAAACACTTGAATAACTTGAGTTGTATAACTGCTGCTGCATCTTTAAACTGGAAATACCTTTTGCGGGGACCTCATATTCAAATCTGAAATAGTAACTATTCCACTGTCCCTTTTCTTGAAGGAAAATAAATCAGTAGCCAGGTGTTGAGTTTTCCATTTAGACCTAATATTTCCAACCTTGTTCACAGATGTGATTGATTAGAGTTGCAATTGGACTTCAGTGTGTGGTAAGCAGGCTGACGTGTTTGTGTTTATAGAACTCTGTTTGTCATTAATGTAGATGCAGTGTGTTCAGCTTATGGGGTTTTAGCTGTCTTAAAATAATGCTGCTAGGGAGAATTTTATTTTTTCCAGTGTTCTAGGTTTATAAAAACTCTTCAGTATGTTTGAACCTGCCAAAGTAGGTTGCTGTGAATGATGTCTTGAAGAAATGGCTTCTGGCAACCAGTAGACACTCAATAAATGTATTGTAAATGCTTGTAAGGCTGTTCATACTAATGCCAAGTGCTGTCCACATGAGCAGGAATAAAAATCTGTTGCATATGTACTTGTATTTTTGAGGCAGTTCTCATTCCATATAGTCCTGTTTTTAGCTTTCTTGCATTATTTGAGTATTGTGTGGTACCTAAAATAATTACCACATGTAATTACCAAGGTTAAAATAGTATCAGTTCTTCAGATTCTAATTTTTTGCGTGTGTGAAATGAACAAAAGTGAAACTACACTGGTTTTAGAACATTATGTGTCTAATCAGAAATGTCTGTTTATGTGTTACAGGGGATACTACCCGCCAGCGAATCAAATTCAGTGATGACAGAGTGTGCAAAAGTCATCTTCTCAACTGCTGCCCTCATGATGTCCTCTCTGGAACAGTGCGTATTTTATTTTCTACTTTGGAGATACATTTTCCTTTGTTGCAAAAATAGCATTAAGTATTAACCATACAGGTTTTAGCAATTTCAGGTCCCAGTTTGTCTGAAAATATGTAGAGGTGTCAGACCAGTTTATGGCATTTCTTGTTACTGATGTACACACACATTTACATAAATTATGAGAATGATTAATTAAGATACTGTGGAAATGAAATCCCTATTGATGATTATGTCTTTGAAATGATTGCAGCAGAAACTAATACAGTGTTGAATTTTGAATCAAAATATGTTATAAAACTGGAGCAAAATAACATCACTTCCCCACCCCAAACCCAGCAGAACTGTTCTCATGATGGTAAAATATTTTGATCTGCCGCCTCCTCTGGAATATTAATTGATCTGCTAGACCCAATTTATTTGCTTTCTTACAGAATCTCTGCTTTCTTATCTTGCTGTACTGAATTATTCGTGTTGCTAGTTTGCCATGTTAAGTCACCTTTCCACTGTATTTGTAAAATATGAGTTCTACCATCTCTTTCCAGTCTTTGTCCAGATTTCCAAATATATTTTCTCTGTCAACAAGAAATGAATGCACTTTGTAATCATGCTTATGTCTAATTTTATCAGTTGGAAGTAGGATCATGATGTTGAATGAATCAAAGCAGCTTTTAATTATGAACCCTCTTAGGCATTGGTTTTTATACTCATTTGATCTTTCCTTACTCTGAATGAAAGAATTTTGCATGAGTGCCTAAATTGGAGGTGTCTGACTTTGTATTCTTGGAGCCTGCGTTCTTTTCCAGACAGCAATCTAGGGACATTCTTTGAGGATTGTTGGGTCCTGTAACGTTGGTAGCATCTAACAATCAGGATTTCAGTTATGAAGCATGATTGGTCAGGCATAGCAAGAGCATTCACATTAAAATATATCTTGTCTTAAAACGTTTTTCTTTTTGCCTGTGGTATCACTTGTAAAAAACATAAACCATACCTTCATTTACCTGGGGCCAGATAAAATTACTTTAGCAACTAGATCCAGTCTGCAGACTACCACTTGGGCATCCCTGAACTAAATTAAGACCACTGCAAACCTAATTCCAAATTTCTCAGTTCAGTCTGAATCCATGAGCTACAGGAAATATACATGCAGCACAAATTCTTTTTTGCTGTTGTTCTTCATCTTGAAAGGTGGACACAATGAATACTCTTTGATAAGCAGGGGTTCAAATAAAGCTTCCTTAAAAAAAGAAAAATTCATAAGATAGCTGAGTGATGTTATAGAACTCCTAAGAGGATGGAAAGACCAAATACTAATCATAGAGTTGGAACAGACCCCAAGGGTCATCTAGTCCAATCCCCAGCAATATAGGATATTTGATGCAAGCTGTTAGAAATCTGTTAGAAGCTTAGTTGCAAATTTAAGGTAGCGTCTCTTAAGCACTAGTTCCTTCATTGCTGCTTTATTGGGAGCTAAACCTTAATTTCAGTTTGATAGCTGCTTAGATAAAAAATCAAGAATCTAGATTTGTCAGTGTGAATGTGCTTCTATCAGGATAATGAAATATTCACTTCTAAGCTACATTTTCCCACTGCCCTCATCACACACAAATTGATATTTAACATTGAGTTGCCAGTGATCTTTTAGGAACATTTTTACTTTATAACATACTTTAGACTGCAGATCTGGGGCATAATTGAGTCTCTCATCCTAGAATTCACTGCACATAAAAACCTATGTGTATAGGAGAAAGGTTTTAGTATAGCCTGACTTGCTGCCTTTTTATGTAGGGGACATTTTTTCCTTGTAAGGGTGGATTTGAGAAAATATAATAAGGTGACTGTTAGGACCACAGAGTGGGATGGGGACACAAGAAAAGGTTAAGAGAGGAAGAAAAATGAAGAAAAACCAGAGGAACTTGCTTCTCCCACCACACAGTAAGTAGCCCAGTTGAGAAGGGGAAAGAGAGTATTCCTGTTTGTTTGTTTGTTTGTTTGTTTGTTTGTTTGTTTTTATTTTGAAGATTTTTAACCCACTGTTCATTAAAGATAATTCCAGAGTAGGATTTTCAAACTACTGAATGCTGCCTCAGATGCTTTAGTGGTCAGCCAAGCTCTGTTGTTAAAAGCTCTTTTTTCCCCTCAATGTTTGTCTAAAGGCCAAAATAGGTATGGTTTGTTAAAACATTAGTTGCCTTAGATAGGCAGACCTTCAGGGTCCCAACAACCTCCCAGCATCCCAAGTTCTGTGGCAAGAACTGTACTCCACAAGGCAAACAAGAAAAGCAAATCTGATGGCATAGGAGCAAATGGTGTTTGAGTAAGGAAAAGAGTGACATTGAATTTTTATTTACACTTCAAAGATTTTATCATTTTATATCCTTCATTATCAGATAATCTAGGAATAACATATATTTCTCCTGTGATCCTTCCCCACTTCCTCCCACCTATGTTGTAGGCTTTTCTGTCTAACGGTATTAAAGTAAGGGTACCCTACTGCATGTCATGTCAACCAGAGAAATACAAATGTTTCAGTTGATTTCAGGACAGCTGAAAATCTGTAGTTGCCCCAGTACTGTCCCTCCCACAGCTTGGAGAAAGGGCAAGATCTTACCTCCGACATAATGCTGGCTTTTAAAGGCTCAAAGTGCCTCAAAAGCACTGCATGATATCAGGGACAAAACACCATCACCCACACAATTCAGTGAGGCAGGTGGGGGCTTGTCCTCTTGTACTGTGCTTTGGAAGCATTTGCAGTGTCTGACTTCAGGGACAATCTCCTCTCAAACTTGCAGGAGAGGGCTCCATACAGTGGGATAATTTGTAGACCTTCCCACCCCATATTAATCACCTTATCTACAATAATTGACCTTCTAATGCTGGCCTTGGATTTACAGAACTGAAAGTTCTGGTCACATACAGGACTTTTAATATTTCTTCTTATAGTGACAGTTTCCATGCATCCTGGAAAACACCCCATGTGACACAAGGGGCTGCTGCTAGATGGTAAAATTGATTTCTTTCTGTCCCCCATGCATATGTCATAGTACCTTATGCTTATGCTTATATGGATCCAAACCTGATGGTACCTTGGTTTAAGAACAGTCTGGTTTAAGAATGATTTGGTTTACAAACTCCGCAAAACCGGAAATAGTTTCTTGGTTTGAGAACTTTACCTCGGTCTAAGAACAGAATCCGAATGGTGAAAGGGCACCGGCAGCGGGAGGCCTCATTAGGGAAAGCGCGCCTTGGTTTAAGAACAGTTTTGGTTTAAGAACGGACTTCCGGAACAGATTAAGTTAGTAAACCGAGGTACCACTGTGTTTAATTTTTCAAAAGTGAACTTAAGCCAAACAAATTCAATAATGTCAGAACTGGTAGCAATATCTATTAGTCTGAATTGAACAAAATTGAAATGTATGTTGCAGCTGAGCAGAATCAAACCAAGTAGTGCAGTGTTTTGACTCCAGTTCCCAAAACGCTAAAGAAAATCCATGACAATTAAACAGTCCTAAATGTTTGCTGTGTAGACTCAGCCTATATGTCCTAGCCCCCTCTTTAAGGTTTTTATACTAATATACTGTAACTGTAACTGAATATCAAGTACTGTCTAGTTATGGCTGCAGAGCTGAAATACTATATAAGTCATTGCATAGGAAAAAGAAAGGTAGATTTTAAGGGCTATACTGGTAGCTAAACTTCCATTGTTGGAAAAATAGGAATGTTTCTAAAGATAATGGATGATGGTCAACAGAAGTCACATTCAGTACACCAACTGAAATCACTATGAATCCATTTATTTTACTGACTCTACTCAGAGTCTGACTTAGTTGGATATCACCCACTGAGTGAGCTTATACACACATCTCTAAGAGTAAGTCTCAATGAATTCAGTGGGGCTTCTCAGTAGGCATATATAGGATTTCACTGCTAGCTTCCTTGAATATGAGGGGAAAGCAGTGCTCTTCTCTACATATCAGGGATGGGGAACCATTTCTAGCTCAAAGGCTGCCTTCCCTTCCAGCGGCCATGTGCCAGTGGTGGGTGGGGTGAGAGGCAAAAGTATAAATTACCTTTGTACATTAGGCTAGTTTTTACACACATCCTCCAGGCAAGCAAGAAGAAAACATCCTAGCCAGGTGAAAACACTGGTGGAGGGTGCAAAGTAGAGCCAGCGAGGAAGCGTGTCCTAGGAAGAGATTTGAAGTTCCCCATCACTACTGTTTTTTAATGTCAGGAGGTTATGTTGTTTGCCCAACCACTATTTGTATAAGCAAGAAAAGAGACTACACACACACACACACACACACACACACACACACACCTTTGACTTACATATACTGGCCTGGCTTACATTTTACATGAAGCCAGCATTAAAATAAAAATTTGGCTTCCACTTGTGGTTTTTGGGAGGGATGCAAACCAGATGCCCACGTTGTCATGTAACAGTTGTCCTGCTACAAATAGCTTTAAACTGCTGCTGGCTTTAGTTTTTGAAATTGGATTATTTTATTGTTATTTTTTAATTGCATTGTGGTTTTAATTAGAATTTGTAACCTCCTGCCATCAAATTAAGCAAGAGGCATTATCACAAGGAGACATTCCAGCAAAGCAAAGTAGTTGAGAAAGGGGCACAGCAAGATCATATGTGGTGTAGCCTAGGGAGAGCCCTGGAGGGGCATATTTTTACACATCACCCAGCCTGAGGTTTCCCACACCAGGCGTACACACACCTTTTGTCTCTTAACTTGGATCTACTAATTTATCAGGAAAAAATATACAAGGATAGGTGGGGAATTGTACTTAGGATTTTCTAGTTTTAAAATATTATTAGAAATGCTGCTAAGACTGCAGAGCTGTTTGGGTGAGGTTCAAACAAATACCTTTTGCTCTAGTTTGTGAGTATGGTTATACTGAGGTTCATTGATGTTTCAGTGCAGACTGGATTTGATCACTTATAACAAATCTGGCATGCTAATTATTTCAAATATTGTATTGTTTTTAAAGTTTGCACAAACACGGTTTGCTTCACAATATTGGAGTAGAATATGGTTTTAACCCACTATTTATCCAGTGTTTCTGTAAAATTTTGCATTTATTTTCAGAGGATGGACCTTGGAGAATGTCTGAAGGTGCACGACTTGGCATTAAGAGCCGATTATGAAATTGCATCCAAAGAACAAGACTTTTTCTTTGAGCTTGACGTATGTTTTATTTTGAAGCTATTTCTGTCTAATAAATGCTAGAGAAGGGAGAAGGAATGAGACAAGTGCACAGTGCAGTTGTGTTTTTAAAAACTTTTAATTCTCTAAAGAATCCTAGTAACTTAAGTGGCAGCTTTTGCAGAATTATTTGACCAGTACATGAAGTGTTGTGAAATGTTTATAGTTCCATATCCTCAATACGGAATTCATAACTTTTGGCAGTTATTAAGAGTGGGAGGGGTCGTTGCTATTCCCCACCCTCCACCTCCAAACTGTCTCTCTCAGAATAGCATTTGCCTTTGTACCTTTGACACACACTAAGAGTACACAACCCTTTTTTAAATGAAGGCATGGTAGATGTCATTTCTTCGCTCCACATCCCACAGTACCAATAGCTCCACTTCCTGCAGTACCAATAGTGTGTAAGAAGAAGCTTTATTCTTGTAACATTTGCGCAGCAGTGGGAAGCTAGGGTATTACTCCTTGTTATGTGAATTCCATATACATATTACTTTCTCACTTTAACAACTCTCTTTTGCCATTTCAAATACAGTTGCAGATGTGTTTCAATCCAATATGATTGTACCATCTAATTTTACCTTTTGAAATGGCCCACTATGTGATCTGAAAGGGAATGGTAGAGTGTTAAAGATTTAGTGTACTTGCTGCTTGTTTCATTGAAAGCAAAGCATTTAAATGTGGTCTGAGTTGCATTTGCTTTAAAATCTCCCAGGAAGTCTAGAGGGTGAGTTATGCAAATAATAAACTTTAGAACTTGAATGAAATACAAAACCCCAAGCACATTTTAAGGTTGAACCAGAAGTCAGTGTAGCAATGCTAGCCTTATTTTAAAAAAATGCTTATTTCTGGCAGTGATACTCCTTTGATTGATGCCTTAGATTGGGTTTTTTAAAATGTATTAGGCAATGGATCATCTACAGTCATTCATTGCTGATTGTGATCGAAGAACTGAAGTGGCAAAGAAAAGACTGGCTGAAACCCAAGAAGAAATCAGTGCTGAAGTTGCAGCCAAAGTAAGCATTTAAGACTCCCACTCTACAAGTCACTCCATAATTATTCTAGCTTGATTTGTTAAACTATTATTTCTACAGTAACTCTTTAATGTGCAAAAAATCACGGTAATCACCCTACCGATCTCCTTAAATCATTTTAGCAATTCTCTGAGGTTATTAGAAGTCCATTTAGCTGTTGACAGGGCCATGCAGAGAGTTTGTGATTGAGCACAGGTTTTAGTTTAAGCTTCTCTGAGTTGGAGCCAGTTCTCTGGGCTCTCCTGATTTTAGCATTTTATGTTTTCTCCTATGTATTGCAAGCTTTCTTGAATTGAACTCAAATGAATTCGTAGGTTTTGAAAGAAAGTTCAGGGAACTCAAAATGCAAGAGCAGACTTTGAGAACCTTTTTTCCTGCTTGTAAGAATTAGGAATTCAGTGGCTCTTTTCTTAACTGAAAAGATCTGTTCAAATAATACCCACTCCTGTGCCCTAGTCATCTTAATTATTGAGGGTGTTACATATATCTAACTTGGGTACAAGGAAGGAATATTAGGTGGTTTTTGGTATTGGAAGGAACTTAGGCAGTTGTCTCGTGCTGACTCAGACCATTGGACCATCTAGCTAAGTATCGTTTACACAGTGGCTCTCCATGATTTCAGGCAAGGTTCTCTCCTAATTCCACCTAGAGATGCTGGGGACTGAACCTTCTGCATGCAAAGCAGTTGCTCTGACATTGAGATAGGGCCCTTCCCCATTTTATACTCGTGTAAACATCAGTGGGTTTTTGTTTTGTTTTACTGGGAAAATACCATGGACTAATAAATTACAGTGAATATAATGCATACTGAAGTTTTGGGCTACCATTCTTCATTTTTTAAGTGTAGTTAAACCTTTTGTCACTTAATGATCTTTCTAAAAGTTATATGGCTCAAGATATGAGAGACCAGCAGCCCATTTTTGTTCGTAGATAACATAGCTGGGTTTTCCTAAATCTTGGGCGGGGGAGGGGGCAGGGACCAGAAAAATGCCAGAACCTGCCCAGTGAGGACTGATTATGTGCATTGGCCACAGAATGCTGATTTATTGTTGTGTGTGTAAAACCAGGGTATGAGGGGGTATGGAGAGTCCTGGAAGAGAGCATGATTGGCTAGCCACCTGGAATCCTTAACAGAAGTGCTGCATACTGTCACATTTTGTTGTAGGTCCTACTTGTGGGTTTATATTACAATGATTTTTTTGTGCATTATTGAATTCTTGTAATTGTAAGTCTTACATTTTCTCCCATCTTAAAGGCTGAAAGAGTCCATGAATTGAATGAGGAAATTGGAAAGCTGCTTGCAAAGGTGGAACAACTTGGAGCAGATGGAAATGTGGAAGAATCTCAGAAAGTAATGGATGAAGTGGAGAAAGCAAGGGCAAAGAAAAGAGAAGCAGAGGTAATCTGAAATTGCATTCTTTAGTGGTTCAGTTTGGTACAGTATTTGAAAATCATGGTTAAAACACTGGTCCCAAGCTTTCAGTCTATATTGTTTATCAATAAGTTAATTCACAACGTTAGCATATAGAGAAGTTTTAGATGGTTACAACTTCATCTGTTGTCCCAAAATGTCAAATAAATCTATATATGAGTTTAAGAGTTGGGATTTTATTTCTAGCTGATTTCACTTCTTATCATGTACTGCAGAAGGAGAAAATAGCATGAGGGGACTCGTGCAATTTCTTTCCTTCTGCGATGCTGGGTACCTCCAGCTACCACCCAGTTTCCCTTCTAACCTTTTTCTCCGGACGCCTACCTATTCCCACTATCTGTTTCCCCCCCCTCTTCCTGTGTCAATTTTAGATAGTAATCTCCTTATGGTAGGAAAGCACCATGTGCCTAAATTGTGCTATATAAAGTTGTTATTATTATATTGGCTGGCTTCTAAGCTGTGTTTGTGAACTCCCACTCCTGGCTTATGTATAGAAACAAATGTAATTTCATCAGGAGTGTCAGTTCATCGTTTTCCAGCTTTTTAACTGGAAATCCTTATAATTACATTCTATTTATGTCTTTTTCTCCTCCTGCCCCCATGCTCATACCAAGCAGTTTCTTTAATCTGTTTTAAAATCAAAGTTTATTTCTCCATTATTGTTTCGCTTACAGACAATACACCTATTCTACACTGGCAGTTCCTTCAAGTTTTTTTGCCCTTCCCTACACCAAGGGGTATCACAGTGGGCAGATAATCAGCAAGTTATTCTGATCTTGGCAAACCAAACACTCACTCTAATTTTGAACCCAATGTCCCCATGGTAACAGGCCTGGAGGCAAACAGAGCTGCTGAGAAAGGATGTGTGTTTGCAAAGAAAAGCTTAAAAGTAGCTAAGAACACGTAAGAGGGCCAACCCTCGTCTCCAAAAAAGCCCTGACCCACTGTGATTTTGTCAGTGGTCTTTGGCAGCCAAACAATACTGTGTATTAGTTGGAAATCGAAAAACTGGTAAGAGGCAAATTATTTATTAATTAATTTATTTTAAAATAATGTATATTCCACCCTTCCAATGTCTCCTAGGGCAGCAAATGGCACAAATGATGAAACAATTAAAACATCTTTTAAAAAAAATTCCAATACAGATGCACAGTTGGCCTGTTTGAGCCTCTTGCAATTTATAGTACAGCGAAGTAGGGAACGGCTGGAAGCACTAAGAGAGGAGGATACATTGCCACATTTTGTGCAAGTCTAACTTGTTAGAAATAATGGCTATTGTTGCCTCTGCCATTTGGCATCAGTTTTATCCAGGAAGTGTGCAGCAGCCAAGTGAATAACCAGCAAAGTGTCTGTTTGTGCACATGAATATGCTCTGTAAAAGGGTGGAACTCTTTAAATCTGAAGCTGCAGGCTTGAAACTGTAGGTTGGGAAATTAAAAAAAATGAAAAATAAAATTTGCTTTAATGAAAGTTTAGGCTGGAGCTTGTGCATAGTACTGGCCTAATTCATCACCTGTCCTTTATTAAGGAATGGAAATGCTGGCTTTCTAGCTAGAGAAGGCGCATTAAATACTTACCAAGAATATGTTTTATTCATGCATTTGAGATAAATATTGTGATGTCTTTGCAGGAAGTGTACAGGAATTCCATGCCTGCTTCCAGCTTCCAGCAACAGAAGCTTCGAGTTTGTGAAGTATGCTCAGCATATCTTGGTCTACATGATAATGACAGGCGGCTTGCTGATCACTTCGGAGGAAAATTGCACTTGGGCTTTATTGAAATAAGAGAGAAGCTTGAAGAACTCAGGGTAAATAAATATTACATAAGTACATTAATTTTAATGGATCTATTCTGAATATGATCTAGTTGGATATCATATCATGCTTAATAATGTGTTTGCATAACTTCAAGTGCTCTTAAGTAGGTGATGCAACTAATAAATTTAAGCAATAATCATAGAATCATAGGATTGTACAGTTGGAAGGGACCCCAAGGGTCATCTATTCCAACTCCCTGTGATTCAGTGTTCAAACTCCTATTGTTCTAGGTGCATTTTGCAACAGGAAATTTCATTAGCATGAGCATTTTCTGAGCTCTGAGTGTGGTACTGTGCCTAAGATTTCAGATTACAACTGCAGAGTGGAAGGAAAGGAGGACCCTTTCTGCCTCCCCACTTCCAGCTACCCTCTGAAGACTGCAGAAGAGACCCTCTGAAAAATATTAGGAGGGTAGGCAGGGGAAGGACTAGAACATGTGAAATGTGAACATAGTATTTTAGCTGCAGTTCATTCATTTTCAGCTTTGTATTCTTGTTATAAAAAAGCGTGCCCGGATATTCCGTTGTTTCGCTCATAACCTATGTTTAAGGTGCCATTTAGCTCCTAGCTTTCATTATGAGAAATGGCCTTCCAACCTCTGATTAAAAACCTCCAAGGAAGGAGACTCCACCACCTTCCCCAAGGAGTCCATTCCACTGCCAAACATCTCCTAACCATCAGAAAGTTCTTCTTGATACTTACTTGAAATCTATTTTCCTGTAACTTGAATCCATTGGTTCGAGCCCCAGCCTCTGGAGCAGGAAGAAACAAGCTTGTGACTAGTGATGTTAAATTCTCGAGAATAATCTTTTGGAGAATATCCTCGAGAACATTCTCAATTAATGAGAATATTACAGAATTTTCATTTAAAATAGGAGAATAGTCATTTTAATGCATTGAAAATGATATAATTAGTTAATATACATGTCTGTTCATGGGTAACCTTGTTCAGATGGCAACCAAAAACTGTACAGATACTTTTATTCAATGGGGCAATGCAGTAAATTCACATTCTTTGATTTTTTTGCACCAAACTTGAAATTGATTGTATAGGCCTCGGTACTTTAAGTGTATAAAGCATTTAAGCTACTTTCTGTAAAAAAATCACACTGTATGGCCAAGGGTATAGAATTGCTAAGAAAAAGGTCACACCAAAATAGGGGGGAAAGGCTATTACATATAGTTGAAATACATACAAATTCAAATGTTCATCAAATTAAATGAATAGCATTTTTAAAACTAAAAAAAAAATAAAAAAAATTCTGTAGCTCACATTTCAGAACTGATAGTGGTGAATAACACAATGCCCAGTAATGTAACTGGATAAAAAAAAATCCATATTCATTACTTACACTGGCAATATCATAGCTTGACTTACTATTTACTAGATTTTTTAAAATGTGGGTTGTAAAACTGGTTCTTACATTAGAATTTACAGTTTGTGGAAAATATTCTCTGGAGAATTTTCTAGCAGAGAATATTCTCACCTCACATCACTACTTGTGACAGCCCTTTAGATATTTGAAGATGGCTATCATATCTACTCTCACTCTCCTCTTTACCAAGCTAAACATACTCAACTCCCTCAACTGTTTCTCTTAAGGCTTGATTTCCAGACCCTTTATCATCTTGGTTGCCCTCCTCTGCACACATTCCAGCTTGTCAATATCCTCCTTAAATTGTGTGTCCAGAACTGGACACAGTACTCTTAAGTGCTGTCTGAACAAGGCAGAACAGAGTGATACTATTACTTCTCTTGATCTCAGAACATTATACTATTTTTGATGCAGCTTAGAATAGCATTAGCTTTTCTTTGCTGCAGCATTGCACTGTTCACTCAAGTTAAGCTTGTGGTCTGCTATAACCTCTCACAATAAATGCAGTGCACAGAGCTTCTGGATCAAAAATTTTAAATATTGGTCTACACAGAAAAAGAGAACTCAACATTAAGCAAAATAATTTAAATATTTGTAAGTGTCCACTAACTGATTAAAATACCTTTGGGTGATTATTGTATCTTTCTTTCACCTTCATTTGAGCTTTCCTGGTGTATTGACAAGAGAAATAGATGTGCCTATCAGTCTCTCCAACTTTGTCTTTGTTTTTCAGAGAATTGTGGCTGATAAGCAAGAGAAACGAAACCAAGAACGTCTAAAGCGTAGGGAAGAAAGAGAGAAGGAAGAAAGGGAAAAGCTGAGGAGGTAAAGCTTGTTAACCAGCTGTTTTATTTTGATAAAATTTCAGAATAGTTTTATACTTTTAAATATTTTTGTGCTACTGATTTTGAAAGACACTGAGAGGGTTTTTTGCTCTCAGTGGTGTTACAAAATTTCTGAAAAAGTATACAAAATAGAAAGTGGTCTCATAACTACAAACCTGCTGGGGAGAAAACTGAAAGCCAAATGGAACAGCTAAGTGTCATAGTGCTGCTTGAAAAATGGAAATTATTGCAGCCTGTTTCCACACTTGACTTTCATAGGGATAACAAAAGTCTAGCTGCAATATTTCCCTTAGACAATGATTTATCCATTTAAACATTAACCTTCTTTTTGCTAAATATTTTTATTGCTTTTAATTTCAGTTAACAAAACATACCCACAAAGGGAATACAGAGCTTAATAGTTGTTCAAGAAGCATTAATTTTCTTATGTTCCCCATAGGTTTCATATTTATAGCAAATAATTGATTTTAAAAGCTTATATACTTGGAAAGGCAACAATTTTAGTTTTCATTAACAATGAAAAATAGCTGGTACATGCATCTGGGGCTGGGGTTGACCTGGATTTTGTATTGCTGCTGAGCATTAGCTGTGCACTTGCATGCAAAATGCATCACTTCAATGATGCACTTCCAAATAGTGTACTTTGTATTTTGACTTCACAACATAAAAATTTACCTGTATTTTGCACTTTTTTCAGATCTCGATCTCATAGCAAGAACCCTAAAAGGTAGGTTATAATTCCTTTTTCTTGTAAATTTTCACAAACAGAACCATTAATAAATAATAATATAATCTCCCTGGAGATTACAAACACAGTCCTAATTCTCTGCACAAAAATGAAATTTCGGTTGTTGACTCCAGCAGATACATTCACAATCTCAAATGATTCATCACCCAACTACGGAGAAATCTCACTAGATCTCATTTTTTATATAGTGCCTTTCCGCTTCATTAGTTGCTGGAAAATTAGCATCTTTGGTCCTGCTTATTAATGTGTAAATTTGTGCTAGAAATCTCAGTTGATCCTCTGTAGTTAACCAAAGATTATGTAGGTCTTCTGTAGAATTGGAATTTCATGAGTCGCTTCAGATGCTACTGGATTCACTGTGGCTGTGGGCCATATTGTTATTAGCTATTGAACAATCATTCGAGGCTTAAGATACAGGGTGAGAGATTAAATTGGCTGCTTTTTCAAGCCAAGAGAAATGTTTATTTAAACTTATCATTATATATATATATACCTCTGAAGTTTACAGTGATATTTTTTAAAAAACTATTAAAGTTATCTATTAAAAACAGTTAAAGAGGAACTGGGAGGAACTAAAAAGATTAAAACCAACACTTGAAAGAAGAAATAAAACATAATTTTATTTCTTCTATGTGTCTGGATAGGCTTGCCTAAACAAATATTTTTTAAGCAGGCATCAAAAGAAATGTAGAGAAGGCACCTGCCTGTTGTCAATAAGCAGGGAGTTTGTTGCCTTTGTTTTTGGTATTTTAGGTCCAGAAGTTCCAGATTCCTGCATGACATGTCCTAGCATTGATATAGAGTGCTTCTGCCTTGCTGCTGTCACACAACGTAGGTAGTTATTCTTAGCAGTAGTTCAGAACAGCTACAAGGCTTTTCATCTGCTTCAAAGAGTTCTGCTAAACTCCAAAACTTGCAAACTCCTGTGCAGTACAATAAGAGAGTGGTGACCCTGTAGGTTCTGTTAATGGATTTGCTGGTGGTTCTTTCTCATCAGCTATAAATCTCTTTTCAGGTCAAGATCCCGAGATCGCCGTAGACATCGATCTCGTTCTTCCTCACGAGAGCGAAAGAAAAGAACTCGCTCCAGATCCCGTGAGAAACGTCACCGTCACAGGTCTCGTTCCACCAGTCGCAGCAGGAGCCGCAGCCACCAGAGAAGCAGGCATAGCTCCCGGGACAGGAGCAGAGAACGCAGTTCTAAAAAAAGGTAACATTTAGGTCAGCAAGAGGAGCAGTTAATGTCCTCTATTTTACTAGTTTATGTTCAGAAAAGTTGGTAGAAACATTATTCTGTCTTTGATGGTAGTTAGTTTATTCTTAAATGAGGTACAAGTCCTTTGTCATGGGCACAAGTTTGATAATTTGTATTTTTAATGGTTGGATTATTGTGTTTATGTTTGCATTTATATTTGTAAACTGCTTTGAGAAACTTTTGTGATGGGGGGAAGTTGTATTTAATTTGTTAAAATAACAGTGTTTCTGTCCTTCTTTCCAGGACCTACCACCAGGATATCAGTCATTTCCACATGCTTATGTGTAGAGTTCATTTTTGTAATATCTAGATAGTGCCACTACTTGAACTTTATTCAGATGCTTTCTCAAAAGCATCTTTTCATTTGAAACCTTTGACTTTACTACTTTGTTTCTTTTACTGTCAGAGTTTAGACTGTATGCTCCTTGGACAGATATTGTCTCTAAGTTCAAGTTGTTTTTTAATAACCATAGGTCAACACAATGAAAGATAAAAGAACTTACGGTAGTACAAATCACCTTAGTTTGTAGCTGTTGGAAGCACATATGTTGCTGGAATTATATAGAAATAATCTGTTGGCATTGGATGCTTGGAACCTGTACGCTTCTACCAATGTGCAAGCTCTTATCATCCTAACACGTCAAGTGATGAGAACATTGGCCTGGCTTGCACATAATGGTAAATCATGGTTTAAACCATGCCTTGTTTGATCATTCAAACTGCCCAGCAGCTTAACTATGGTTTGTTTAGTGCAGTGTTTCTCAGACTTGGATCTCCAGTTGTTGCTGGACTACAACTCCCATGATCCCGAGATAGCAGGGATGATGGGAGTTGTAGTTCAACAACATCTAGCAACCCAAGTTTGTGAAACAAGCTTGGATTGTTTTATCTTCTCTGGGACAATTTGTGGTGAACCTGTTCATTAAATTATGGCTTAAACCCTTACTGTATTTAGCATTACTTGTGAACTAGCCTGTGGCTTGACTTATCCAAGAAATGTTTTTGCTCTAATTGCAGCATAGTTACATCAGTTGACCAGTAATAATATTGACTTTGATGACATGAAAATTGACTAGCTGCAACAGTTTGTCTCTTCCCCTTAACTTTAGAATTATGAATGGAAGGAGAAGGCAGTGGATTCCAGATGTAGCAAGTGATCCTAGTTTGACCCCATAACATTTTTGTGCTATGGCTTCTTAAGCTCTGTTAGGCAGTTTCTTGCTGTGCCCTTTTATGTTCTGTTCAGCCAGTCTCTTTCATATTAATAAAGAAAATTAAAAACCAAATCAAGTAATGTCTGTTTTCAATGCATTGTATTTTCTTTCCAGATCCTCAAAAGAAAGAGCTTCCAGAGATCAAGAACGATCAAGAGACCGTAACAGAACATCACATGACAAAGAAAGGAGCCCCAGAGAAAAGTCACCTAGAGACCGAGATTGCAAAGACAGGAAGCGTTCCTATGAAAGTGCTAATGGCAGATCAGAAGACAGGAGAAGCTCAGAAGAGCGTGAAGCAGGAGAAATATAATTGGCTGTACATTCACTTGATCCTTTAGCTTCCTATGGAGTTGCATACTGTGGTTTAGTTTACAGTTATTCAAAGGGACACCAGTGAGCAGTTCCACACACTGATCCAACTAGGGTAGATGTACAGTGTATAAAAATGGTTATAATGAAGTCTGAATTGACCCCTTTCAGTTGATGACAGCTAAAGCAGTGTCCTTTTTTCTCTTTTCCAATAAACTTCTAAAACATTATTTTCAAAGATCTCGCTTCGAAAAGACAACAATTTTATGTACCAAGACGTAGATCTCAATGTTTTATTCTCCTTTTTCAATACAAGTTATAGTGAACAAACTATATTGTGCTCTTTGCCTTGGATGCATTCAAACCTTTATAAACTACTCTAATTTTCCTCCAGTTGAAACAGCAGCACTGAGTGGTTTTTAGGGAAGGCGGGAGGGCGGGTGGGTCCCAAAGCTTTTAATTAACTCTATAATATGGTGTTCTCAGTTGCTTCTTGAGAGCCTAGGTTTGGCAGTATGTTTTAGACGGGATGTGTGCTGGAGAAAATTGAAAGTTTTTGGGTTTTTTTACAGTGCCCATTTAGACTTTGAAATTGAACAGCTGTTGCATTTCATCCTTTTTATTAATTTCTATTGAAACTTTGAAATCAAAACCAGTCCCATATCTCTGTACCACTTGATTGGTATGTGTTCAGTATACTTGGTTCTTTTTCCATAAGATTTTTTCTGCTTTTCTTGTGGGGTGTTAACTGCACATCCTTAATTGTAAAAAACAACAAACCAATAATAAAATAAATAAATAAATAAAATAACAATTTTGTCCCTTGAAGTAGCTGTGTGTTTCCCCACTCCTTCCTCGCAACTAAACTGCTTGTTGATAATGTCCATGCTTTCTATCAGGTAAATTGTATCTGGAACCTGCATGGTGATACATTGTTTTTTACCTGGATGGTAACACTGTGTTTGAGGTACACAGTTGTAATAATATATCCCTTTTATGAAACAGACTATCTGCATTTTGAGGAACAGCAACATCATGTTGCTTTTACAATGGCAGCTTCCACTTGGGGAAGTTAAGATGTTTATAGAATTTGCTGTTAGCATGCCCACACAGACTTGCTGCAGTCTAGTCACAGCTCAAAAAATTATTTATTGCTGAAGATGTGATTGGATGAATATATTCGGTACTCCACATATAAATGTGTACATGGCCTTCATTTGTATTTACAAATAAACAGAGTTGGAGTTGGAGTTTGAACTGGCACTGTTTCCATTAGATTGAGAGAAGCTATATAATTCAATACCATCTGTTAACAGTTGAGAAGGTGCTTTTCTTCAGAGCTAAGAGAGTATAATAATGAGGCTTCTCAAATTGATTTGATTTTTGTTTCAGTCCCCTTGCATCAGCAAAGTCGAGCACGAAACCATTGTTTATATTTTTTTAACTAGTTTGTTTTTATTACTTTGTATTTTATAGTGATGTTTCCCCAATAATTTTTATTGTTTTTCATTTAAATACAAGAACATATAACTACAGTAACTTGTCCAGTACTACATTTTTACTGGGTTTCATATGCAGTGAGTACATAGCACACAGACAATACGTTTACTTACGTATTGTCAATTGAAGTAGTCTCTCCGGAGAGAGTCTTGTGTTGAGAGTGGAATAAAAGTGTATTCTGTCTCATTTATGGAGGGAAAGAAAGGAAGTCAAGTCTCACCAAAAGTGTCCATTCTTGAAGTGCTTTTAATTACCCTTCTGTGATGAGTAAGACATTCCGAAAAAGCCACACTCCAAATATTTAACCAGAAGTCAATGGCAATTTCTGTAGAATGCTTCCAAATACTTAAATCTCTGCATTTAAGGCTATTTGAATTTGGGTCTAATAATATGTTGAGAGCTGAACTGGGTGAGGGGTTGGTGTGTAATTTTAGAAATAATGTGAAACATCTTTTCCCAAAAGAAGTATACGAACATGCAGCTCCACCTTGCGTGAAAATGTGAGCATCTCTCTCTGCAGCCTTTCCAGAATAGAGGAGAGATAGTGATTTATGTTTTGGTGAGAGAGTCCAGTGCCAGCAAAAGGTAATTTTGAGAGAAGCCACCTACAGATGAGCAGAGAAAACTCATAGGGATGGGTTGTGCCAAATTGATTGCCATTTATGATCTGCCACTATAATCCCTAAATTCCCCCACCCTACTGTCTGCAGGCCTCCTGTATCTCTTGTGTATTGTTCTAAAAGAATGCAATAAAGATTCATCTCCTTTTATGTCATATTTTGATTTGTTACAGAGAGACTCAAATAATGTAAGGGAACAAAGCCCCCCCCTCCCGGTTCTAAATACCTTGGCAAAGGTGCAGAATTGATTAGATTGAAACTGGGCATCATCTGGCTTCTCTATTAGCTTATGATTAGATGTTGCTTTACCTCTAGCAAGATCTCTCATCTGATAAATGCCTCTCTCCAGTTTTTCAAAATTGTCCATATCTGTCTTCCTGTCCAAAAGACAGGTGATTTAACAGCAGAGTGAAAACAAGGAATACACAGTATGTAGAAGGCTCAGGTATATAATTTACCCTTCAACATTTTGTATAAATCTTATGCAATGGCTCCCAAGTACTCACCCTCTTTCACAATTCTGTCCCAGTAAGATATTTTAAAATAGGAATGTGTACCTCTTAGACAGGTCTAAAGGCACTAAGAGTGTGTTTGAACAACATGCATAATGTCTTCAGCAGCTATTTGTACCTGTGGGCAGCTCAACCCAACATCCATTGATGCAAAATGCAGCAGCTGTATCCTAAACTTATTGCTGCCAATGAAAGCAATAGAATACAACATAATTTGTGTTTTGTATGGGGTGTATATATGAGTTAACTTCTATGAAACGCAACTGAAGTATTGAAAGGGAAAAACTTTTTTTCAACCATTTCAGAAGGGAAGGGTCGGGCAGATCAAAGCACCCAGGCATCCCGCTAAGTAGGCGGGTCACCATAGGGACGACCTGTACCCGTTCAAAAATTCCTCTCACATTAGCAGTGAGGACCCGGGCGTCACCCCGGATCATTATTTTCCTTACTCATAAGTTTAAGGCATAAACCTCTGCTCTGCAGCGAAGGCACGTAGTTGAACGCAGCAGCTTTTCAAGTGAGGATGAGCAAATCACAGCGAAGCCACGAGACCACACCAGTCGCGAAGCGCAACCTGGCCTCCCCTTATCAGGGGTGCAATTGGTGAAACAAAGACGAAATCCCCCCTAGCGAGTGCAAAAACAAGCCCTCGCGCGGCCACCGGAGCGCATGCAAATGAGCACTCGGGCTGCGAGGGATTATGGGAATCTAAGTCCTGTCGAAGTCCTTCGCCGGCGTCGCGAGAAGATCCACTTCCAGGGCGAAGGAGAGGTGGTAGGTTGCGGAGGGAGAGGGCGCGGCGACACCGGAAGTAGTTGGCTCTCACGTCCGGGGTTCGGTCGCAGCGACTTGTCTCGGGGCCTAGCGACAACATGGCGGACTTGTCTCTGGACGAGCTGATCCGGAAACGTGGCGTCAGTGTGAACACGAAGGGGAGGTGAGCCGTGGAAACAGCCTGGAGGGCGGAGAGGCCCCCCCTTCCCCGCGAGGGTTCCCTTCCCCCCACGTCGCTGCCCGGGGGCGGGATCCGTGCTCTGCTCCGGCAGGATCCGGCTGGGGATGTGCACTCGGTGCTCCGATTGGCGCGCTCTCCTGTCAGTCATCGCCCCCTGGAGCGTTCGGTTCTGCTTGGCCATTCTCGGCAGTGAGGTGTCCGAGGCCGAGTGTATGTGTTTCGCAGCATAGACGTGGGTCTGCGTGGAGAGGGGGCAGCACCCTCCTTCCGCAGGTCTCTCGGCGCCTTCATTGTACTGATTCTGGCGCTTTGTCCCTAAGGGCGGCCCAAAACATTTTGTGCATTCTAAGTGGGGCATCTTGTGTGCTGAGATGGGACAGTATTTGTTTCGGGGTGACAAACTGCGCTATTCCATACAACCAATAACTGATTGTAGAGACTTTTGGGGTGGCTTTGTGCATTGGGCCAGCCCTGCTTCTTTGCCTTGTGCATCATACAAAATTATTGGCCTTTGCTTTTCATACTGCCAATGTTTCTGTTCCTGAACTCTCTTTTTTTTGCTACTTTTACACTTCCTTTGACATGCAAGGCGATCTACAGCCTCCATAAACAATTGTTCTATTATAAGATTGAGCCGTTTCTGAAGAGGATGGTCTGTTGTGCCTTCAGCTGAATTCACAACTGGATAACACAAGTTAAATCCACAAAAAAGAGGGCATGCTTTAGCATGGGAAATGTTGCTTAAGTAATAACGCAGAGAAATATGTCGCATAAGAGAGCATTTAGATAAATAACATCTTTGTTTATCTGCGGTGAAGAGGTCACACCTTTACAATGTTGCTGCCAAAGGCCACCATTAGATTTATAGCTAGCTCTGCTAAGGCTAAAAAGAAAAAAAAGATCTCAAATCAGACATCCACACTCCCAAGGGAACAGGCGGCACTCACCTTTCATTCTGATTCTTAGACAGTGTCCACCAGTTTGAGTGAAATGTGTTAAACAGAGAAGAAAAAAACCAGCCAACATGTTCTTTGAAATATATTTAAGAATTAATTCTGATTTCCCCCTTTCCCCTCCTATAAAAGCATGTTTTCCATTTAATATCAGGATGTTCTATTGTAATTGAAATGCTGCTTGGTAAGCGGACTAGATTTCAGTTACATCTCTTAAATTCCCTGTTATATATATATTTAACCCTGTATCCCATTTCAACCCATTTTAACAATATCCCAAAATTTTGGTGTAGTACATGCATTCTTCACAAACACAGATCTGTGGTTGAAATATGAATTTCAAATTTTGAAAGCTATGAGGGGCAAGCAATTCTATCTCTGTTAAATATTAATTGTTTTCCAAAGGAATGTATGTATATTAGATTATCCTTGTCAGTCAACTTGTATAATAACACTGGATTCCATTGTTGGCCTTTTCGCAGGTCTTGGTTGGTGTCTTCCCTTTTCTTTCACCAGCTCCAGCCTTCTCTTGAAGTTCACATTTTAAAATCTTGTCATTCCTCCTGCAATGCAGGAATCTCAGCTAGATCATAAATGACAGGTGGCCATCCAACCTCTGCTTAAAAACCTCCAAGGAATGAGAGTCCATCATCTCTCATGGAGTCTGTTCCACTGTTGAACATCTCTTACTGTCAGAAAGTTCTTCCTGATGTTTAGTCGGAATCCATGTTTACTCGGAATGTGAATCCATTGGTTTGGGTGCTATCCTCCGGAGCAGGAGAAAACTGCTCCAGCACTTTAAATATTGGATGATGTCTATCATATCTCCTCTCAGTCTCCTCTTTACCAGGCTAAACATACTCAATACCCTCAATCATTCCTCATAAGGCTTGGTTTCTGGACCCTTTATCATGCTGGTCACCCTCCTCTGCACATATTGCAGCTTAACTTCTTAAAATGCAGCAGTTTGTTTGCTTTTAACACCTGACATTTCTGTTCCAGGCTGAACACAAGGCCATTATTTGGTGGTAGACCTCGAATTGGAGTTCAACAAACTTTTCTAAGCAGATCAGCACCAAGTGTTGGTTTCCAGAGGACATTTGATGCACGACAGAAGATTGGCCTTACTGATGCCCGACACAAAATTGGCGTGAAAGATGCCCGGGAGAAACTGCTTCAGAAAGATGCCAGGTTTAAAATCCAAGGAAAAGTGCAAGACGCCCGGGAAATGCTGAATTCCCGAAAGCAGCAAGTGACCAAAGTTGTTGATGCCAGAGAGAAGATCAGTCTGAAAAGGAGCGCTCCTAGTGCAGCTGTTGTGAAAGCTGCTGTGGAAACGGTGGCCCCTGCCATGAAGATCACAAAAACAATTCAAGTAGGTTATCGTCAATATCTCTGCAGTCTATTGTTGTCTCTCCAGCACTATCCTATGTGTTGGCAGCTCCTGGAGCACTAGTTGCATTTATTTCAAGGGAAACAGTTGGGGAAAGCATTAATGTGGCATTATATCGCATGTGTAATACAGAAAACGAAATCCATGAATCTGAGTTCTGAAAGTCTGCTTTGTTTCATAATCTGATAATTAAAAGTAGAGATCTTAGTTCTTCCTTTAAGCTTTGAGTATGCCATCATGATGAAACAAGGGATTTCACTGAAATCTTTAGGGGTTAATGATGTGTCTTTCTCTCCCCATCACAGCAGAAGGCTGCAACTCCATTGCACACTCATCCTGCATGCATGAAGGTCAACATTGTGAACAATCACACAAACAAACAGGTGTGTGCCATTCAGTAACAGAGTGGAGTTGTGAAGTGTTGTAAAATCTAGTAATCTTTGAATGTGTGTTTAATATTTATTTCATTTATTTCACTTGCTTCCAGTGAAACACCCTGAAGTGATTTTATGTTTGATTTTGGAGATTGGCATTATAAATTAATTTAAAAGTTTTACTTGCCTTATGTAATATGTTCACAGCCTACAGGCTGAAAGTGTTATCTGCATCCATTTCATTCATACAACTCACAGTTTCCCATATGTGTAGTATCTTGCAGTGACAATTCACAAAGTAGATTTGTGGTGCCTTTGGATCTTACCCCTACATTCTTGTACTCGCTTACTACAATCCTTTCAGTACTTAGGAAATATCATTTTTAACTTCTGACGTCTATGTCTACCTATTTTGATGTTATTGGCCAGTCTTGTATTATCACAGTACACTTGCACAGGAAAGAAATCCTGTTTGCTCTGCCTGCCATTGGCTAATCCTTCATGTTACAAAATTGATGGGCAGATTAATGCTTGGCATTAGTGCTGAGAGGGATTGAAGAGACTCTGGGCCAAACTGAAATTTATGGCAAATGTGTGTCTGCATGTAATGTACTTTTAAAAAATGCTAATTGCCACTAATTGGGAGGGATGCAGTAATAGATTGTGATGGGTGGGGTATTTAACCCATCCCGCACTGTGATCTTGAGGAAATCCCCACTTTTCAAGCTGCTGTTTACATCAGGAGTAAGGTCCCACTGACTCCTGTGGGAACTTTCTGCACAATGCAAATTGTAGCAGGGGAGGGAATTTCACTTCAGATGATGACAGGGAGGAAAAGGTTACATTCCCCCTCATGCCACAATCCTGATCCTCACCCACATCTGCACATGGATATTTGCATTTTAGAAATTGTGCATGTTAAATGCAAAGGTGCGTTTAATATCATGTTTAGATTGAGTCTTCAAATTTGAGTTGAATTGAACAGCCTGAGGTTCCTGTATTGCAGGGGGTTGGACTAGATGACCCTGAGGATCCCTTCTAACTTTACAGTTCTATGAATGCTATTTAAAAGTCCTTTTTAGTTTCATGTCCTGGGATTAAGATGCAGCAAATCAGAGTGGCTACATACATGTATTTGCTGAGGCATATATTCAGAAAAACCTATTAGTAAACATGTATAGAACTGTTTAAGCGCATCAGTCTAGACTCTTTAGAATATCTGTATTACATCAACAGCCAGAAAAATCAAATCAGCCACTTGCATTTATATGTTACTTGGGGTGTTTTTTTGTTTGTTTGTTTCTTTTTAGTCTCCGTATGATGTAGAAGATGATGAAGAAACTGTATCTCCCCTTCCTAATAAGCAAATGAAGATCACTACCACAAACAGCTTTCTGCACAGTGCTGTAAGGGTCTGTCTCATTAGCTTCTCCACTCCCTCTACTTCCCAGTGGACACGTACTTTGGTTGTTTTGCATGTGCTCGCGCTGTATTGGCTGGACTTACTGGTTCCAGGTTTATGGTATTCTTGCATTCTTTTACCCTAAAACAGGGCAGCAGATTGCTGGCCCATGGGCCAGATGTGGCCTATAACAGGTTGCCATCCAGCCCATGCCCCATAAAGTGAGCTGTTGTGGAGGAATAGATCTCTGTTTCCATCCCAGCAGACTACTCTGTTTCTGTGCAAGGTGCAGAGAAAGAAAAGAGATGGGAAGTTAGGGAGAAAAAGGGTTTCTTTGTCCACTGCCAGTAGGTGGCCCATGTCCACTTTCCCCCATGGGAATGGGGCTCTGTAGAGCTCCAACGGCCCCCGAGCTGCTGCTTGCACCTGTACCAAACAGAGTGGCACTAGCCTGCACTACTGGCAAAAACAAACTTGTTTGTTCCCCTGCTCTTGAGTCTGCAGTTAGTCTGTCTTCTCTTTGCTCAGGCAAACCGGTAACTGAAACTGTGTTGTGTCATTTGACTTTTTCTAATCAGAAAGACTCATTCATACTAATCATTTTCAAAGCATTTCATGGCAGAGAGTTCTGTAGGCTAAATGCATTGCCTGGCTTACATAGGGATTTTATTTTATGAAAGAAAGATAAAGAATATTTTATTTACACTATCTGTAGTTGGGCTGATAATGTGCCCTTACTCTTGTCCTAAGCTAAACCTCCAAAACACCCTAGACATTGGAACTGTGTCACTGGGATTAATAGGATTATTCTGGTGGAAACAGAACCTGGATTGCAGCCTAAATTTGATATTATGGATAATCTTTGTCCATTTAGGTATTTGTTTTTTTTTAAAAAAAACACCTTTGAAATGGATAACTAAAATGGTGTGTAGCAATCCAGAATGGATTTATGCTGTGATGTTATGGGGTATGGTATTCTGATTTTCTTTATAAGTAAAGTACCAAATAAAGATGACACTTCCAGCACATTATCTCACAATTTCCCAAGATTGTAGTAACTACCTTAAAACTCTGGGTGGTTTCTGCCATTTTTAGACCCTAGGGACCTAGTTTTTGGAAGATTCTTCCAAAGTTATTTAGCTTATGTCCGCTTACTTGAAGTAAAATCCATTGAATGTGGTAAGACTTCTTTCCAGATAAACATGCATAAATACTCTGTTAGTTTATCCTTCTTGTCTTAAATGCTTCTTGCATACATTATGATTTTACTACATCACAGTTTCTCTTCTTTTCCAGACAACTAATAAAAGCTTCATTAAGATCCTTATTTTCCCAAACTAACAACCTGATTAGTTTGACCTGATTGATCAAAAGTAGTTGGGCAAGGATAAGGTGGGATGGGGGGAGTTTTCCTAACTTGTAAAATAGTTAAAAGTTAATAATGGAATGTACTGTCTTTACACAAAATGTGAAATCTGTTTTCAATACTTGATAATTCAAGTATTTCTAACCCGCAACAATTAACCAGTGTGCACAAATACTAAAAGGAATTTTTGAATGCATTAGCTGACTTCAGGGACTGAATAGTCTTCTCTATGTCACATTGGTTTTGTTTCTAAGGTTAAATCTTTATGGAATGGGAAATCTTGCTGGGTAGCTGCTGCTTAGGGGAGGAGGAATTAGTTCTGCTTCTGGCACTTGCAGTATTCAGGGATTTGTGTTCTCCATTTACATAGGCTGGACTCAGTGGCAACAAGTTCTCTCTGTCAAAGACAGTCCCCCTCACGAAAGTTGTGCAGAATGATGCCTATACGGCCCCCACAGCTCCACCGTCTCCCATCCGGACAAAGGCCCTGACAAACATGTCCCGAACCCTGGTGACCAAGGAAGAACCCCCCAAAGAGCCACCACCAGTTGAGGTGAGTCAAGGACACAAATATCTTTTTGTGGCTGCTACAGCTTCCTATTCTGGATTTTCATAAGAAGAAGAACAAACCCTGTTCAAGTGCAGCTGAATGGGGGGAAATTATTTCCTTCTTCCAGAGAAAACAGTGGAATTGGACATGGTAACTTGAAGAACTGGTAGAATCTGAAACCCATTTGCTTCTCATGCTTGCTGTGCAGACATTTGTCATATATGATTTCTTGATGAAATATTCTCAGAGATTAACAGAATCTACCAAAAACAGTAGAAATTAAATTTTGAAGGCTGGATTTTGCTGAATCTTACCCTTGTCTTTCCCCCACTTCCTCAAAGCCCTGTTTACTTTGATCTATCTCCCCGCCCCCCAATCCCAGACTATATGCATGTGACACATTTGTCTGTTTCTTGGCAGCCGGCCTTCAGCCCATTAGAAGGTACTAAAATGACTGTGAATAATCTGCACCCTCGAGTCACTGAAGAGGATATTGTTGTGAGTACTGTATATTGTTGAAATCAGGGGTTTGCTTGTGTCCTGTATCCGTGTTCTACCCAATGTTTATAAAGTAAAATGGAATGTGTGCTTTCTTGGGAGAGCCTGGAGAATCTTAGGTGGTAGCAGTAAGGAGCTAGGTAGATGTCTGCAAAAGCTCCAAGAGGCCTAAATATCTTCAGAAAAATTAATTGACTTGAGAGCAATCTAACGACTTTGAGGAGAGCCACCCCGTGTGTTCCAGAATTACTCTCCTGAATGAAGTCTTGACAGGCTCCATTGTGTTCTTCACACAGTAGGAAAGTTTCCAAAGTTTGTGAAATCCAGAACATTTTGCAGGCAGCGCTCTGACGCCAGGTTTACTGTCACATTCCCTTTGACTTTTGGTGTGGGGGAAATGATCCCAGTGTAGCTTTAGTTAAACTGGATGTTCCGTTGCTCTACATCAGGGATGTCCAACTCCCAAGAGACTGTGATCTACTCCCAGTATTAAAAAACTGGCAGTGATCTATTCATTGGAGGGAGGAGGAGCATGCGTGGGGTGGGTGGATTGCCCACAGTTGTTGATTTTTTTGGGGGGAGGATTGCACAGTTGTTGAGCTGTTTTCCCCCGTGACTTTCTGTACACAACAAGGATCCCGCAATCTGCCAGGGATCTACCAGTCTACTGGTTGGACATCCTTGCTCTACATGTAGTTTTCTGAGAATATACGGGACGTTAGGAATGCAAGGACTTCTTCATGTAATGCATGAGAAACTTTAGGCATTCACTCTCACAAGATGTGATTATTAGATCATGCGGCTTTTAAAAAGGAACAGACATAGTTGTGGAACATGGCTCTAATTGTGGATAGCTACATCAAACCTCAATTTATACTGTCTGTTGGGTAATAAAGTACTCTGATTCCGAGTTTATTACCTAAAACATGGATTGTGGGGTGGGGGTGAGGGAGGGGCCTCTGGCCCGCAGACTTAACTAGGTCCACTCAGCCTCCCAATTTGGTCTGCTCTGCTGTTCTTCCCCAGCCACAACCATATGTCACTCAGCTGATATCATACAAACAAAGCACCCGCTGCAAAGGAATAATCAGGAGCCTTGGAGTGTGCTCCCAATGTTCCTTTGCAAGTGCTGTTTGTGTTCAACACTGTTCAGATTGGGTGCTGAATGCAAGCCACACTGCTTTCACCAGGGTCAGAGGCACCTGACAAATGACATCAGATGATTGACAAGAGAGAAGCCTGGGTTATTGGTCAATTGTAGCAGATGGAGGGTCAGCCACAATTTGAATTGGTCCTGTGGTCAAAAAGTGGTTTCCCATCCCTGACCTAAATATATTTATCTGACTGTTGTTGGAAACAGAAGGCTGGACTAAGTGTTCCTCTGTGTGCTCCAGCAAGGCAACTTCTATGTTCTTAATGTGTGAGTGTTCAAATATCAGAGTTGGCAGCTGTGGCCTTGACTTCCACACTAAATTCCACACTAACAAGAAATGCTTACAATCACTGATAACAGTAGCAAAGATGAGCTAAGTTAAATAAAACTATACTGTCCTTTGCTCTTTCCTCAGGAGTTGTTCTGTGTATGTGGTGCCCTAAAGCGAGCCCGTTTAGTGCACCCCGGAATGGCTGAGGTGGTGTTTGTGAAAAAGGAAGATGCCATTACTGCGTATAAGAAATACAACAACAGATGCTTGGATGGTGAGTGTGAGCCTCATGTAGAACGCAGAAACGTTTTACTTCCCTGAAGATCTCAGATGGTACTTCTTCTGTGTGTAAGAAGTCAGGAAATTATTAATTGTTAATGACTACCACGAGGGGCTGAGCAGTTCTTAGACTATTATTGTATCAGATCTTTAGAAGACACAAAATTTGCTCATATTGGAGTGAGAGTGATATTGCAGTCACATAGATGATAACTTGCCCCTAGACCAACTGGATATACAGTACAGTGATACCAAGTTTGTGAGAATTAATGCTCTTGAGAGACTGCAGAAACTTTGCTGTTTCAGAGTTTGGATAAATAGTTAGGGTATTGAGATGAGGAGGGATATTGGTTCATTTTGTCCTTGTTTTTATTATGTATTTTGTGTTTATATCTTGTATTTTTATGCTGTGACTGCCCTGAGCTCTGCAGATGCAGGGCAGTATACAAATTTAAATAATAATAATAATAATAATATATCTCAAAATAGAGAAGCGTAGACTCAAACTGTGTATAATGGTGGCAAATCCGTGCATTCAAATCCAGGGATCTTGTTTAATGAGCAGAATGGATGCACAGTGAAGAAACCTATACCACTTTCCTAAGGTTTAATACGGTTTTCTTTGTTCTTCTCCATCAGGCCAGCCGATGAAATGCAACCTTCATATGAATGGGAATATCATCACATCAGACCAACCTATCTTGCTGTATGTGCATATGGGTTTGTGTTCATAAAACTATGGTGTAACATTTTTGCTCCTTCACAAGGTGCCATATAATTTTTGTACCCAAGCAAAATACCAAACAAGAGTTTGTTGATATTCAGATTAAAGCTTTTTTACTAATTTTCCTATATATCCAGCACTGCTGTTCAGATTATCATCTGTATGAACAGTTGTCCTTCCATCTAAATATGGCAGTAGGCTTCTCCCAGCCTGTAACTGCTTGCTTAATAATCAGAACAACAGTTTTGGTTCAGCAGTATAAATTGATCTGCATTTCACCATTCGACAACTATTGATGGTGGAGCTCCCATGGGTTCTCTGTGTTCTTCTTCTTTTCCCTTTCCATGACTTTTTATACCTTAATCTGAAATCCTGAAAAGTACACTTGGCTTAAGCTAGCTATGCAGGCAATGGATGGTAACTGCTGAAAAGAGTAAGCTCTGCTGCTTGACTTGACACTTGTTCTGTTGTGAGGCTAAATAGTCTCTTCTTGTTCTCCCTAGTCGATTGAGTGACACCCCCTCAGTGAAGAAGGAAGGTGAACCACGTCGGACAAGTGTAGGAGCCGCCTCAAATCCACCAGCTGAAGTGGATCCTGATACCATCTTAAAAGCACTCTTCAAATCCTCAGGGACCTCCGCCTCTGTGCAACCTACAGAGTTCAAAATCAAACTTTGAGGAGTGGCAGGCAAGGAGTGGACTGGAAAACTTGTTGAGCGTGGGAAATAGGGAGACAAGTGTGGGAACGCAACTGATGTTGTGTTTGACCATGCTGAAACCTTTGTTTTTCTACAATTGCTACCTTCCTGTACAGTAGTGTTCTCCCTAATGTATGTGTTCTGTTTTCATAGTTGGAGTTTTTGTCCACATATTTCTAATGGAATAATCTTCCCTTCCTCCAGTGATATATCACCAAGCTTAGAACATTTAACTCTTTTTCCTTTGTTTCAACCACCCTACCTGTATCCAGCCAGTGAAAAGTGCAGCTAGCAGAGGATGTGAGTAGCATCTGTTTGGCACTTGCACCCTTTGAGTGAGAGATGAGAGTCCTTTTTGCTTTTTACTGATGATGGACTGCATTTCCTTTTCAATTCAGCTCTGTCTGTGGCAGAGGCCAGGATTTGGTAGCGGTTTTAGCTGTTCTGAAATTGTAAAATTAGTGAAGGAGAAGCAGCAGCAGCAAATGTTCTCTTCGTTCAGCAGCTAATGGAAGGGACTGTGAAGGCAATGCAAATAGGTCTAGGCACAGGAACATAGCACATCTTACACTTCATCGTCTTCTTTTGTCGTTGTAATAATCTGCTAGTGCACTGAGAGAAAGAAGCATGTGCCCTGGTGTTGGTGTACTCTTCAGTCCAGGAAGTCTCACAGATGCTCTCTTTGTGAGAATGCATGGGCTTTCTTTCACTTTGTACCATTTACAATGTGTTTTTACTATGAAATTATGTATTGGGCAAGAAGAAAGTGTTTCTGGCTTCAGCAATCACTTCTCATGCCTGATGCCTTAGAAGCACTGCAGTGAACAGAGGTCCTCGTTCATTCAGTCCTGACAGATTCCGATGCACCACTATGTTTTGTAGCACCTACACCTTTCTTGGAGGTTAGTGACACCCAAATAAACTCCAGTGATAACCCCCTAGGAACTATTTCTACAGGGCATCTGTTTTTACCGTACACTACCTTATCCCCAAGTGTAATAGTCAGGAAAAAAATCCAGCCTCCTGCGCTCATCGAATTGTCAATTGTAAGAGTTGCATCTTTCAGTACTCTGGGCATGACTGCTGCTCCTGTACAGCACTGTTGCTTATTTTTCTGTACTGGGAAATGGTGAGTGTATCTTGTGGTTCATATAGAGGAGAATCTATCGGTTTGGCATAGAACAGGGATAGCAGGAAAATGAGTTGCCTATAGCAAAGCGAGGATGATTTGTTTTTTGGCCATGTTGAATTTCCTCTGACATGCCAGTCTTTGCTAAGACAAAAACATACTTCCTTTTTCTAGCAACCCATTTAGTCCAGTGAAAATGGAAAACTGACAAGGGTTAAGAATAACTGCATTGGTTTTATACTAAATAAACATGCAGATACTTGTATCGGGGCTTGCATTTTTATACTTCCAGCTACAAGACGAGAGCATTGCTGTTTATCTGTGCTAAAACCCTGCAGTGTAATATATCTGCTTTCTTCCATTGTAGAACCTGGTGCTCAGTGGATTCTACATTCCTTTTGCTCTTTGTTCTGTACAGTTTCTTAGTTTCATTTAGCAGGTACACACGTTATGTCACACAATAAACCTTCACAACATGGAAGGCATTTGCTTCCCAATGGGTTTTTTAAATCTGAATTACTAATTTAGGACCGGTCATAATTTCACCCTTACTGGGGAAATGTGCTTATGAACGACAAATGATATTTTGTGCAGAACTGCTGTTCGCTGTACCTGTGTTTCATTAGCAGCTGGTTACAGGGGAAGGGAAGGTTGGGGCTGGAGGACACTATGTATTATGTTTCTGAATAAACGTTTGTTATACAGAACCTGTATTTTGCCCTGACTTCTTGGATTGGAAGGAAATCAACTGATTAGTCTATTGAGTCCTGTTGGTTTTTCACTTTTTGGGGGTGCCTGTCAGCAGAATCAAATAATAAAGCTTTCTATGGATTGTGTCTTTTAAGGCTGCTGCTGGGGGCTGCCATGTTTAAATTCTGTCCCATGGAGATGGGAGGGAAAAAGATCCAGTTCCCTGAAATGCTGTTCTTTATGTGCAGGAAGATTTTTTTGTAGGGAATGTTTGAGAGGTCATGAGAGAATATTGCATAGTCTATCAGTGAAGAAGAAAACAGGATTATGTGGCATAAAAACAATATGCTATTTCATCTTCTATGGAGCTGTTTTGTTTGACTATAGACTTCTAGGGCATTTTGACAGGTTTGCCACATCCTCACGCATCTCTGTTAAAAGAAGAAATGAAATAGAAAAGCATTAAAAAAACACAGACATGTTACAAGGCTGTTTTGATCTAATAAAAATACTTGTAAAGGTTTAAACATGTAATGGTTCTGAGCATAGCAAAGGGGCAAACTGAATAACAATATGATTTTCCATCTATATTTTTAGCTGGTAAGATTTCTCATTACTCATTATGATAGCTGTAGAGATTTCACTACCACCACTTTGTATCTTTTGATCTCAGCTATACTACTTGGGAGAGTATGTGAGAAAGCCAAGGTTTACTTCAGAGGTTCCCAAACTGGTCTGTAGACCAGCAGTGGCCTTTGATCTTCGTTCAGGTGGCCTTTGGCATGTCCACATTAAGTACTGAGTTTTAATTGTATGCTATTGCATATATTGCACTCCAGTTTGGATGCAAAGTGTGATGCAATAAAATACAAAAGCAAAAAAAAAAAAAACACAATTTGAAAGTATATAGCATCTAGCAAAACACTTAACACCAGGAAGAAAAAAAATCATTAAATTGCCAAGACCCTCAGCGATTTTCATGGCGGGGAGGGGAGAGCCACTGCCTTAATTTGAATCTGAGCTGGGCCTTGGCGCATGTTCCCTGGGCGCCGCTGTGACCACCCAGCAAAACGAGAAGATGCGCGTGAATCTAACTGGGCTCCATCATACCGCTGGGGCTCCTGCGCACGCGTATTTGGGAGTAAGCCCCGCTGAACCCAGCATGCTTTGGATTAGGATTGCGCGGGAGCTGGAAGGGCGCGCTAAATCCAAGGACGACAGCTGGAGAGGTGAGGTGGCGGCTATTTTCCATAGCACCCAGACCCGCCCCCCGGGAATTAGGACTATCTCCTTCACGCCGCCCATCCTGGGCACCCTGAAGAACTACTACTCCCAGAAACTTTTGCGCAGTCCGTCTTGGTCTGCCGGGTGACGTCACTTCCTCCCGGTCCGTTAAGATGGCGCCGTCCGAAAGGGCGCGTGGGGAAGGCGTCGAGCCGGCTGCGCCCCTCGGCTATGCGGGTGAGCAGACCGGGTTGCCGGCATAGCGGTTCCTCCAGAGCCGCGGGAGGGTCACGGGGGGGGGGGCTCGCCACCTTTCAAGGTGCCTGCAAGGCTCTTCTCTGGACTCGCTCTCGGTGCTGCCGGGCTCCCCGGGCTGCAGCCGCCCTGCCTTCCGCAAGGAAAACCGCACTCGCCATAGCTCAGGCGTTTCTTCAAGATTCTTGCCACTAAGGCACGAATCCTGGTGAGGCGACGACGCAGAATTATGTATTCGAAGAGCATTATTGATGTGTGTTTGTTCCTCCTATGGGGAGCTCCGTATAGAGAAATTCGGATAAATTATGGAGAGAAATTCGACACTTTATTCATTGGATATGTGACTAGGCAACAGGTTCTCACACCGCTGTCCCCTGTCCCCCCAAAAAGTAGCGTTAAACAAGAGTGTTTGTTCTTTCTAATTCGCTTCACGTGAAGGCGTGTTTTTTTATAGTTTTTGAAGGTTTTAAAGCACAACCATACTGCATGCAAGTTGATCGGGCAGGACGTTTCTGCACATGTAGCTTACCTTTGGATTTGATGGGGTAGGGTCAGGATCTGAAGGAGAAATCTTAACAAATGGGCTTTTGCAGCAAAATGAGAGGTGCTTTGTATGTGGGATTTTGGGTTGGGCAACCAAACTATCCTCTGCCCCATCTCTGGTCTCCCAGGCCCTAGTCCAACTCTCCACACGATGTGGTGGGGTGCATGTTTTTTACTACGAAAGATGTATTTGGGTGAGGGGAGCTGAATCCTCTTTCTGGACTGTCCTCCATTGCTTCAGGCACTTTTGTGCCAGCCCAGCTCCAATGTCTGGAGTGAACAAATTTTAAGAGAAAAATGACTGAAGTGATGCAGCACAGGGACATAAGGTGAAGGAAGAGGGCTTAGCTCCAGTCACCCACACTCACTGTAACTTTGCCCCATTCACTTGTAGACATACCAATAAACAGACATTTCTAAAAGACATTGGCTGGGTAACATGATTAGTGTTTGCAGGCTGTTGTCTTTGATGTATCAAAGTGTCCTCCAGGTTATAGCTATTTGCTCCACAATTTTTCTTTTAGCTATTCCAGTTAAGTTCTCTGAAGAGCATCATTTCCCTCACTACCTCTATGTAAAGGAGCACAAAGTCAGGGAGGACACGGATGTGAAGAGGCCTCAAAACCGCACACTTTTTGTCTTGAATGTTCCCCCATATTGTACAAAGGTGAGTTTATTGGGGGGGAGGGAAGGGGATTATATGAGGGCCCCAGCGACCTGTAAACTTGGGACAGCCAAGAAGAGAACAAATATTGATACAGTGGTACCTCTACTTACGGACGCGATCTGTTCCGGGGTGCCATTTGCACCCCCAAAAGTCCGTAAGTAGAGCACCGCTTCTGCGTGTGTGTGGTGTGATAGAGCGCTCCTGTGCATGCAAGAAGCTTGCAGATCGCTCATGCGCGAAGCAGCGAACCCAAAAGTAAACACTTCTGGGTTTGCCGTGTTTATAACCAGAAAAAACGCAAGGTGAAGCAGACGCAACTCGAGGTATGACTGTATTTAATTTGGAGAGCTGCGGAGAAAATGTAGAAGAGAGAGAATGTGTGTGTTCTTCTGGCTTTTAGAACATGTTTGCTATTTTTAAAAAGTGTATCTCAAAAATAGTAGACGTACACAACACATAAGTTATGGGAAGACACTAATCACTGCCTACTGGATTGCATTTGAGTTTCCTGGTCATCCAATCAGTGAACTTCACTATCAGTTCACTAAATTACTAGGGACAGCTGCAATATCCTAGTTGTCGGGTGTTCTTAAAATATAGGCTATATGAGTATCTGCATAGGAGATTGTAGCTACTGGCCTGCAGCTGGTTGTTAGATGTAAATGACTAGGTAGGGTATGATTGAAGAAGCTGCCTCATACCTAGTCAGACCGTTTGTTCTGTCTAGCTCAGAAATTGTCTGCTATGTAGCTCTCAAGAGTTTCAGATGGGGCATTCCCAGCCATACCTGGAGATGGCAATAGCTAGAGATCAATGGGATGAAAAAGAGGGAGAAGATGAAGCTTATGTGAAAGAAGTAGAATTGCTTTGAAGAAGACAGTTATGTTAGGATATTAGAACTCTTATTAACTATTCTGTACTTATGCTGAATATTATGTTCTATAATTAATATACGTTGAGATATACTAACTATAAGCCACCCAAACACAGATTTAACTATCTTTGTTAGTATATCTCACCCATCATATCTTGTGTGGGTTTGCTCAATTAAGCATGCAGAGGTGACTTGGGGAACCTTTGGCTCTCCTGATATTGTTGGACTACAACTCCCCTCATCCCATTCTGGTGGGGATTGATGGGAAGTCTGTACACTGCAGACTAACTGTGAGTGAATTACCAAGTGACCTCCAGGGACCAGTGCCTTGTAGAGGAACCCTGAAATGTAAATTAATGTTTAATTAATATGTGAATCAACAAGATTGGTAACTCTTCTTAGTTTTCTGTTCCTCTATTATTATTATTATTATTATTATTATTATTATTATTAGTTTTGCCCCGAGGAAATGCCTAGGGTAAGAAATGGTAGCAAGCCCAAGTCCTGAAAGGAAAGGGGCAGAGCAGGACATGTTGTCAAGGGCATTAGAAGGTGGGGGGGCAGTTTTCAGCCATGAAGTGCCAAAGGATCAAGTACAGATATTAGAGAGGTAACTAATAATAATACAAGTATTAGAGAGGTGAGATGATGAGGGGAAATAATGGGGGGTGATTTCAGGTTTCAGGAAATGTCCCTCTTATAGCCATGAATTGTCCTGAATTTCATTTTGTTGCTTGAAGGAATGTTTCTCCAGGCTGTTCTCGAGCTGCGGTTCTGTCCGCTCCGTGGAGATGTGTGACAAGCCAAGTCTGGGAGAAAAGAAAGAAATGCCCAAGACGAAGTTTTTCAACACAGAAGCACTCCAGGTAAATCTTGAACCCTTGAGCAAGGGTGGAATTTGGAGAGGTGGGTGGGAATGTAGCATTTTGGGGGTGGGGGGAAGGACTCTTAAGAAAAGGACCAGAGCTAAGGCTTGACTCCCTGTTACAGCAGCTTGGACTTCATTCCCTGCAAGTTCAGCCAGCCTTGCAATTTGACGTCTGCCTGTGTGTCAGGCAAAAAGGCTGCTACTTTAACAGTACCAAACTGCACTGTGGAGTTTGAACATACCCTCTCCCCTTTCCCAAGCAATATAGTGCGGAAAAGGCTTTCATCAAGGGGTGGAGGAAGGAAAGCAGGCAGTGCACACGGCATGTTTCGTGGGTGAGCGTTCAGTTCTGGAGGCTGTGCACATCCCTCTTCGCCTCTTCCATGTTTGAAAACCCAGCAGCACACATGCAGCTGGACCCAGAGCTGAACCTCAGAGGCAGCATGTATGGCTGGCTCTCTTTTTTCATGTAAAAAGAGATGAGGGAAGGGAGGGGAAGCATGACGAAGCCAGGGGAAAGAGCAACAGGGATGTGTTTTCCCCCTTGAGTGGGTGTTTCAGTGGCTGGCTAAACCTCTCATTCTTCGGATTGTATGTGAGTGAAAACAGACCCAGTCCATAATCATGAGCTTCTTGCTTTATAGGGGTTCAAGGTTGCTTATGTTGTGTTCAAGAGTCCTGCTGGGGTGCAGGCTGCCAAGTCCTTATCAACAAAAGACCCCCTGGTGATATCTTCCAAAAGGCACCCTGTGCAAACGGGCATTCACAGTAAGTGAACCACAAATGCCTTGAAATTCCCTCTTTCTTCCTGGGCTGGCCTTCAGGTGTGTAAGGATTTAGTTTGTGGCTGGTGGAGAAATGTGAGTGTTGTACAGGCTGGGCAGACCAGGCTTCAACTCCCCATATGGCCATGATGCTCACTTGGCAAATTTCTCTCTCAGCCTAACAATCCTCATGAGAGCTACTGTGCAATAACATTTGGGGTGAGAGTAGGGTGGGGAAGAGCTACCCTGAGCTCCTTCGTGAAAGAAGGGGACAGAAATAGAATACTGGTATACCAGTCAGTGTACACCACTTAGAGGGGACTGTGAGTAAGGAGTATACAAATTCTTTAATTTAACAACATTAGGTGTTCACCTCTTGACGAGATTATATTTACCCATCCTTTATTACTTTTGCATTCCCCAGGCACCTCATTCACCTTGACTAGGCAGGGCACCTTGTCTCACTCAAATGCAAAGCTGCTACCAGAGGACCCCCCACGTCTTCCATTTCCATCTACAACCATTATCAATCCTGGTAGAACATAGGCTTTCCCCAGCCTCTGTGCTGTATAGTCAGACTGCCTTTGATTAGTTAAAGGAAGAGAATGTAGAGCCACTCCCTGATCCATCTCCTGTCCTGTGACATTGTCTTATAGTAGGGGTGTCTAACCTTTTTTGGCCACCTTCAAGATTCACCACCTCCCTGAGGGCTACATACTGGCTGTGAGTTTCAACAATGTATGTGCATGTGTGTTTGCACCCTCTATTCGTACAACACTTATGCAGGCCACACACACTCACCCCACTAGACATGCAGTCACTCAGCACTTAGCACAGAGAAAGAGAGAGAAGAAAGCAAGCATTTCCAGTCCTCTCCAATCCATCACTGGAGTGAAGGTGGGGGAAACACTGCCGGTTACTCTTAAAGAGCAGGCAGAGGGTTTTATCCATGATCTCAGCACAGTGGTGCTTGGCTCTAAGCTCACAGATAAATGATCCCTCTGCCCGGTCTTTAGAGAGGATTGTCTCTCTCCATCTCAGATTGCTCTCTAAGGATCAGGCAGAGGGCTTTATCTGTCAACCAGATCAGTGGACAAAGAGCAGGGGCTGGTGGATCACTTCCTGCAGCTTGCTAGGCTAGATCTGGGCTGCAGGTTAGCCCCCGTTTTATAGCAGTCAAGGACAGCACTTCCTGTGAAGCACACATTAAAGTAGCAGCAGCATGTCCCAACTTAAATGTACTGTGGCATGGAAGGAATCTCCTTTTCCAGAGTACAGGGGCAACCTCAGACTATAGGAAAAACTGGGCCTTGTTATAACAATAGGATTGATTTCAATAGGCCTTTGGCCAATTAATATCCTACAGCCTTTAAAATGTATCTGTGGGAAGGGGGGTATTGTTTTGTTGTTTTGGTTTAACTACTTGTGTTTTATCTTTTATTTTATTCTATGAACTGCCCTGGGATCTCTTGATGAAGGGTGGTATATAAATTAAGTAAATAAATAGCCAAGCAGCAAGTGGTTTGTGCAGTGATATTTGGTATTTCTTAACCGTAGGTGCCTCTAGTAGGAACTGTCAGTCACCTGCCAGCAAACCACTGCTCATTGACCTGAGAGAACAGGGTTTGCCATCACAGATAGGCATTCAAGTCCAGCATGCTGTCATTCTTAGAAGTAGCAGTAATTGAAATTTGATCTTGTTGTCCCCCACCGTTGAGTCCCTGGTTTCAATTGTATTAAGGGGGCCTCTAAAGTTTCCAAAATTGTGTTTTGTTCTTCTGTTGTCTTGAATATTTTTTGCACTGCAAACTGATTTATTATTTGTTTGTTTTTATCTCAGAATGGATTGCTAGATATGCAGCTTCAGTTGTGGATCCTGCTGAGCTGAAGACAGAAGTGGATGCTTTCATGCAGGCCTATGACAAGAAGGTTGCAAAGGTATGCATTGCTGAAAATATAATGGTATTAGCCAAGCATGCCCTTCCCTTGAAGGGTCCTTTGGATTCAGCATCACCTGTCTGGGTTATGATCAGCATTGACTGGGTAGAGACCCAGTGTGATGTAGTGATTAGAGAAGACTAGAGTTTACATACTCAGCCATGAGGTTCACCTGGCGTCTTGGACCACTCATCAGCTGATGAGTTGGGAACAGGGTGTGCAGCCAATGCAGGAGTCAACCTTGTTCTCCACCAGTGATGTCAGCTGATGGGTGGGCATGCTTTGAAGGAAAAGACCTTGTGAGACAAATTGGACCCCCTGGTGGGCCAAGATTTGTCTGTTGGCTGGAGGTTCCCCACCTCTGGAGTGAATCTAGAATGGAAATGTTGAATGGAACACATTGTCTATATTTTTGGGTTGCCGATAACACAATCCTTCTTTCTTCAGAAATCCCTTTTCACATGGCAAAAGGCTTTGCACTGGGCTCTTCTGCTCAAGGGCTGTGAAGTTGGGCAGGGCACCTTCTGAAATTATAAACAGCATTACTGAGCTCGGGTAGGGCTGGGTGATGTATCAATATACAGTGGTGCCCCGCAAGACGAATGCCTCGCAAGACGGAAAAACCGCTAGACGAAAGGGTTTTCCGTTTTGAAGTTGCTTCGCAGGACGAATTCCCCTATGGGCTTGCTTCGCAAGACGAAAATACCTTGCGAGTCTTGAGATTTTTTTTCGCTTTTCCCCTTTATCTAATCTGCTAAGCCTTTAATAGCCTTTAATAGCCTTTTAGCAGCTAATCCCCTAAGCCTTTAAGCCTTTAATAGCCGCTAAACAGCTGATAGCGCTAATAGCGCTAATCCGTCAATGGGCTTGCTTCGCAAGACGAAAAAACCGCTAGACGAAGACTCTTGCGGAACGGATTAATTTCGTCTTGCGAGGCACCACTGTATTGTCCAAAACTGGTTTGAAGCCCATATTGTGATATTGGTTTCATAGTTTTTGACCTGGCAATATATTGCGAGTGAGTGTGTAAAAATCACAATGAGGGGGAAACAGTGAAGCTAGCCAATGCCTTAATAGCCATCCTTATTTCAGACATTGTGATATATTGGTATATAGTGGTGTTTAGCTGTTGAGATATTGCCCAGCCTCACTCAGGGGGAAGCTGTGAGCTTAAAGCAGCCTCTCCTGACCAGGCTTGAGATTGCTCTTTTTATTGACGCAGGAAGAAGCCAAAGCTGAGAAGGAAGATGGCATCCCGGATGAGGAAGGGTGGGTGAAGGTGACAAGAAAAGGTCGAAGGCCTGGGCTCCCTCGGACAGAAGCAGCCAACTTGCGGGCGCTGGAGAGGGAGAAGCGCAAAAGGGCACGCAAGGAGCTGCTCAATTTCTATGCTTGGCAGCATCGTGAGACCAAGAGGGAACGTGAGTCATTTCCTCTTCATCTGCTCTCTCAATTCTGTGGAATATTTGATGCAAGAGAATGTCATCTAATTTGAATAGCATACCGTATTTACAGGAATCTAATGCGCACCTCAATTTTCAAAATCTTGAAACCAAAAATAATGGCGCCATTATATCTAACACGCACCCTAATTTTTGCAATGTAAGGAAAAGGTAAAGGGACCCCTGACCAATAGGTCCAGTCGTGACCGACTCTGGGGTTGCAGCGCTCATCTTGCTTTACTGGCCGAGGGAGCCAGCGTATAGCTTCTGGGCCATGTGGCCAGCATGACTAAGCCGCTTCTGGCAAACCAGAGCAGCGCACAGAAATGCCGTTTACCTTCCCGCCGGAGCGGTACCTATTTATCTACTTGCACTTTGATGTGCTTTCGAACTGCTAGGTTGGCAGGAGCTGGGACGGAGCAACGGGAGCTCACCCCGTCGCGGGGATTTGAACTGCCCACCTTCTGATCGGCAAGTCCTAGGCTCTGTGGTTTAACCCACAGCGCCACCCGCGTCCCTAATTTTTGCAATGTACTTTGGCCCAAAAGTGTGCATTACATTCAAGTAAATATGGTATTCTTTGCCAGCTTGAATTTTGGTGAAAATGTAGGAACATCTGAAGGAGCTTAGTTGCTGTTTTCTGAACAGTTAAGATTGTCAGGTGTTTTGTGGAAGGGCAGTTTTTTAGCTTCCAGCATCTTCTGAGTGTTTTTATTTCAAGAGTAGCATGTTCTCATTACTATGCTTTGTCAGGAGATGTCTGCAAACTTTGCCACCTTTAGGCATCAAACCATCTCAGAACCTGGACAGTAGGGAAAGTTAACTCAAATATGCTAGAGGAGTTTTTTCCTGCTGTGACACTGGTTCTTTCTCTGCTTTATCCAATCTCTCCTTTGTGTGTTTTTCAGACATAGCTCAACTGAGGAGGAAGTTTGAAGAGGACAAGCAGAAAATTGCTCTCCTACGGGCGCAGCGGAAATTTCGGCCCTACTGAGTTGCAGATCTACAGCTATTCTGAAAAGAACAGCAGCCACAGTAAGAGGTTCATTGCTGGGATAATTTTGACTTTTTCTCCTTTCCCCTCTAATATCTCCTGGAGTGTGATGGATGCAGCAGATGATGAGGGTTTGGAAATGAAATCATCTTGTTTGCTATGAACTGACAGTTCATAAGCTGCCTTCTTCCCCTGTGAGGAATTCTAAGGCTGCTGTTCATATGAAACAGACATGTAAATATTTGTTTTTATATTTGTGATATACCGTATTTTTTGCTCTATAAGATGCACAAGACCATAAGACGCACCTAGTTTTTGGAAGAGGAAAACAAGAGAGAAAAAAATCTGAATCCCATAAGCCAGGACAGCCAGTGGGATCGCTGTGCTGCGATCCTGCTGGCTGTCCTGGCTTCTGGCTTAGCTGCGCGCAGCCTCTCCCAGGCAAGGGAAGCCTTCATCCCCTGCCCGTGCACTGAGCAGAGCCTCCCGCCTGCATTCGATCCATAAGACGCTCACACATTTCCCCTTACTTTTTAGGAGGAGAAAAGTGCGTCTTAAAGAGCGAAAAATACGGTACATCAGGTTTCTTGTTCTCGTCATCTTCACCAATACACAACTTCTATGTAGGAATTTTTACTGGACAATTTGTGTGCCACACAACCTGTCAAAGAACAGCTGCTTCCCTAGCTTGTACAACCTTGCATCTCTCCTGTAAATATCTATGCTATGGATGCAAGCAGCACCTTGGAAAAGCAGACCTGTCAGAGGCTTATTTTGTGAAGCCAAAAAGAACATCTCAGTAAAATTTCTCCTCCTCTATTAGTCCCCTCAATCTGTATCACCAAACAATAAATTCTTTTGAGAGATTTAAACTATTTAGAGCATGGGTTGGTAAACTAAGGCCCACAGGCCAGATCAGGCCCAATTGCCTTCTAAATCCAGCCCACAGACGATCCAGGAATCGCTGCGTGGATTGCCAGCGCACAAGTTCTTCCCTTCTCCCTCCACGGCAGCGGCAGCGCTTCCTCCCTCCCTCCTGGCTTCTCCCTGCCCTGCCTAGAGGAGGAAGGGGGCTGGGCTTTGTTGGTGCCAGCCCTTTCTCCAGAGCCCTTTTGTGCACCCCTCATCGTCCCTCATTCATTTTTTTTTCTTTCCAAAATATAGTCCGGCCCCCCACAAGGTCTGAGGGACAGTGAACCAGCCCCCTGCTGATAAAGTTTGAGGACCCCTGGTTTAGAGGAATTTAAAATTGTATGAGGAAAGAAGTACAAGTGCAAGCTGTAACAAACTTAGTTTTAATACCTAAATTAGCATGAGTGGCTAAAATGTTTCCTTCACTGAACTAACAGTTGTTACCTAGTTAGAACACCTGGCTCTGGCCCAGAAAATCATAATCCAGTACATGAATTAACATTTTAAGATAAATCCACTCACCCACCATATCTGTAACTGGACTAAGGCACTCATGAAGAACTGAATCTCACTGAGCCGTTCAGTAGAAACAGAACAAAGAATTGTGCAAGCTGTCCCCACTGCGCCACAAGGTAGTTGTGCAAGATACCCTGCAGGTCCCACAGCATCCTCCTCACTTAAAGCAGGACTGAATCTTTCTAAGGCATCCATCTGTTCTCTAGGAAGGGTTAGTCATGATGATGTAGGTAGGCACTGCTTATAGGCTGGCTCTGGGTTTCTGGTCCTTATTTAAGAAGGTGTTGATGATCCCGGCCACAACTTGGGGCTCATTCAGGTGGACAAAATGATTGCCAGCAACTTCCACAAATTGGTAACGCTAAGAATAAGGGAGATACAGTGAGAGATGGACCATGGGAAAGAAAAGTCAGACATATGGAACAATGAAACTTAACATTAAATGCTAGGAGTAGAGAGTTATAATAGGGAGGCTGGATTAGCCCATCCAGAAGCATCTACAACTGGCAGCGAAAGGGTCAAAAGCAATTCAGTAGTTTTATTGAACACAACCACACCTGTGTTCAGTGTGGGCTTAAAGACAAACTCACATTCTGTACATTGGGTGCAAGCTCATTTTGCATAATTCTGCTTCAACTCCAGAGGAGAGGCAGAGAGGTAGGAAAGTGACCCTCTGCACACTGGAAATGCTGCTCAAGCTGCGCTGTTTTTTTCCTCTTTCACTGACCCCTTCCCCTCCGTTTTAGTCCACCTATCCAAGCAGGAGTCTAAATCCTGATCAGCCAAGGCAAACAAAAATAATGGTGCATTTGGGGAGCATCGGCAGAGCACGGGAGACATCCCTTCCATTGCCTATGCCAGGCACCCCCAACCTGCAGCCTACAACTCCCATGATCCCTAGCTAACAGGACCAGTGGTCAGGGATGATGGGAATTGTAGTCCAAAACCTCTGGAGGGCTGAGGTTTGGGGATGGCTGGCCAATGCGCCTTTCGTTCCCCCTTTCCTGACATTTTTACAATCTCCACACAAGGGATTTTGACAGTTGGGTGGGGCAACCTGCCTGTCAATCATGTGGCATCAAGGTTGGCCAGCAGGAAGAGGCCAGAGGTTCCCCAGGCCTACTACAGCCCCTTAAGCCTATCTCATAACTGGGGGGGGGTCTATCCAGCTGTACCCCTACTGCCTCCTTTGCTACCTCCCTCTCCCCACTGAATACATGGAAACCCCAAGCGAGAAAAGCAACTGCCCAGCAAAGCCAATGCAAAACGGCTCAGAGCAAGTTTGTGTTCCCCTCAGGACTTGCACTCACCTCTTTTAGGCTGGTCCTGAATGCTTCCTCAAGTGGCTGTACAAAGTATGGGACGCTACCTTTAGGAGGATTGGTAAAAATCCCATTTTCTGCTCTAGAATAAAACAATCAGCTCTTACTTCTGGTTGCACATAAGAACACAAAGTTCAAATCCTCTGCATGATAGAATTTTCCAAGAAATAGAAGAGGGTGCTGGATATTGCATTAGCTTTGTGGATAACCTGAACTGATCCTTCTCACTTGTACCATTGAAAAAAGGATAGATTAGATTTGGGGTGTATAGGGTGTTACGGTAGGGAAAGCACTTCTGGGGTAGTTTGTTCACCTTTGGTCCCCCACCCTGCACTCAGCTCTCATCTGGGCCACCTAGAAGCTATCAGCATGCAACAGTGGCCACAGTCTAGAAACAGGCTGGCTAAATCAGGTGAGTTCAGTTGCTGGGTCTCAAATCCTCAGCGAGTCAGGGACTTCGCCTGCATGTGGACAGGCTCTGGCAGATTGAGCGGATGAGACCAATAGTGGGTCCACCAGCGAGAAGTGAGAGGCAGGTAGGGCTTGTCAGCCTGGAAAGGGAGCCATCTGGGAGAGGGGGAAAACTGATCTTAAACCTCCGTTGCCTTGCAGAATATCTTCTGGAGAAGAACAGGCTAAGGAGTAAACCCTGCACAAATCCAGAATGGAGTCCTTAAGACAGCTGGATGGCGCCCTGTACACCTCCTTCTGGCGACTACTGCAGCCAAGCTGGTGGACCACATCAGAGAGGCCGAGAAGGGGGACATCATCTGGGCAGCCCAGAACCTCCTTACACTGCCCAGGGTTGTGCCACAGGAAGGTCACTTAAGTGTTGCTAACGCAGCCGTTTGACTTCACCCCGGAGGTGCACTGCATTGTCCCTCAAGACAGACGGATGCCAACAACAAACTAGATTGGCTAAGCTGGTATTTAGCACAACCTCAATATATTTTCATGATTTTTAAAGCAGCGATGCTCCGCGGACCCAGATGGAAGTAGGCCTACTGAAAATAGTAGGACTCCATTGGAAGTAAACATGCGTAAGACTGCACTGCACTTGGAATACTACTCTGCAACTACTTGTAGTTTAGGCACTACAGGAGTGCTCTAAGGAGGACTGATTCAGTCTTATGCTTGGGGCTGATCAGTGAAGCAATCCATTTTTCTTCATTCTCTGCCCCTGCCTCTCTTTTTCTCTCAGGCAGATCTACTAGGTACTGGTTACATCTGGATGTCACTTACCTGATCATCAGTATATCAGCCTCGATTTTCTTCAGGATGTGGCAACATTGATCCAGAGACACAAAACTGTGGTTCTGCTACATATGATATAAAATGACAAATAAGGAACATAACTCATCTAGTCCATTTGACTGGCTTAGCACACAAGGGGTTTCTTCTATGCTGCCCCTTTATTCTGTGCTGGGGGAGAGAAAGTGGAGCAGGTCACCCCACTTTACCCTCTGTTGCCAATCAATGGGCAGGGGGGCAATAGGAGGTGCTCCACAAATGGCATTGTTCATGCCAATACCTGGCCACAGGTCAACAGTCTTTTGGTCCTAAGGCGATTCACAGGAGACCCATTGAAACTGAAATACCAGTTGTCTACAAAAATGCTTTCCATCAGAAAAGCCATATGGAGTTAGCCAGAAATAGGTGGAAATTAAATATTCCAGTGTTCTGCAATCTAGCCAACAAAGGCTCTCACTGCAACTTTTGTGACAAATGAGGAAACTAGGGTTAGAGGACCAACATTAACAAAGCTAGCCCATGCATAAGCAGGGCTTTGAGCAAGGACTAATTTGTGTACCTCCAACACCCTTTGGGTGGATGAAAAATACAGGGGAAAACATTCAACAAAACTAGATCAGAACTTACCACAAGGACCCTTAAATCTCTGTTATAAACCAAACCTAGAGAAAGAGAAGAATCACATCTCACATTTTGTACAACTTGTTTTTCTCCAAACTTTCCCCTGGCTTCTTTCTCTTAACACAGCTGGGGGGGGGGGGAAGGAAGTTATTCTATAAATGGTAAGTTTAACTGGCTGTCACAATTAAAATTTAAATACCTGGAAAGAGGACTGCACAGTGTTCTGTAAGAGGATGCACAACTCCTAAAAGACCAGGTTTATATTGGTGGGGGCAGGGGGTTGTCTCCTGGATACTATCTATGGAAGCCTCACAGGTGGTGTTGGTGACTAAGAGTGCCTTTTAGCAGCTTAGGTTGTTTCTGCAGAAAGTGGACCGTGGCACATGCCCTGGTTACAGCCAGACTGGACTGTATGGGGCTGCCTTTAAACATGGTCTGGAAACTTCAGCTGGTACAGAATGCGGCACTAGGATGTTTGTAGACAACAGGCACTCGGAGCATATAGCACATATTCCATTTCAGCTGCCTGTTCGTTTCCAGGCTCCGTGCAAATTGCTGGTGGTAAAAAGTAAAGCCCTAAACTGTTTGGACAAGGTTATTTGAAGATGGGCCTTAAGAATGGCCTCGCAAGGACCCTCTCAGAGATTGTGGCCAAAATCCATCAGACTGGCAAACCCTCATGACTGACCTTTTCAGCGCCTAAGAACTCCCTCCCACAAGTAGCACCTCTGGACTGAAAAGGGGTTTAACTTAGACCTTAGTAAACTTCTTAATTTCAAACTGCTGCTGTTTTTAAATTCTATAATTTGTTTGCTTTATTTGTATAGCTTTTATGGTTTCAACAATCCCTTCATAAATTGCCTTGGAAGGCAGCATGACAGTACTATCATACAAACAAGATCAGTTCTGAATATTTAGTCACAGAATGCGCCGCTGATTGTGCTAGATCATTTTAGATCTTCAGGCAGAGTCAGACCACTGGGCCAGCTAGCCACTAGTGCAATGGGCAGCAGGTCTCTAGTGTCTCACACAAGACTGCAACAGTCCCCTGGCACCAAAGATGCCAGCTATTAAACCTGAGACCTCGCATGTGCTCTGCCACCAAGCTCTGCTCCCCTAATTGAAGGTTCTGTGAAACACAACAGGCATCTCTTTGTATCTCAGTCTCTTACCTCCTGCCACCTCAGAAGCCCCTCGCTCCAGCAGTACCTTAGCACTCTCTTCTGTTAGCTGACTGTTTGCTTCCATTAACCTAGGCAAGTCAAGCAGAAACATGTACAATTTTGTCAGTAGGATGCAGGCAAGAACTGCGTTCTTAGTAATGCCACCACCAACTAATCCCTCATCTTATCAAATGTTACCCAGCCACATTTGTCCATCCTGAATCTATATTCAGCTCTTGTACAACATTGATGCCTTGTACACTTCAGAAAGCATTCAATGGTGATGCCATCAAACAGGACCCCGGACCTGGCAAATCACTGATATGAACCAGGGACACCAATTATGTTCCTTTTTGGGGGTGACGAAAAAAGTGGGTGGTATTCAACCAAGTTTTACTCAAGAGTGGAACCACTGAAATTAACAAACACGACTAAGTTAGGTTTGGGAAGGCATTTTAGCCAAGTACCTAAGTTCTGAGCACCGTTTCCTTGGTTGTCTTTTTTTCTCCATTCTAATATCTTGGTTTTGATTCAGCAAGGGAGCCAGTATGATGCAGTGGTCAGAGTGTTGGAGACAAGGGTTCAAATCCTCACTCAGCTATGAAGCTCACTGGGTGACCTTAGGCCAGTCACTGCCTCTCAGCAATAACCTACCCTCACAGGGTTGTGGGCATTAAATGAGCAGGAGGAAAATCATGCATGCCATCTCAAATTCTTTGGAGAAAAAGGCGGGATATAAATGCAATAAATTAAATAAAAGAACATTTCCTTTTTCAGAATAATGGATTTGGAAAGAGGCGGCTATGGTTGGCAGGACAGACCTTGCTGTACCCCCAGGGACAAAACACCCAACGGCTGCCAGAGACCAAAGAAGGGAACTCACCTCTGAAGGGCTGCCTCAGGACTGCGTACTTTGGGGGAATGGTACTTGCTGGTCTCAAAATTCAGGAGTTCCTCAATTACCTCCCGCTGGGACTTGCAAATCTTCTCCAATTCCTATAAATCAGACATAGTCATCTGCTTTCAGAAGTCTGTTACACCCAAAGCCCCTCACAAGGTATACAAAACAACAACATTAGTATTAGCTTCTTGGGAAGGTAAGACAAAAGTAAAGGAATTAAAAGGGTTAGCTCTTTTTGTGCACTCTGACACCACTAGGCCTGACTTCCAATGCCATGCTGCCTTCCAACCTCACCTCTAAACGTGAGAAAGCATCTCTAGGGGTGAACAGCAACCTCGGCTTCTTTTCTGTATGTAATCCCGGGCCCCTTTGATAACCCTGCCAACAAGAGAGCCAACAAACAATCACAGAGCCTGGGCAGTGGCTTTTGTGGGAGGAAATCCTCCTAGGAACGAGATCCAATTAAATTCCCTGAAAGTCACACACAAAAACGTGTCCTGATTAAGCTCATGTCATTCTGTGCAACCAGTAAACATTGGACAGGACTAGGGCTAGGCGGTATATCAATATATCATCCCAAATCAGTTTGAAGTCCATATTGTGATATTGGTTTCATAATTTTTGACCTGGCAATATATCGCAAATCATGATGTGTGTGCAAAAGTCACCTTGTGGGAAAAACTGAAGCCAGTCAATGCCTCTACACAGTTCAACCCTTATTTAGCTCATGACATATCCCAATGTTGAAAACCAGATATCGCCCAGCCTTAGACAGAACAATGCTGTATTAGTATAATAGACCTCTTAGAGATCCCTGAGTTATGGATCAAATTCTTTGTATCCCATCACTGGCAAATGCAGTTGCTAATTTTGGGAGAGAAAAGTTTTTTGTCTACACATTTTGACTGACTCCAAGATTGCCATGAGAGCTGGGTTAAATCACATCCCAGAAACTTAAGCATGCAAGGGAGGGAAGTTTGCCTTTCACCCACGGCCTCTACAATTGCAAGAAATACTTTCCAGCTGGGAAAAAAATCACTTAAATTTTAATTACATGTTTATTTTATATATTGCCCTGCCTCTCTCCCAGTGCAGGAGCCAAGATGGTTCACAGGACATATGAAAACAGATTTACTTATCTATTTTCTGATTAAAGCCAGCACTTAAAAGACGTAAAAGTGGCCGTGGTAGAAAAGTCTCATCGTGTGGGGAGTAGCAATCACCTTTCCTGCTCCTTGCTGCTTTTCAGTAATTAACACACCTCTGGGGATGGCTCTTTTCAAAGTTACTTTATCCACTGGCTGGTTCTAAATCTACACGTGATGCTAAGCCTGAACTGTTGGCTCCTCCCAATAGAATCAGAATTGTAGAGTTGGAATGAATCCAAAGGGTCGTCTAGTCTAAACTCCTGCAAAGCAGGAATCACAGTAACCACAGACTTCCGGTTTCTTTGACAACATATTCAGACCATTGTGCCTCTCTTCTTTGCAAATCTGCCTCATAACTCTGGAAATCTACAGCACTAAAGGAAAGGGGTGTGAGTTCCCTAACAAAAGGGATAATCCACTTGACTACCGTACTTTTCCGTGTAGTAGACAAGGTTTCCCCCCTCAAAACAAACATCAAAAAATGGGATGGCGTCTTATCCATAGTGCATTTTGGTGTCGTGGGATTTGTTGCTTCCGCTAGCCTGTGACAGCGGTGTTATTAGTGGCTGCAACAAGGGCTGGTGTGGATTTGCTGTTGCTGCGGCTTCTGGCTCCAATGGAATAGCTGATAGGTGGGTTTTGCGCATGCAATACAGGTCTGATGTGTGAGCAATCTCCTCCAGAGACGGTGTGTCCCACATCACCAGCATCTCTGCGGCCGGAGGTGCCCAGCAAGAGCTCGTCGTTTCCCGCAGCCCTGGTATGAGCCATTCCCTCTGTGGGGAGCCGAAGGATAATATAGTAACGAAAAGGAGATGATTGCATTCACTGCGCTCTTTGTCCTCTGCCTTCGCCACTTGACTTCACCTCAGCTGTGGCTGCCCGTTGCCCGCTGCCTTCATGTTCTTCTCCCTGCACCCTTACCCCCGCTTCCCTCAATAAATAAGAAAGCGTGTGAGCCGCCCCTGTCACCAGCAAGGAAGGCAGGCAGCAGCAGCGCCACCACAGAGCAAGTCGGTCCGTGGTTGGAGGAGGAGGAGAGTACAGAGGGCGGGAGTCACCTCATAGCAAAGCAATGGCATCCTTCCTCCTCCTCGCCTCAGGCTCTGCTGGGTTAAATTGCTGCCTGCCTGCAGGAAACAAGGACAACAAGAAGAGGGGGAATGAACCAGGGGGAGCCATTTTCTTTAGTTTGCGTCCCCAAAAATAGGGGTCATCTTATAGATGGGGGCGTGTTATACACGGAAAAATACGGTAAGTTGTTGAGGCAAATAGGCATGAGTCCGTGTAGCAAGCAATTTGCACTTGCCCAAATGGCACGGGTGGCTGCTCAACTCACATCGGGGTTCCAACCCACATCTGTGATTTTAAAGATTGCTAATTACATAAATTGTGTTTAGCGTCTAGCCTAGGCCTGAGTAAAGTGATTAGTTGTGGTGCTGCATTTACAGCAGCAACCCTGGGCACTGTCAAAAAGGCACAAGTATTTTGTCCAACCTACTTGCCATGTACCCACTAGCCTTCCACCTTATAAAGGAGGGCAGAGGTGGGGCTGCCTCCCATATGCCCCACATCAGGCTCAACACTACCTCAAAAATAACCACCTTCTATTAGCAAAGAAACTTATATAGCTTCTTCAGTTCATGCCACTTCTCTCAACTATACTGCAAGGGTAGCAAAAAAAAAAATTAGAATTTAACCTGAGGTGCAGGATAAAAACCATACGATTCCACCAGGATCAGCTTGTCCACCAGTTCAGGGAAAATACTAGAGAACTAGGAAGACAGAGGGAAAAAGAAAGGAAGTTTAGCTCTTTTACCGCAGGAACAAAAAGTAATTTCTATCACCTCTGTCCAGATAGCATTTCTTATTCTCTTGTGTGTTTGTCACAGAAAAAAAACTGTGTTTTGAGAAGAGACATTTCTATATAGATAAGTGAGTTCTGCAACAAAATGTTGCAATGTAGAATACTCCTCTGGAGGATGGTCTAGTCTTTGTCCACTTCCTTTGGTTTTCTATTAAGTTTCCAACAGCCAGACAGCATTCCATGCCTACTGAGCATGCTCAGTCTTCACTGGGCTATTTTTAATTTAAAAAATCCCTCTCTTATTAAGAGTTTGTTTCCTAAATATGTTTTTGTACTTCTGAAAAGCTGAGGGTCTTGAGCCTGCCAACCCGTCCCTCTTGGGGATGGATGGTGAAGGTTTGGCAACATAAAGACCAGCACTCAGAGAAAGGAGATTGCAACTGAGTCAGCATCATGTGGTCACTCAATTCTCACTGAGCAGTTGGGGGGTGTTTCTTGTTGTTTTCCCTTTTTCTAACACACTTCTGCACAGAATTCTTCCAAGCCTTCCGATATGTTCCTCTTGTGTATGGATGGTGTTCTTCTTCCTACATAATCAGTGGCACTCAAACCCTGAACACGGGAAATAGAGGGAATAATGATAAGAATATACTCACCATGCCTGCAATACTCCCACCTTTAGGAAGGAAAAAGGAAGTCAGGTTTATATGAACACAGAGTATGAACCACAGTGACCACCCATATAGTCCAAAGGGTATAAACAGCAATGAGAGAACAGGACCATAATTTGATAAGTGAACAAACAAGGAAGGGGGGGGGAGGTGCAGTGATTTGCCAAAGAGAAAGAGAAATGGCAGGAAGTTGAGGTTTCACTTATGTGTGAGAAACACCAGCTTCCTCGGGGGACAAGAGTTGCTTACCCAAACTGTGGCCCATAAGGGTAAACCGATTCCATTTCATTGCTTAAAAAAAAAAGAAGAGCAAATGAGAGGCTGAGTTAAGACCAGAAAGCCCAGGTTTCACAAGTCCCCGGGCAATCAGCAGCATCACAATACAAACATTAGCCACATCACGGCTCAACTTGGTGCTTCTAGATGTTTTGCACAACAGCTCCCAACAGCCACAGCTAGCACAGCTGGAAATCATAGTGCAAAACATCAGGAAGGCACCAGGTTGGGGAAAGCTAGCGCAGGCTGTCACAGGCAAGAGACAGGTAGGTAGCCATGTTGGTCTGAAGCAGTCAAAATAAATAAAAAAATTCAAGATTCAAGAAGTATCTAAAGAAGTGTGCATGCACACGAAAGCTTATGCCCAGAACAAACTTAGTTGGTCTCTAAGGTGCTACTGGACAATTTTTAATTTTTTTAATTTATTTCGACAGGCAAGAGAGTCCCTCTAAAAGGGAATGCCTGATTGAGTTCTTTGAAAAATAGGCAGCTAACAAGCTGCACAGGAAGAAATGGATGTTGGGAAATTGGGAAATGGTTAATGCTGCAATGGGAGCAAATCCCCTAAATTGCACAGGGAATGTTCATAGAGGCTCAGCTCCAACAATGTACATTTCCTACAACGAGGCTACGCCCTATGAAATGTGGCTGTGCTTTAGCATCTGAGAAGCGCACTCACAATTATTAACTCTTCCACAACTAAAAAACAGGAATGATGTCAAAGCTCAATGCCTACTAACCGGTTTTACCAAACCAGATTAAGGTGAAAGGTTTACACCTACTCTTGAGAACTGCTACACTGAGAATTTACAACCTGTAAAACTGTAGCTGTATGTATGTGCCAGTTGTGACTAGTGTTTTATTTTAGAGGCTTTGGAGCCTGTCTAATTAAAGCAAGGGCTGCAAAGTTTTATGTCTGGCCTTGAAAGTGGGTTGGGGAGAACTTGCTGGCTTCGGCTGATAAGGAAGTGTGAGAGAAACTGTCTTGACTGCAGCCAGGAGAAATATAGATCCAGGCCACTGAGAAATTCAAACTGCCTACAGGCTACAAACAAATCCAACAGGCTCACCTGCTGCTACCCTGCGCACGTCACCCACATAATCCATGAAGTGATAGATTGCCCCAGGTGGGCGGTGGGATGACAGGCCGTGTCCGGCAAGATCAATGGCCATGTAGTAACAATCTGAAAGAGAACAAAGGGAAGAGAAACAAATGAGGTGCCAAACCACACTCCTGTATAACATACAGTGGTACCTCGGGTTACATACACTTCAGGTTACAGACTCCTCTAACCCAGAAATAGTACCTCAGGTTAAGAACTTTGCTTCAGGATGAGAACAGAAATCGCACAGCGGCGGCGCAACAGCAGCAGGAGGCCCCATTAGCTAAAGTAGTGCTTCAGGTTAAGAACAGTTTCAGGTTAAGAACAGACCTCCAGAATGAATTAAGTACTTAACCTGAGGTACCACTGTACTACAATTTCATTGTATTAAGTTACTTGTGCACCACAACTAACTATTGTTAGCCAGCTGTTTAAATAAAGGAATAAACAACGCAGGACCCAACAACGAATCCTACCTTTGGGAAGCAAGGGGATGAGCCTGTTGAAAGTGTTTGCATTGTCCAGCCACCCGTGCAAACAGAGGACAGGACGGCCTTGTGGAGATCCCCATGCCTTGGCTGCGATGTGGCCCCAGGGGACCATTAACTTCATCTCTGAGATCATGTCTGAAATGAAACAACAGAAGTGACTCCTGGTGATGATAGTGTTACCAGAGAAGGCAGTCTCACCTATGTCTCATAACCACTGGACACCAACGCTGATCAGTGTGGCATAATGGATAGAGTGTTGGACTATGACCTGGGAGACCAGGGTTTGAATCCCCAATCACTGGGTGACCTTGGGCCAGTCATGCCATCTCTCAGCCTAACCTACATTGCAGGATTGTTGTGATAATAAATTGGGGAGAACTATCTGCACCCCCTTGAGAGAAAAGGAGGCATATAAATGTAATAAATAAACAAACAAAAAGTCGATAAACAGATTCTGGCCCTGTGTATCCAGTCACTGAAACAAATATATCAGGCAGCGCTGGTTTGTCTGACTGACTGCCTCTTCCCACCCCCTTCAGAAAGATTGTGTTTTATGGCAGCATTTGCTAGCGTGCTACCCTCCAGATGTTTTGTAATGGCTGGGACTGACAGGAGCTGTAGTCCAAAACACCTGGAGGGTGCCAGGTTAGTGACAGCTGTTTCGGGGCATGCTTTTAACATTATCTCCCCACCTCAAGGAACTGAGTGCTTCATGGTGCTACAATTTCAAGCCATTCTAGTTTTTCAGCATCTATTGTTTGCGATCGTTTTATGAGCCCTTATTGTGTATGATATACATTAAAATACTCCTTTTTTTCCCCTTCCCCTGGGAGAAAAAAAGAGGGAAGGGTGAATGAGAGAAAGCACGCAATGAGAAGTGAACTGACAACTGACCCTGAACTCTCCCTTCCAATGGTAGAATTGTCTTAGAATGTGGTCCTCCACTGGTTACCCAGCACCACTGGTTCCCATAGCACTGTGGTCACGCATAGTTCCCGTTTGGTCTTTGCTCCTGTCTGGCTTCTGGTCCAGTAGCAGGGGAGGTCAGAGTGACCCTGCTATCATGGTTAGATACTCTCCCTGATGCTTTTCAACATCTTTATGTGCCCCCTCGCCCAGCTTGTTCGGAGTTTTGGGCTGGGTTGCCATAAGCATGCCGATGACACCCAACTCTATCTGTTGATGGATGGCCATCCTGACTCGGCCCCAGACACACTGACCAGATGTTTGGAAGCTGTGGCTGGATGGTTACGTGGGAGCCGGTTGAAGCTAAATCCTTCGAAGACAGAGGTCCTGTGGCTGGGACGGGGCGATATGGGATTGGGGGCAACTCCCATCTCTTGCGGGGGGCGCAATTAGTGCCAGCACCGTCCGTTAAGAGTTTGGGTGTAATCTTCGACACCTCCCTTTCCATGGAGGCGCAGATTGCAGCTATAACAAAGACGGCATTTTTCCATCTCCGCCAAGCTAAGCAGTTGGCTCCTTACCTCTCTCGCCCTGACCTAGCCACTGTGATCCACGTGACGGTCACCTCCAGACTGGATTATTGTAACTTGCTCTACGTGGGGCTGCCCTTGAGACTGACCCAGAAACTCCAGCGGGTGCAGAATGCTGCAGCAAGACTCCTTACGGGGTCTTCGCTGCGAGATCACATTCACCTGGTGCTATACCAGCTGCACTGGCTCCCGGTGGAGTACAGGATCAGGTTTAAGGTGCTGGTTTTAACCTTTAAAGCCCTATACGGCCTAGGACCCTCGTACCTACGGGACCGCCTCTCCTGGTATGCCCCACAGAGAAACTTACGGTCTTCAAATAAAAACATCTTGAAGGTCCCAGGCCACAGAGAAGTTAGGCTGGCCTCAACTAGAGCCAGGGCTTTTCGGTCATGGCTCCGATCTGGTGGAACACTCTGTCACAAGAGACCAGGGCCCTGCGGGACTCTGACATCTTTCCGCAGGGCCTGCAAGACAGAGCTGTTCCACCAGGCCTTTGGCCAGGGCACAGCCTGACTCCCTCCCTCGGCAATCTTCGCGGAGCTCTGGCCCAATGGTTGCCAGTGGCCTGAATTAATTAATTTTATAATGAATGATTTTAGAGTGTTGTTTATGCTATACTTTTGTACTGTTTTATTGTTGTTAGCCGCCCTGAGCCCGGCTTTGGCTGGGGAGGGCGGGATATAAATAAAATTTATTATTATTATTATTATTATTATTATCAGTTGCCGGTGAAGTTTGGGCTTGCAGTGATGCAGGAATGGGGGACCATTGGGATGGTCTGCCCCTAGGGATATTTGGAACCTGACAATGATTAAGTGCTTCTTGACTCAGTGAGTTTCTGCTGCTCTTCCCCGAAGTTCCAGAAGCTTCTCAGCTCACTGCCAGGCAAGGAAACATACAGAAGATGATGGGCTTCCAGGATTAGCTTAAGGTCAAAGGCTGACCCACCACACCCCCACAAAATGTCTCTGAGCATGTCAGAGGTGATCAAGGGGAATGGTGCTTGCCTTTCCTGCATCAGCCAACATGAGCCATCATTATTTTACACTCACCCACTGATGGGGGCTACCATGTCCAATAATAATAATAATGGTGATGGTGATAATAATGATAAGGATGATGATGATGATGATGATGATAATTTTATTATTTATACCCCGCCCATCTGGCTGGGTTTCCCCAGTCACTCTGGGCGGCTTACAGCACACACAAAAACACAGTAAAACATTGCTAGTGACATTTATGGGATGCTGATTGAACACTGACGACATTTCACAAGTCTCAATATTCAGGGTCTTATTCTCAGTTTGCAGTGCAGCCTTTGCCCACCACTGGTGCGCACACACACACACACACACCACAAACGCCATTAGAAAGCAAAATTTACTGCACAATTAACCATTTGGAAGGCTTTTCAAGGCTGCCTCAAACCAAAGCCTGGCATTGAGGTGGAACCTTTAGGTGTGTTTTGCCCAGGCTCACCACTCCCTTCCCACAAGAACCAACATAGGTGGGAAACAGGACCCCTGCTTCAAACACCCAGTACATTTACGAGCACAATTCAAAGTGTTGGTACTGGCCTTTAAAGCCCTAAATGGCCTTAGCCCAGTATACCTGAAGGAGCGTCTCCACCCCCATCGTACTGCCTGGACAGGTCCAGCTCTGAGGGCCTTCTGGCGGTTCCCTCCCTGCGAGAAGTGAGGTCACAGGGAACCAGGCAGAGGGCCTTCTTGGTGGTGGCGCCTGCTGTGTGGAATGCCCTCCCATCAGATGTCAAGGAAATAAATATCTGACTTTTAGAAGACATCTGAGGACAGGCCTGTTTAGCGAAGTTTTTAATGTTTGATGTTTTATTGTGCTTTTAATTCTTTTGGGAGCCACCCAGAGTGGCTGGGGAAACCCAGCCACATGGGCGGGGTATAAATAACAAATTATTATTAATTATTATTATTATTATATAAAGCAGCCGAAGTGGAAATGGTATTTTTAAGTCAAGGGCAGTATGCACTCCCTCCATAGAGCACAGCTGACATCAAAACTGAGAAACAAGTTTAACTGCAGGTGCCTAAAAGTTACCAATAAATATTTGAATCAATGCTATTGCATCAGTACTTATATGGTTATTGGGTAAGAGAGGAGGAAAATGAGAAGATAAGGCAGCTGCAGTTTACCTGTTTACTCGCTGACCTCTCACACCCTTATGCAATGCAGGACACAACATCGGAGGACTACTGACTAACCTACTTTTACTGCACGCATCTGTGCCCGTACATCCCATTAATTCTCTTAATTAAACTTAATTTCTAAAACAAACCCACTGGGGTCAGGACTATCTATAAAGCACAATAAAGTTGTGAATCTGTACCGGTGAACGGATCCGGTGGCGAAGGGCAGGGTCGGCCGCCGCTGCACATGCTCAGAGGCCCCCGCTTCTCCATTGCGCCTCACCCAGAGACCCAGCATAGAATGGTCGAGTCAGACGCTGTGGACTTTGCAACCAGTTGTGCCGCCCGCGGCCTGCCTTGTCGCCCCCCAACAATCCTGAACGCTCAAGAATGCGCGTGAAGGGCTCGAAAAGTGTCTCTCGGCGTTTTCCTACTAGAACTACAGAGCTGGACAGGCCCGCGGAGGGGACTTTCTCCCGTCTCCAAAGCTGCTGACCCAGCGCCAACTCTGTCGAGCATTAACAAAGTGGAAGGCTGAAAACTCTGCTTAATAATTAAGAGGGGGAAAGTAACGGCGTGAAAGTACGAGGCACCGGACCCGCAGGGACCGCTGCAATGATCCGGCCAAGTCACTCACCGCGAGACGCAGACCTCTGGCTTTCAAGCTGTGCGAAGAAAAGCAACTCTTTCCCCCATCTGCAGCTGCCGGAACCAGAGAGAAAGACTTCCCTCTGTGCGGCGAGATGCAAAGAGCAAGCTTGCAGCTCTTAAAGGGACCGGGCGCTCGTTCCTTCTGCCTTTTTCTTGCTCTGGAATGCAGGGAGCGCCCTATGCAATCCTATGCAAGAATTGAATCCTATTGTCACAGCGCGAGCTTGTGCATGTTTACTTGGAAGGAAGCCCCATTATGCTCAACGGGGCTTACTTCCAGGTAAGTTTGCATAGGCTGAGACCGCATGGAGGATATCTCATTGATCACTGCCAAATTCGCTTTCCAGTAAATATGATTGCATGGGGTTGCCCTGTAAAATGTAAGTTGTAACTGGGATGTTCGATCCTGACCAGGGGCCTGAAAGGAAGCGGGCTTATGAAATGATGCAGCAAGGAGCATCATGGGTTGAAATCAGCATTCGTCACTGGCATAGCTTGAAATGTGCAAAATATTTTACCATCTTCGTTTATATATTTCCACTGTTTTGCGCTGTCTGTCACATGTACAACTATCTGCCTGTTGGACAGAAGCTGTGTGTGTCCAAGGTGAAATGGGTCCCTGGCTCTCTACGAATAATTTTGTTCCCTTGAGCCTAAGGTGGCTGACTTGGAAAATCTGAGAGGACAGAGGATGAGGCCTTTGGGGACGTTATAGCTATGTTCTACTCCAGGGATGATAGTTTCCCTGCTGTAGGAAAAATAAGGACCCCATGCACCTTTTTAGCTTCCCTGACTGAACTAAACTGCTGCAGTTTGGATACTATCTGTTTCCATCCCCGGTACTGGGTAGCCTAGCCTTCACACACCTGGGTGTGTGCCTATCCATACACATTGTTTTCCCTATAAGCACTGCATCCAAAACCTCAGTTTCCTGGGTATATTCAAGCCGCCTTGTCACAATGAGAGGCATTTTGCTCCTAACAAAATACATAAATTGAAGCTAACAGCTCCAATGGTCCAATGTAGCCTCCCCTGGTGGCCACTGCAGGTGAATTCAGCCTTGAAAGTTGAATAGAATAATTGCTGTCCCGTTATAATTAGCAAGCAAAAAATGATGGGGAACAGCAGGAGTCACTATGGATTCATACCAGCTTCCAATCCACAGTGGTACAGTGAAAGGCTCCATTCTCTTGTTTGCAGCAAAAGCCAGTGAAACATTTTCATGTGGCCAGTGAAACATTTTCATTTCTGAGCTGGAGTTGTAGCTGCCAGCTTTCTTCTAGCAGAGCCCTGGCCTGCTGCCTTTAACTGTTGTGTCATCAGAAGCAGATGAAATGTCCTCTGCTTCTTCTACATGCCAGGAAAAGCTTTACCTTCTGAATTCCTGTTGGCACAGAATTTATGGTAAGGCGCATCAGCCTGGCCAGAACGAAGACTGCAGACCAGTGTGGAAAATAGTTATTGTTTCTCCTCTTCGCATTTGTTTAACACAAATACATGGTTCCCCACAATATTTGAGAGGAAATTGTGACAAGCAAGGCTCTGGTACAAACACAGCTCTAGCTTAATAGTCCATAGAAACATCACCTATCAGGCTTAGCCGGCAAATAACTCAGAGGCTGCCTGACATTGAATCAACACTTAAAAAACTAGATCAATCCTAGTAAAATTCATTTGCAAAGATTATTTTGAATGGATCAGGTGTGTGTGCGGTATTTAGCAGCTTTCCCATGAGACCCAAGTTCCACTAAGTCAATCAGCTCTTAGTGGAACTCGGACCTTACTGGAAAGCAATGAATACCACACACCTCTTCATTCAAAATAATCCTAGTAAATGATTTTTACTGGACAAGCTGAATGATCTAAGCATCACATCATCAACGAGGGAATCAATGTTCATTTAAGGGAACAGGCTCGGAAAAGTGAATGTAATATACTTAACAGAATGTAATATACTTAACAGATGGAGCATCAGATTAACCATCAACAGGAAATCTCTTGTGAAGCAACATCTCCTGCATTCAGAGCCAGCCTTACCCTTAGCCAGAGTGAGGCAGCTGCCTCAGGCAGCAGCTGTTGACAGGCAAGAAGCAGCAGGGAGGTGATAGAGAACAGAGTTGCAGCCTATGTGTTGCCTCCTTAGAGAGCCCACTGCCCTCAGGTGCAGTGAGCCACACTGATCCACTGAAAGGATTGAAGTAAGATGAAATTGTCATTCCAGTCAACGTACACACATGCCATCCTGTCCATCTCAGTCACCAAATATTGTGGGCTGTGTTCTATATATGTGTGGTGACAGGGAGAGAGAGAAGGAGGGAGGACAGAAAGGTGTCGTTGCCCAGATCCTGCTGCCATTTCACTATTCTTGCTATATTTATGAATAGTACTACTCATCTTTTAAAAAATTAAACAACTGAACAGGCCTCAATAGGCATAATCATCCTTCTGGCAGCAATGCTGTATTTAGCACAAAGATGGTGAACCTCTGGCCCTCCAGATGTTGAACTCCAGCTGCCATCATTCATGACTAAGGTGGCCAGTGCTCAGGGTTAACACAAGGAGGAGTTCAATGATATCTTGAGGGTTACAGGTTCTCCATCTTTCATTTACCACATAAGGAGAGCCTGCTGGATCAGGCCAATGGCCCATCTAGTCCACCATCTTGCTCTCACAGTGGCCAACCAGATGCCTGTGGGAAACTGACACGCAGGACCAAAACAGGAGCACTCTCCCTTCTTAGGAAGGTGGGGGAGAACTTATGAAAAGGCAAGTGCCTATTACCTCATGCTTTATTCTATTTACACATTGACACTCCTGAACTCTTACCCCCCCAAAAAGGGGGGGGGGTAGAAAAATTATAAGAACCATAAACATTATAATAAAATATATGTATTATCTCCAAAATGTCAGAAAATAAAACTGAATTCCCTGCATATATGTCTAAATAAAAGACATTGTCTCCTGTGAATAGAGCTATTCAGTGCAGGTTGCCCTGAGGCAATACCTGGTCTGGGCCTTAGACTTAACAAAATAGTGTGGGAAATTTGGTGATGTGTTTCCATGGTAACTTAATTATTAAAGCATTTTCCCTGACGTTTTCTGAATGGCTAACAGAGGTGCTGCCAGCTTTGAGGGGGCTTTCGGCAAGGTGCTTGCTTGGGGGGAGGGGGGAAGCTACCATGGCCACATCCCTCTTCTCCTCCCCTGCACTTTTTGTTTTTACCTGGGGTTGTGACCTGTGGTGGTGGTGGTGGGAGCACACTTTTCTTTCTCCTTCCCTGGCTAGTTGGCTATTCAAGGAGGCAAGGCTATCTGGCAGCACTATACTGGGAGCCTCTCAAAGTGGCTGGGGAAACTCAGCCAGATGGGTGGGGTATAAATAATAAATTATTAAATTATTATTATTATAATGATAGCACTATCGATGTGCATGGTGCTTTAAGTATTAGTGGGCAAGTCCCTACGCTGAGTAACTATCAATCTGAAACACAACAGAAGGGAGATAAAACAGGGAAGGACATGAAGACAGAGGTTTCCAAGTCTGATGAAGGTGGTCCTGAATTCATGCCTTGGTCAAACCAACAGTGGGCATTCGGAAACACATAATCTGCTGCTAGAGAACACTAGCTCAGCTCCATTGTGTTTTTGCTTTCCTATATTGTCTCTCACTCTACAACTTGCCCACAGCTGACTATCAAGACATTGCAAGGCCAGTTTCTCTTCTGCATCCATTCAGACAAAATAATACTCACTGGTTAATAGATAACACCAAGAGACTGACCTCTTCTGTCTGATCTTCTACCTAGCACCAGACTTATACATACCCAGTGCCTAGAACCTCTCTACAGTATTGAGAATGAGGAACAGGGGGTTTTGTCCATAACTGACCTTGGACCACCCACTCTCCGAACACAGCAGGATTTCAAAAGCACTTCTTTTGACAGATGCATTATTGGACTGGCCTTTTCAAATACTGGCTTAGTGCAACTCTGGAATTTATGAACCTTTGGACTTTCATCCATTTTTGGACAAACTGGTCCATAGACACTTTGCCTAACTTACTCCTGGAAGCCACTGTTTGGTGATGACTTTGCACCACTGTGCTCCATGGTGTTTTCTTGCTACAATCTGGGAACATGAGCTTCATTTGCCCTTGGATTTACCGTCTCATGGAGGATCCCCGTTCTCTCTTCTGCTGAAGTGCTTTTGACAAATTGCAAGGAAGGAAGGTTTAAAAACTAACCAGCACCCTCTTCCCCTCTCTCTCTCTCTCTCAATTTCTCCCTCTTGTCAGTGCTGCCAGCTCTCACCCTTTTCTCTCCATATACACTATTCTGCATTTGGCTCATTGCTGCTTCCCCCTCCCATCTGGGATAGTTTTCGGTAATTGATCTTGCAGTTGCTCTATGAATAAAATCCCTTTTCTGGAAAAGCGCTGATTTCCTCTTTCCCTCCCAGGAATTGTACAGGATACTCTATATTACTGAAACTACAGAGTTCCTCATGCGGTCCTACTGATCTGGTTAAACCTACTAGTTTTGGGGTGCCAGCTGCACTGGACTGACAGGAGTCTGTTCTCCAGCACAAATAAAATATTAAGAGTAGCAAAAAGCAAAGGTTTCCATAACAATCATCTGGCATCACAATGACATCAGGTAGCCCATTTTTGCCCATGTGGTCTGCAATTAAACTGGCAAAGGCACAGCCCTGTGCTTTGCAAGCACTGATGATCAGCTGATTTTGGGGGCTTACAAAGCACCATATACAGGCTTTACCTGGGGTTTTGCAAGCCCTCTTTCTGCTCAGCTCTACCTGTCCTATAGGTAAAGGGACCCCTGACCAGTTGTGACCGACTCTGGGGTTGCAGCACTCATCTCACTTTATTGGCCGAGGGAGCCGGCGTACAGCTTCCAGGTCATTTGGCCAGCATAACTAAGCCGCTTCTGGAGAACCAGAGCAGCACACGGAAATGCCATTTACCTTCCCGCTGGAGCGGTACCTATTTATCTACTTGCACTTTGACGTGCTTTTGAACTGCTAGGTTGGCAGGAGCAATGGGAGCTCACCCCATCACGGGGATTCGAACCGCCAACCTTCTGATTGGCAACTTCTAGGCTTTGTGGTTTAACCCACAACGCCACCCGCGTCCTATACCCAGTGCTTTTCTTCGGGGGAGGGAGGAGTAAATGTGCCGATACTCACCATGACGTGGTTGCAGTAAGTGCTACGATTTTGACCAGTGTAGGGAGGGAAAGGTGCCAGTACTGTGTATCCTTGAGTACCCCCAGAAATACCTGACTTAATAAGTGACCACTCTGGCGCCACAGCAAAATCCCACCAGCCATCTGGGTTCCAGATGGGCTTCCTATCTGAAAAGAAAAGTAGGTTGCAGACATGTATAGGGACATAGGGATCAAACAAGCATGGTAGCACATTTGGACAGGGAGAAATGTGTGTCATGGGCTTTGGTTCTTTCTCCACCAGCATCAAAAAGGAATCACTTTCCTGGAAAGCCTTTGTCACAGTTCCTTAATGAACTGGTTTTGTCCTAGAGGAGGAGGGGAGGAGCTTCTGTGAAAAGACCCACTAATCTGCTTCCTGGCAGGAGGAAAATTGGCTCAATCTTTCACTTACCAAAATATAAGGATTCTTAAAGGAAGCTGTAAAGAGAAAGATGTAGTGTAAATCTACTTACTAAAAAGAGCTACAGCCCCCTTTACTTTTTTAAACAATCCCAGGTATATTGCAGTGTTACAATTTTTATGAATATATTCCAAATAATATTTGTTTGGGAAATGTTACAAGCAGTGTCCCCCCCCCCCGGGGGTACTCCAGGGTATTCAGTACTGGCAGCTTCCCCCCCCCCATTTTAAAAGTGTGGCATTTATTATAACAACCTCATGATGAGTACCAGCACGATATACACTGGTTACAAGCATATTTCAGGTGCATTGTATTTCAGTACTATTTTGAGATTTCTAGCTTTTGCTAATTTATCCAGAGACTCAAAATCCTAGGCAGCAATGGCACAAGTAGGGTAGAAACATATGGAAACCCAGAAACCATCTGATGACTCAGGAGGATTGTTTTGTCTTCTTGGCAGGTGCTTCTGTCAAAGCCTTGGTTGATCTCTGGAATCAAGAACTGGCCTGGGTGGTTGACAGAAGGTACTCCTGAGTACCCCCACCCACCAGGCAGAACTTGGGGTGATTAAATGGTAGGTATGATGGAGACTGGAGAGGGAGAAAGGAGGCTTAGACTAGAGTTTACGTTAGGACCTCTTGCGGTAATGAATTCTAGTTTGACTATGCATTGTGTAAAGTAATACTTCCTTTTGCCTGTTCAGAATCTTGTAACATTCAGCTTCACTGGATGGTTGTGGGTTGTAATACCGAGAGGGAGAAAAGTTTCTCTCTGCCCAGCAACACACACACCCCCGCTTCCTGAGTCCCTGATGCAACTTCGATGCCACAGTTAGAGCAAATCCAGTGGATGGAACTTCAGCAACTGCATGTCATGAATACTTCTCAGTTTGTGAAGTCCGATGATGTGGAAAGGATATCTAACAGGATACATAGGAGGTACAAAGTCAACTACCCGCAAACCTCAATTCTTTTCTGCTCTCGATTGCTGCCAAGAGCGATTTTGGTCACTCTGGACTGGTGTTCCAGCTGCATCTGTTCCTAGAGAAGTCATATCTATCTAGTGCCAATTTTCTAGAAAAAGAGGTGCCAGAACTCTCCATGAACACCTCCCTTGTTTTCTTGGAATCACAATGGCACCCACCTGAGAGGTGCCGGAGCTGAGTTCTGGCTGAAAAAGAAGCCCTGGACCTATCCATGGTGACACCCCCTTCTGTTCTATCAAGACCAGATTACTGCAATGAGCGCTACATGGACCACCTCTGAAAAACATCCAGGCATGGGTCATTGGCCCAGAATCTGATAGTATGTTACCAGGAGCTAGTTCTTGGGGCGGGGGCACATTACACCTCTGTTAGAATAGTTGCATCAGCTTCTGGGTTGTTTCCAGGCACAATTCAAAGTGCTGATTTTTTAACCCTTTAAAGCTGAGAACAACTTGGGTCCATTATATTATTCTATTTATTTTTGCTTCTGCTGCTGATTTTATTTTTGATTGCTACTAGTATTATGGTAATTGTGCTTTTAATGTTACTGGACTGGAGTGAAAAGCAGACTACAAATACTTAAAATGCTGCCTTCTCCCTTATGAGCCTCCCTGCTCTTTAAGACCAGCAGGGCAGCCTCTTCACTTGGCCCTGACCCTGGCTGAGCGAGCACATCCAGCAAGTACATAGCATAAGGTGGTCTCTGTGGCAAAAGCGACAGTATGGAACTCTCTGCTTAGTAAGGCTTGACTTTGCTCTGATGACCTGTCATATGGTTAAGAAGATAGGACCTTCCCTGTCCTGCCACTGCCCTGCTGCCCAGATTCGTTTTTTTTAAGGATGTTGTTGGAAGCTCCCCGTTGAGCATTTAAATAAAAAAACATTGAAAGGTGGGCTAAAAATACAGAGTAGTTAATAAATGTATTTAAACTGAATTAATTTTTTGATTGAATCATTAAAAAGCAAACGAGTAAACAGCTACTGGTTTCTAATCCTTGGCATTAAATTTGCTTTTGTAGCTTGTAGGATTTTGCTTGCCACGCTCTGTAGCAGCCTCAAGTGCACTAGGACAGGTGGCCTTGGGCCAATTGCGCTCTCTTCACTTAACATAGGATTGCTGTGAAGATGATAAAGAGTGTGTGTGTGTGAGAGAGAGAGAGAGAGAGAGAAAGAGACCCTGTATGTTGCCTTGAGCTCCTGGGAGGAATGGCCGAACAAGAGAACTATGCATTGCACAAAATTAATGGAAGTTTCTCAGAGGGGGCTGGAACTCTTGACGGGCCCTGCTTCAGCGCCGAAATCCGTGCAGTGGAAATGCTAATTATCAACTGGCGGTCATTAATGCAAGCATTTCCCCTCATTTCGAACATGTTCTTTTGATTTTGCATTAATGGGCACCTTCTGTTGCGTCACACGGGCGGGGAGAAGCAGCGGAGTAGGGAAGAAGAAGCCCCCCTCCTCTGCGTTTCTGAGTAAGGGGGGCAATTGCGAGTTGTCCCTTAAGTGCCCATTCCTGGAACGAGGAACTTGGAGGCCGGTTCCTTGGGCAGCGCGCAAGCTTCCCGCACGCGACGCGCTGCAAAACTGCTACCCCCCCCCCCGCCGGGAAGCCCGCGCGCCGGGAGCTGGAGCTGCGCGTTGCTCTCGCTCGGAAGAGCTCCGCACTTCCCAAATCTTACTCTTCATTTGGTTCCTTGTCTTATTTTTTTAATTACTCGATTTTTTTTGGGGGGGGGACCTTTTTTCTCCCACCCTTCACTGCAAAAAGAAATCGAGAGGTTTGGTGGGGGTTTACCCCCATTAAACAGCCAAAGAGAGGCATTCACAGTTTTGCAAACTGAGTACATTTCTTTCTCCATGCTCAAACCTTTCCGGGTTCTCCAGCAAGAGGAAAGATTCGCCTGCTTTGTAGCAAAGTGCAATGAAGTAAGTACGCAAAGTTCCTTCTGTGTTTTTTTGAGCTGCTTCAGGGAAGGGGGGGGCGACTGGAAGCGGAGTTTTTTTTTGGGGGGGGGGTTATAGGGAATATCTGGTTCCCCTACCAGTTAAGCCACCGACGTCATGAAGGTAAGAGCCAGACTGATGCTGCAAACTTAACCCCACATACCTGGGAGGAATCCCCATTGAATTCATAAGACTTACTAGAGAGTAGCCGTGCTTAGGATCCGGGTGCAAGCAAGTTAAGTTTGGGTCTCCTTGAAATCTAAGGTGCTGATGTTAAATCCTGACTGGGACCTAAGTTCAATGGACTCAGACTGGATCCAGCCCTATATCTGACAAAACTGGCCGTTCTCTTAAGTGTTGCTGTTGTTTTCCCGCGCAAGGCTTTCAGATCGCTGCCGAAGCACGCAAACGGTGCGCCCGGCTCCCCTCCCGCGCTCGAAGGCGCCCGGGAGCCCGCGGAGTCAGCCGCCAGCCCCGCAGACAAAGCGCTCGGCTGCCCGGGCGCCGCCAAGGCAGGCAGGAATGCAGCGGAAGGATCCGCATCTGGGACCAATTAGTGGGGGGGTGTCCCTGCGAGCTGATCTGGCGGCGGGAACCGTGCGGTGGAAAGAGACCTGGTTCCCCCCTTCTGTCTGCCTCCCCCTCCGATGGAAAGCTGTGCTGTTAGTTACCCCTGCCTGCTTCAAACGGGTTGTTTGAGTCACATCTCGGGAAGGAAGCAGTGGCTAACCTCAAAGCCTTTTTTAATAGCTCCTGGAGATGAAGAGAGACTGCAGAAGTAGTTAAACAAGAACAGATGTTGGTGTTGCAAACACCGTGCCCTTGATTTAGAAGTCCGGACTTGATTTAGAGCAGCTAACCCTAGAAAGCCGTAGAAATCTGGTGGCAATCGCCTAATCAAGAAGAGCCCCTGCAGGATCAGGCCCAAGACCAGTCTGGTCCAGCCTCCTGTTCTCGCAGTAGACAACCGGATGCTTATGGGAAGCTCACAACAAGTAGGGCCTGAGTGGAAGAGATACTCTCCACTTGTGGTTCCTAGTCATTGGGACTCTGCCTTTGGTATTGGGCATGGGTAGGCAAACTAAGGCTGGGGACCGGATCCAGCCCAATCACCTTCTAAATCCAGCCTGTGGATGGTCTGGGAATCAGCATGTTTTTACATGAGTGGAATGTGTGCTTTTATTTAAAATGCATCCCTGGGTTATTTGTGGGGCATAGGAATTCGTTCATTTATTTTTTTTCAAAATATAGTCCAGCCCCCCACAAGCTCTGAGGGACAGTGGACTGGCCCCCTGCTGAAAAAGTTTGCTGACCCCAGGAATTGAAGATAATAGCCATTGTATCTTCCATGGATTTGCCTAACTCTCTTTTAAAGCTGGTGGTTATTGCTGCATCTTTTTAGGAGCCAATTCCAACATTCAGCTTCATTGGATGGCTGTGGGTTCTAATATTACAAAGAGGGTGAGAGAGAGATGCTCTGTGTCCACTTTCTTCATCCTCTGAATGGTCTTCCTGGTCGTCTTACCCCAGATGTTTACTTGGAAGAAGGGTCCTCTTTCTTCACTGAGACATATGCCACTTAAGTAAGTATGCATCTGATTGTTGCTTTAAAGTCTTTGCAATGTGACTTAGAACAGTTGGTGTCGCTTCTGTGCATTGTGCTACCACTTCAGGGGCTCCCACTTGGAATAGGCTTGCTAAACCCAGGCTAGTTCACTGGGAGCTCCTTTAAGTTCTTCTTCAAAGCTTAGAAAAGCATAAAATTGGAGCTGGATGGGGCATTGGAGATCCTTTAATCCAGTCCTGTGCTCGGTGCCGGATTTTGTAACAAACTCATCCCTGAGAAATGGCTGCCTAGTATTATCTTGCCATGCCCTGTTTTAAACACATAATTTGCTTCTATCAAAGCAAGTGTTCGTTTGTTGGTCACTTGGAAGACTGCTCTTCAGTTGCCAAGTAATCTGAAAATAATTGTAAAATGCAGGTGCTGTAATATAGGGGGCATTGTAACTAATGTTTTTATTCAAAATATAATTATATTTTGAAATCTAGGAATTTCTATGTATGGTAATACTGGATTTGTTAGCAAGCTCTTGGCTGTAAGCTGGTACTACTGAGTACTACTAAGCTAGTACTAATATTTATGTTGCTTGTGCCTGAGTAATTGCATTATATGACACAAAGGATGGGATCATTTGGAGCAGGAGGTCAGTTACCTAATACTGCTGCTTAGCACTTGGAATACTGTCTACTGGATGCTATACCTCAAAAGGGGTTTTGTGGAGCTGGAGAAAGTTCAGAAAAGGGCCACCAAAACAGTCCCCTGTGAGAAGTTAAAATGTTTGCGGATTTTTGGTTTAGAAAATTGATTTGATTGGGTAAAGTGTTTTCTTCCTCTCTCGTGAAATTAGAGCTGAATCTTGGGAGATATAGGACGGACAAAAGGAAAGACTTCACAGCACAATTCACTACTACAATGTGACAGTAATGGCTGCCTCCTTGGATGGCTGTAAAGGCTCCTCCTAGTCAGGATAGCTCTGTTACCTCCAGTATCGGAGCCCACGTGCCTCTGAATACCAATTTATTGGGGAACACAAAAAGTGCCATTGTTCAAAACATCCTTCGCCTTTCCTTAAAATGTGCTGTATTGTCAGTATTTTTGTTATTTTATCTGCATTCCTAAAATGGTGTTCTAGTCAGAGATGCTCTATGTGCTCCAAAGTGCTTCCGCCCCATTAATGCGGGGGCAAGATGCTAGGAAGGGTTAGGGGAAGGGTGAGATTTCTTGGGCATGAATTTTGAGGGAGTTCTCCCTTAGTAAAAGATATAATTTGGAGCTGCTATGTTCTGTGTTCCTGTGTGGAAAAAGTGGGGTCATATGGATTTACGAAGTTCGGACTATATCCATTTGGTATAATATTGGTATTTTGAGAGCAGGTGACTAATGAATATGAACATATCTATGTTCTCAAGAGCAGCTGGAAGGTTGCCATATTTCAAAAAGTAAAATTAAAAAAGCAAAATTGTTGAGATTTTTAAAAGAAAATAAGCTTTTGAGGGGAAACCTAACCCAAAAACAGTGATATTTTGAGCTGTTTACGCTGCTTTTTCCATTGCATTGCCATACACCCGGGTTTTCCCTGACATTTTGACTGTTCGGCAAAATTCCCCGGGCACCATTTTTACACCTGAAAACCAGGACATGTCAGGAATATTCCTGGCGTATGGCAAGCATAGAGTAACACCACTTACCACTTTGCATTAGTTTGTAACAAAATCTGGTCAGTCACAATATGAGTGTGGGGTGTAATTTGGTGCACTGTTGTTGGTATTAAATAGTTGTCCAACATAGTCCGATGAGGAGTGCTGCATTGTAACCAAAATAGTAGACCCAAATGCTTTACTCGAATGTTAAGACTCGAAAAACTTAACATTTTGATGAATAAACCATCTTCCATTTTGTTCGGATTGAGAAATAAAACAAATGAACCTCCTTTGGCTGCATTGGCAACACATTCCTACAATGTTCCTGTTCGGTCACAGAACTGATGCATAACCCCAAAATTCCTGCATTCCTACCTTGTGCATTGATGCCAGTGGCATAAATTAATAAGTCCAAGGTAGCATCTTTCCTTAAGTGTGGAGCCCATGCTTATCTTTCTGTAAGGACAGCTGACCCCATTCTGAGTTTGAAGTGGTTGTATAGAACAGATTACTGCCTCAAATAACCATGATTAGATCTTCATTGCTGTTTTATACTTATAATCAAATGTCTCATAACATTGCAAGATGTGATTATTTCAATCACATAATTCATTTATAATAATTACTTGTAAACTAACTAAATAAAAAAAGGTAACATGCATTTGGAGGTGCTATCGTTTTCTCTCTCTGCCTTTTTAATCAGTGTGAAGATATCACAGGCTTTCTCTGGCGGTTTAATTATAGACTGGCAGCCGCTCTTCATGGCTATACTTCGTTGGGGAGCTGACAGTCTGTTAGCAGGAAGAACCTCTCATACGAGTTTGAGTCAGCACGCTTCCAAGAACTGCTTTCAAGGTACTTGATAATGCATGTTCTCTCCTGTTCTGCTTTGCTGCTTTCTCCCCTAGTATCTCTTATGCTTTTCAATGTTTGCAGCTTCTATATTTTAGGCCCTCTTATCATTTTTGCTATTTGTTTATTTTTTAAAGTATTTATGTACCGCCCTCTCATAGAATATCAGGATGGTGCACAGCAACATAAAAACTCAACACACACGCGCAACAGTGCAGAACAATAAATTTGCTAGCTAAGATTCTTCACCTTCGCAGTTTGGACTTTCAGTATCATCTTTGTGTGATAAGATGCCTCTCAGTTGGCAAACTTCATTTCTGCTCCAATCTAGAGTCAGACTTTGGGAGTTACTTTTTGGTTTGTAGTATCAGGTTCTCTCCCCGCCCCGGCCGCTCCAATCAGGAGAGCAAATGGGGAGTACAAAAGTCCCAGTTTATATATAACTGTTCTTTGTGCCAGTCAGACTGTGCGACAGGAACTGATTTTGCAGCGCAGCCCACATCTACTCAGTATTTGCAGCTTGGTCAGAGCATGGCCTCTCTCTCTTTGCTCTTGAATTCCATAATTTCAGCAACTTTTTTCACATCCCCAAGAATTAATGCACTTCTGGGTCAGTTCCCTTATAAGGAGAGAATACTGGAGAAATTGTGTTTTTTATTGCCGTGTGTGAAAAGGTACATTTTCTCTGAATCACAGTCCTTATGTAGGCAAAATGGGAGATAGCAGGAGGCTTGGGGGGAAACCCAAGTTTTGCAAAGTACAAAGAAACTTTTTGGGGTGGGGAGAATGGCTCCATTCATGTCAGCAGGCTAGGGGAAACCCATGCTTTGCAAAAATGCAAAGCAACTAAAGGGGAAAAACTAAAAGAGAAAAAAATTCTTCAACAACCCAGTGAAGATGGAGCATGTTCAGTGGTCACAGGATGGTGAGTTGGCGCATGGAGTGGGGGAGGGGAAGGAGGGTGGTGGTAATAGAATGGAGTATCCTAGAAAAAACTGTGGCTGGAAGGAATCCTGAACACAAACTTTTCACACTGCAACATTTTGTTTTAGGATCTACTTCTATCTGTTCATTTACAAATATGCAAGGTGGGACGAGTCTTAAGTTGAATCTGGGTTGATTTTGCAACTCCTCATCACCACTCTAGTTTGCTTTTTGCCTACCAGCCTCAAAACTTGGAACTCTTTCTCTTACTCCTAAAATTCAAACTGTTCTCCATCCTTTGGTGTGTGCCTGTGCACACAGAGAACACTGATTTCAGACTCTGCCCTGAGCAATAGTTGTGACCTTTGCAGTGCCCTTGAGTAGGCATGAACCATTAAAAGCCATAAAAGAAGCTGTCTGTCTATCTATGTATCTAATCTTCTTTTGATGCCCCACAAAAGCATTCCCCTAACACCAGGGTGTGAATATGTTTGCTTTAGATTCCTCTCCAGAGATTCTCTTTTAATTTTACATTAGTATTGCTAATGGGCTCACATTGTTTCCTTTTTAATCCATCTCCCATGTTAAGAATATCTCAAAAATATAATCCCTTGTGGTATACTATAGGCTGGGACAAATGGCGTAAGAAGCCTTTTTTCCTTTTCCTTTCTCTGAAGCTTATATCCTACCTTCCTTCAAGGAGCTCAAGGTGTTATAGACATGCACAATTTATCACATTTTTCCATGTATAAGACGACCTTTTTTCTGATTTTTTTGTGATAAATTGAGGGTCGTCTCATACACGGGTTAATATGCTAAGTAAGCGAGGGCTGGTGCTGCGGCGATAGCAGGGAAATGTTGGAGAGGAGGCTGCTTACGCACTGTGTCCGGCTTACAAAGAGTATTTGGTGAGTGCCAGTATGCAGTGTATTACGGCACCAGTTCCGTCAGCCAGAGTGAGGGATCGTTGAAAAGCTGCTCAACAACTCATTGAACTTACAAATGAAGTTCAACAACTGTTGAGGGCTCCAAAAAATAGGGGTTGTCTTATATATGGGGTCATGTTATACGCGGAAAAATACAGTATCTTCAAAACAACCCTGGGTTAGGTTGAGAGACAGTAACACACTGAGGTTCCTGAGTGGATATTTGAACCTTGGTCTGCCAAATCCCAGCCTAAGGGCTCACCCACATGGAAGTTTAATGTGGATTAAAGCAACTTGTGTATGTGTCTCTCTTTCTCTGATTTTTTTGTGGTGTCCACACAGCATCCTCATCCTAGTGACAGCTACCACTTCTCCCCACTAAATTTGGATTTTCCCAATCCACAGATAAATCTCAATAAAGGAAGAAAACCCAGTGTAAGATCACACGCTACTTGCCCATGAACACACTGTGCAGTGCGGGGGGTATTGAAAGGGGTGGTGATGTTTTTCTATTGCCACACCCTTTACTTCCATAGTGTTTCCATCAACCCAAAGGAAAGGATATGGCCTTCTCTTTTTCACCGGTTGTTACTGAAGGCACCTTCAAGGCATTTTTATTTTTAAAATGTTACTGTTTCACAGAAGTGCTGTTGCACAAAACAGCTGTATTAAAAAATAATAAAGCAGCTCCAGATCCTTTCCTGGTTTGAAGCAACATACACTAAAAAAAAAAAAGTTTGCTCTTCTTTGCAAATCTAGTATATCTTCAGAGCAAGAATTACATTTTTTAAAATATGGGCAAACTACTTGGAGCAACACAGACACATTTTAAACTCGCCTTTACTGCTCTTTAGTGCAAATCTGGCATATTATGTATTAGGTTGTTTTTTAGTCTTGGGTCTATATCTGTTTTTAATGTTTGTCAGTCATTTTGAGTTCATTTTTTCAAAGTGACATAATAATAGTATAAATGTGGGCCCACTAGTTCATTTATTACTATTTCACAAGCAATCTGTGCCTTTTGTCTCCAGCACCTGCAGTTGAGAGTATACTGTTTCTAAATAGTTTTAAAGACACTGAAAATAAGTTTTAATAAAATATTTCATTGTTTATTTCTTTACACCATGATATGAGACGTTAAGAAAAGAGTCTGATGGTTCTTGGAAATGTGGAGAAATTATTCTGAAATGTGTGTTAAAATTCCAGAGGACAGTGGAAACTTCAAATTCTGCCAGAAGCTGGGAGTGGGGCAGTTATGAGCTATTTTGGTACAATTCATAACTATCGTTAGTCATGCCAGAACACTGAAGGCAACCATGCTGAAATAATCATTCTTTGCTGCCATTTGCTGCAAGAGACTAACATGGCTGCTTTCACCAGCTCTGTACCCTTCAGATGTTTATGACTTAAACTCCAATTGTCCCCAGTCATCTGAAGGGCACCAGGTTTGCAAAGCAAGTGTGGACTTCTGGGGTAGGGAAATAAACTACATACTAGTGCTCCCCAACTTTCTATTTGTTTGGTTTTTACAGTGGTATTTAGATACAGCTGCTTCTGTCTTTGATATGCCATTGCTTACCTTCAATTCATCCCTTCCTTTTGCCCAAGTAAGGGCCCAGAACTTACCCTCTCATTTTTGTGTGTGTGTGTTTGCAGGACTGAATATAAAGACAGTGGTGGCATCTTCCTGTGATTTGCAGGCTTTCTGAGAGATGATCGGAGAGAGGGCAGATGAACAAACTTGGCAGCTTTTCCGCTTCACAGAGGCAGCACCAAGAGTCTCCTTTTAGCCCAACATCAACCAGCTTGCTGTCTCACTACCGTGCATTTCGTGATCATGAATGGGAAGTGGTGGAACGGTCACTTGGCCTCCTGCAGGCCAGTGGATTTTACTGGGGCCCTTTGTCTGTTCACGAGGCCCATGCTAGGTTACTGCAAGAGCCGGTGGGGACCTACTTGCTGCGAGACAGCTCTCAGGGAAACTGCCTTTTCAGCCTCAGCGTCCGCATGCCGTCTGGACCCGTCAGCCTCCGGATCTCTTTCCACAAAGGCTACTTTTGGCTGAAGGACTGGTTTTCGGACTGTGTACTGAGGTTGCTTGAACTAGTGGTGGCAGGAACCAGGACTAAACCCCTCCACTGTGATGCAATGGGAGAAGCTCCTCTAGTATTTTCCGAGCCCCTCTGCAGGGAGCATAGGGCTGTGCCCACGCTGCAGGAAATCTGCCAGCGCGCCTTACCTGCTTCCAGCAGGACTGGGCGGGGCAGTTGTTGGACTCTACCTCTTCGTTGGCAACAGAAATGCCAAAATGTGTGTGGTGGGCAAAAATATGCAAATATTGATGACGCCAATGCGCTAACAGAATAAGTCATTGCTTTTCCTGAATTCTTAGGGTCTGTTTCAATTTCCTTTTATAGGCTAGAGGTAAACATTGCCTTTCATCTACAACTTGGTATTCCAGCTGCCTAAGCCAGTCTTTCCTCATGGAGCATTGAAACTTGGTTTCAGAGATCTGATGCTGAGATAGGACTTAGTGCACAGAAGTTGAATGCTGATCTCTAGAACCAGAGAGGCACTGCTCTGTGTATATGGGAGATTATTGGAAAACTTGGGCTGCTACCGCTTACCTGTGAGTAAGCTTCATTGAACTCAACAAAACTCACTTTGAGTTGACATGTAGAAGATAGCACTGTTATACTTGCAACCAAGCCTTCTTTTCAGTGGGGCAGGTTCAGCAGTGTCTAGCCTTTCTCCTCCATGCATCTCCCTAAATTCTCTTTCCCACTGAGTACTGTCCTCATTCTGTCAGGGTAGGAAGTAGAAGGCTTTTATTTTAGCACTTCGCAGCAACTCCATTACTTGGCTTAATTTTAGCATTATTTTATAAGAAAAATGTGAGTCTAATACAATAGTCAAGATTATTGTATTTGGTGATTCACACTTGTGGAAAAATGGAGGAATTTAATGAAAATTAAAAAGAATCTATATTATATTAAAATAAAACCATCCAACCCCCCTACTACCTAAAGCAAGTGGTAGCCAGTGTACAAGGGATTCAGTCGAGAATAAGAAATGAAAAAGGTGCATATTCAGAGTAAAAGGGTAAGTAGAGGTTTTCACTTGCTCAGACTATAATCCTAGACCCTCTTGCCTGGGGACAAGCCCCACGGAACTCAGATTGAACATCCAAATAGACATACGATATAGGACCGCAGTATAATATTATTTTAGTAATTGTCTTAATCTGCAGTAATTAAAAAAGGTGCCTGAAAAGCATTTAATTGTATTTATTTAGTGAGTCTTGTAAAAAAGTGTGCTGCTGTCATTCAGTGGGGGAGAAACGGGGAAAACTCTTCTTTAAATGTGTTCATCCTCCTTTTTGTACAGCAGTGTTTTCATAAAATTGAACTCAATTACTGTAATGTATTGACTTCTGCAGTTTTGTTATATGTAGACTGTTTGCAGCATCTGGATATCTAAGTGTGTTAGTGGTGAGTCTGGATTTTGGAAACTATACCATGGTTTTATGCTCATGATTTATGCAGCTTGATTAAAATTAACACAGTTGTTTGGGGCATTTTCATGGCTCCCGCTACAAACAAAGGAGTACAGCAGGAGGCTTGGAGAAGCATATCGAGAAGGGCCATCTGAGCAGCATCTTCAAAATTCAGGGCAACACTGGGACTAGCCAAGGATGGAATTTCTTACTTCGGTGGACTTCATAGAATGATGGGTGTAAGAGCACCAGAGGCCTGCTATTCCACCACCCTGTTCTCAGTGGCCAAACAGATGCCTACATGATCCACAGACCCCTTCAAATCTCTGGGGTCGTTCCAGACTTAGTCATACAGTACTTAGAATAGGTCTATTGGGATCAATGGGATTAAAGTTAGTCATTACCTGCTTAGGTGCCATTGATATCAGTAGGTCTACTTTAAGCATGACTAAGTCTGATTTTTGTCACTAGATACAATCCCGTACACTTACCTGGACGCAAGCCTGGACTTGCATCCGAGTAAACATGCATAGGACTTAACTGTTGTACCATTCAAATCAAGGACAGATACCAACTGGAAGAAATGTATCCTGATCCTAAACGCTGATTGAAAGATGACCATCTTTAGCAGGAGCCAAAAAAGCAATGGAGAAGGCAACTGTCTGATATACAGTGGGAAGGAGTTCCAAAGGGCACATTATGTGGAACAGGCCTCCTGATCAGATGGTATCTGCAGAACGCAGTGGTCGGTTGGGGATGAGACAATCTTTTAGCTATCCTGGTCTCAAACTGCATAGGGCTTTTTACACCAGCACCTTGAACCTAGGCCTAATCAACTACTGATTTTTTAGATCTTTTACTGCAGCAATGGGGAACCTGAAGCCCACCAAATATGGCTGGTTTACAACTCCCATCATCCCAGGCTGGCTGGGGCTAATGGGATTTAGAGTCCAACAAAAACTGGAAGGCCACAGATTCCACAGCCAAGGAATGCCTTCCCATCAAATGTCAAATAAACAACTACAGTATCTGACTTTTAGAAGACATCTGAAAGCATCCCTGTTTAGTGAAGTTTTTAATGGTTGATGTTTTACAGTGTTTTTAATATTCTGTTGGGAGCCGCCCAGAGGGACTGGAGAAGCCCAGCCAGATGGGCAGGGTATTATTATTTATTAATGGCAGAATGTGGTGGTCTGGCATTTTTTTTATTGCCAAGGGTGTGTAGGCTTGTTATAACCCCACTGTTATGTATCCTGCCAGCTACCGTAATTTACAAAGAGAAATAGAAAACTGTTATGCAGTGCCCCCTTGTGAGTGCATATGCGACACAGTCTTATCTACGGAGTGTCTTACATCTATCTTCTGCCTCTGTTACATTTGAATGGAAACTTCTCCTGATGGCTTTAATTACAATTTATTAGCAACAGCAAACTTTTGATACAGATCAGGGTAGGAAATAATACCTGAAAAAGCAGGGCATTCAGTTGTGAGGATTTTGCGGGTGTATCTTTTTTTCCTAGCAGTTCATTGTGTTAAGCGAATGTGACAACTTGAGCTTCGGTTCTTGGAGCATACTGAATTTGATTTTAAGGTGCCATCGCTGTAATCTGATGTTGAAAGATCTTGACAGGCTGCAATAAATAGTTGCCTCTGCAAAATGACATCAGCTGCCTTTGCATTTAATTGGAAAATAGACATTCTTAGTGGCTGCATGTTTACCCAAGCATGAGCATCATCCAGAGCTAGTATTTATTGGCTGTGATATCTTTTGGTGGACAGGGTTCAGCAAGCGGAGATTGTCTTGTGGCAGGCCACCCCAATCCCTGTGTGGTGCGAGATTCTAGGGGTTCCAGGCGCTTACCCAGGATTTGGCTTCCCTGGAAGGAGAGACCGTGGTGTCTTTATGAAATATTGTTTTATTTACACCTATATACAACCTGAGCCTATAGTGGAGGGGCCACAGCATTAACACTCAGAAAGTCTTGCTTCTCCCATTGTCACAGCCTTGGATCCAAGCAGATACCAGCAGGGCTCTCCCTCTCAGGCATCTGCCTGCAGCCTGCTTGCAGCCCAGTTCAAACATACAGGTGACTCCCCACTTACACAGGGGTTACGTTCCAACCTCCCCCCTTGCAGAAGTGAAATTGTGTAAAGTGAGGAGCACCCTCTAAACACCTTTTAATTGCCCTCTTTTCCCATAGAATGTGCTCTTGTTAGTTTAATGGATTTCTCTGCCTCATTTCATTTGCCAGCCCTGGTCCTGCAAAATAGGAGATAGCTGAACTGTAATCTGATTTTATAGTTTTAACTCATTTTTACTTTCGTTGTATGAAGTCTCCTGCACACTGCTTAGAGACAACCATAGTAAGTGGTAAACAAACTGTTAAAGTAATTTTTAAAATGCACAGAGCCCCCAAAGCAGAAAGCACTGAATACAGCAGAAAGGGCGGAACAAGGAACAAACGACCAGTAACGTATTGTTTTGTTCCTCCTAAAGCCATCCTCCCCACCCCAAGAAAAGGGAAGAGACAAAAGACATTTCTGAGTAAGAGTACCTCTTAGCTCAGCCTATACCTCTTTTTACATGCTGCCATGGCCTCCAGTCTATATACTGTTATCACACTTCTCTGGACTCTTCAAGATGGTGGTAAGATCATGTCTCTCTCTCTCCCCCCCTTTTTTTCCCTGTCTAATCTCTCATTTGTTCAGTCTGGGAAAGCCTTTTCACTAGTCTCTTAAAGCAGTAGTATTTTCAACCATTTCTGCTGTATATGATCACCTCTCCCTTTCTCTGTCCTTCTCTCTCCTGTTCTCCATCCACTTATCTTTTAAACAAGAAAAATAAGAATAAAGCTGGTGCCATTGGGGTGATCTATCTTAGATTAGATAGAGTGTGGCTTGTATGTGGGTCCAAATTTGTGGGTGTAAAATTGAATAATAGTTTGTTTTTATTCTCCTTCTCCCCATTAACTGATAAATGCAAGCTTGCCCTGAGTGTTCTGAGTTGAAAGTTGGAAGGGGAAATATTAACGTTTTGTAAATAATGAAATAATAAAACCCACCGACTGATGGTCAGTGCCTTAAGGCAAGTAGCCTTTTAACACTTTCCAGAACTGACAAAGCAATCAAGCATTAATGGGTGTAGTGAGTGAATGAGTTATGTGAATATAGTGGTGGGTAGGGTTGCAGAAAGTATTGCAGCACTTTCCCCCTCCCTCTCTCATCAAACTTGATGGGACTTTAGCTAACAATCAGTGATATTCCATGTATATATTGCTTATGTGCTCCAGATGCTTCATATACATTATCAGTTTTAGTAATTCTTATAGCCTAGGGGTGGGAAAACTATTTTTTAAGTCCTGAGGGCCAGAGAGAGTACACTGAAGGGTTGCATTTGGCTCCTGGGCCTTAGGTTTGCCATAACTATTGTCTCTGGGCCAGAAGAGTTGATTGTTACCACACTGACTGTCAGTAACAAGCAGTTTTCAATGAAAAAAAAACACATCTTAATTATGTTAAAAATAGCCAGAAATATGTAATATCCAGTTTGGGGCTATAGGGTTCACACTTTTAACCCAAATTGCACTTGAGGGATCAATACATCCAAAATGTATTAAAATAACTTTGACCAGAGAATGTACAAAAATCAGTCAAGATACCGGTATGCATGTTCCCCAAAACATGTGGGATAAGGACTAGATAATGTACAAAATTCAATCAGTGTTTGCACATTTCCCAAAGCCCGTTGGAGCATTTATATATTGATTGGGAAACAGGAACAATTTCCTCTTCGTGGATGATGTGCACATTCTCTATAAGGCCTGGTGAATGTGCACAATGGCTGGTTGTTATACACATTAACCAGTAATCTAGCATTCCCCATAATACACACACACACACACACACACACACACACTACAAGGTTGACTGTGTGTTTGGGCTCATGGGGAGATCTTGCTTTTAAGAGGGAGTGGGGATCCTATGGGCAGGCTCTTGGATTCCTGTTGGGTCCTGCTTATGGGTTCATCAACAGAAATTAATAAGCAAGCCATACACAGCTATTTAATGTGTTTACACTGGTGAGATATCTTTTTTAAAAAAATCAAAATCACAAAGGTTCATGTGAACCTCATCACCATCCAGCCTCACAGAGCAGTGGCAAAGACAAACATTGAGCGCCCATCCACTACTTTCAGCTTCCTGGAGCATGAGACGAAAATAGATAATATGCTTTACGAAACAGCCAGTTTTGAAACACTCTCTCCCTGCTCCCATTATGTCTTTGTCATTAAACTGTATTGCAGAATTGCTGCAAACTGAGTAAACTGGCCACTTCCGCCCATCGCTTTCCACATACCAGAATTTCACATGAACGGTAGTAAGTTGGGGGTGGAGGAAGAAGAGGAAGTCAGCGGCAGCAAAGATGATAAATTCCCACAGCATTCTGCTAATGGACTCGGCGTATCATTTGAAACTTTCTATTTCCAGTTCAGACAGCAGTTTTTAGAGTCAGCACAATCCTCTTTCTGTACTCCAGCACTTCGCTGGGCATCTTCCAGGTTGGGAATACCCAGAATTGAACTGGTAATATCTGAATTAATGGAACAGAGACAGCTGGCTCCCAGTTTGCCCTTGTGTGTAGGTTCTACATATGGCAGTAAGGCATGGGGGGCAGATCTTCAGCTCCTTGTCTAAAACTTTCTGTAGAATATTTAATGTCAGCATTCAGATATTTAATTAGAAGTAAACATTGCTACAGATATAGGCTTTGGTTCATGCTTACTGGTCTACACGCTGTGGGGGAGAGTGAGTGTGCTCTCTGAATGTAAAGCTAGGTGCCCTGTGAGCTGTCTTAGTCAAAAAGGCAACTAGATTGTGGACTTGTGGTTAAGTCCACTATCTTGTGGTGTTGACCAATGGTAGATGCACATCTGGAGTATTGTGTCCAGTTCAGGAAGCCACAATTTAAGAATGTTGAAAAGCTGGAACATGTGCAGAGGAGGGCAACCAAGATGATCAAGGGCCTGAAAATCAAGCCTGTTGAGGAATGGTTGAGGGAAATGGGTATGTTTAGCCTAGAAAAGAGGAGACTGAGATATGACAGCCATCTTCCAATATCTAAAGGGCTGTCACATGGAGGACAGAGCAAGCTTGTTTTCTTTTGCTCTGGAGGCTAGGACCCAAACCAACGGCTTCAAGTTACAGGAAATTAGATTCCGACTAAACATACAGAAGAGCTTTCTGACAATATGAGCTGTTCAGCAGTGGAAAAGACTCCCTTGGAAGATGGTGTACTCTCCTTCCTTGGAAGTTTTTAAGCAGAGGTTGGATGGCCGTCTGTCATGTATGATCTAGTTAAGATTCCTGCACTGCAGGGGGTTGGACTAGAATGACCTTTCCAGCCCTATGATTCTATGATCTAACGGCAGATTCCTGAGTCATTTGCAGTAGATTGGCCGGAATTTCTGACTCCCAATAGTTTAACAAGAGCAACAGCAGGATGACTTTTTCCATCTAAATTAGACACCTTTACTGAAGTTTGCATGAAAGGACTGAGCACTCATAGAATCAGAACTGTAGAGATCCTAGTTGCCAGAGGATCATTTTGTCCAGCCTCCTGCAATGCAGGAATCTCAACTAAAGCATCTGTGACAGGTGGTCATCCAACCTCTACTTAAAAACCTCCAAGGAAGGAGAGTTCACCACCTCCTGAGGGGGTTCAAGTTCAGATCCTGAAAACAAATTGCTAGACACACAGTGTGTTCACCCTGTTCTTTAATTCTAACTCTGTCTTTTGTACCTGTCTCCAGCTGGTGGAGCTTTGGATTCTTGTAAAAAGCTAAGTAGATCTGACAACCTGAAGTCCATCCACCCGTGGTGTACACTCCTCTATTGTCAGACTACTCAATCTGTTGTCATCTCACTCCAATTCAGATATGGTAATATTTGCATCCTTCTTACAGGCTGCTCTAGGCTATGGGCAGCTGTTGCCAAAATATAGATGACTGAGCAACTTTTCTCAATCTTGATAACTAAAAAAATAACATTTTCCTCATCTACCAGGGACTCTCCACGTGTATAATGACCGTCTAATCAAGATTGCTTTTGCCAATGAAGAAATTAATGCAATCTGCAAAACAAACGTAATGTATAAACCAGATTATACAAAATTCATCCTTAGCTATTATCGGATTGACTCGGAAAGCAAGGAGATCACAGTCATGCAATCTCTACAGTCTGTGGAAATTCCTCCCGGTCGTGAGAACAAGTCAGAGACATTAAATTATCCATTTAAAATAAAGCCTTCTATGCATTCCTCTGTTTCTGGTACCTACTACTGCAAAGCTCTTTGGATACTTAAAAACCAAGTAAGAAGGGGAAATGGGACATTTATTCTTTTCAGAGGTAAGTTCTTGAAGGCAAGTGAGCGGTGGTGGGTTGAACAACAACTGGGGGTGGGGCAGGGGTGGTAAATCTTGTGTAAAGGCATTTAAAACTTTTGCTACCTTTATCTGAATGTATACTATAAGCAGACAAATTACAATGTCTAATTGCAAACAAATCACAACCCCTTAAAGACCAACTCATTTATTCTGATGTAAGCTCTCATGGACTAGCAATTAGGTATGAGACTTTGAGTTCCTTGAAGGAAAAATGGGATAGAGATTTAAAACAATGAGCCTTGGCTCCCAGTTACCGCTTATCTGCATGCTTGGTTTTCCTCATTTTCTTGCAGAAAAAGGATATACAGAGCCCCCTCTTACCATGTGGATGTGCCTTATAACCATCACCATTATTTTGACTGTTGCAAGCATCATGGGAACTGTCCTGCTGTTCTGGAAGAGAGAGGCAAGTAATTCTTACTTAACATCGTGTTGCATTTGCTACAAAATGCAAAAAGTTTTGCAGCATCAACCATTCAGTCGTGCTGAATGTTAAAGTCAGTTACAAAATGCTTGGAACGAGGGCTTCTACTTGATTAAAAAAAAATCTACTTGATTAATCAAATTTTAATTTATTAAGATTGAGTTGATTAATCAATTAAATTTGCATATGTTTGCATGTGGCTAACATAATAGTTCTGAAGAAAAATGCATTATTTCTTTGTCTGTAGAAAGTGAGTATACAGGCATCATCTTATCATCTTCAAGAGGGACCCTCCCCTCCTGTGGGAAACGGATGTTCCCTACCATCTGCAGTTTTATATACATAGAAATATACGTGTACATATACATAACATTTTAACTCATGTGAAAAAACATTTATTTAATTATGGAAGTGTTTCCTAATCAGGAATGCCTTTTTGGTCTATGAAAAAATGGTGTATAATAAAAGTACCTGAACTTTTACTTAATTGAAGATTGCATCCCTGTTTGGAGCAGAAATTGATTATGTGTTGGCTACTTGGCCAGCAAAATGTGACAAAATGTCTGCAGATTTGAAGGTTGATACTTATATTGTATTATTTATTAAATTTTGAACCTGCTCTTCCTCCCAAAGGAACCCAGGGTGGCAAACATCATACAACACAACACAATAAAATCATAATAAAAACATATTCAAATCATTTAAAAACAATTGGAAACATCAAAAACCACTAAGAACATTTAAAAAAAAAAAAAGGAAAATGGCCACATGCCTCATGGTTAATTTCAAGGTTATCAGGAGCAGTATATTTCGGCTATTTAAATGCTTGTGTGAACAGTAATGTTTTAAAATTCTTTTTTAAAGTTAATAAGGAGGGCGATGAAGGTATCTCACCAGGCAGAACATTCCAGAAATGGGGAACAAGCACCAAGAAAGCCTTATCACGTGTGAGCTCCAACTGGGCAGCACCCAGCACCACCAACAGAGCCTGCCAATCATATGGCCTGAGTTGGTTGATATTGGGCAGACCCTCTTTTAGTTACTTGGGTCCCAAGCCATTTAGGGCTTTATATGCTAGAATTTACACCTCGATTTGGGCCTGGTAACTCAATGATAATTCAAAAGCAAGCGTGCACACCCAGTGCTAATCCCATTGACAACCTGGAAGGTGGAGATGACTGACTCGCACTTCCATTGCTTTGAATGGGATATTAGATTTCCCATTGACCTCCATCAATATGCCTACCATAAGGAAGTTTTAGCTGCAATGGACGGTCAGATGCCCTTGTGCTTCTGTAATAGTTCTGGGGCATTGCCTCTGAACTCAAAGGTCATTATGTGGACAGTTCCTAAGCTTTGGTTTATTATTCACATCACAAAGGGATAGCTGTATTCAAAATCCTTTCAACTCCTTTGAAAGGTACAAGCTTTCTTCTTCCTAATTCTTTACATGTTGAATTTATGCTTTGCCATTTATTCCAATTCATCGTATCCTCACGAATTTGTGGTGTGGCCTCAGTGGAGACAGATCAAGAAGTGCCCTGCTCAGAGGCCGGCCCCTCCACACACTTCAGGCAGCTCAGAACCTCCAGAGCCCTCATATGTTGTGAGTATTACTGTATAACAAGAATGACTTTTTGTAGCAGCCCTATTCAGAAGCCATTAAGTGTAACATGGTGGAGGCTCAGGGGGATGAATCCACTGCAAAGTTCTGCAGAGAGGGAGGTTTACCATGTCTAGCTGTACGTGTGAAGGTTCCCTCTCTGTAGACCAGGGTTTCTCAAATTGGTCGATATTGAACCCACCCCCTTCAGGGGTTGAAGGGACTATCCAGCCAATGGAAAAAGACCTAGGGGTCAAAAGGGGCCTGGAGTGGGAAAGAAATGTATGAGGTACAGTGTGAAAAATTTAATTAAGAATTATGAGCCTCAGAAATAAATGACATGAGCATGTACAGAGTGTACCTCCCTTGCTCTTCTGAACAACACTGAAAAAGGTTGAACACCAAAGAACATGGTGACTTACAGTAAGACTCTAATTCATAAACCTGCAGCCCAATATTCACATGTTTGCTAAAGCCCATCAGGTTTCTCACTGGAGAGTATGCTATACATACTATTTTCACAGAATCATAGAATTGTAGAGTTGGGACCCCAAGAGTCATCTTGTCCAGCCCCTTGCAATGCAGAAATCTCAGCTAAAGCATCCACGCTTAGCTAGTAGATAATCATAATGCTACTAGATAATTCTGCAATGATTAACACATCAACTCTGTCATTGAAAAGGAACTTCATATTCACTTTCTATTACCAGGTCTTTTCTGTCAATTCCATCCCTTAAAAGAGGGATATATGCTATATTACTTAGTAAGCAATGGAGACGAATAAAAGCATCTTGGGCATCTTGAATAAATGCTTCTTCAAATTTGTTATGTACTGTTGAAAGCTGAAGTGCTCTGAGCCACTGAAGATAAAACAGTAGAAAGCCATGCAGCTGTGCAGGAGGAAAATTGCTCTTATGACCTGGGTGGGAAAGAGGGTTGAGCAGAGATTTGGGTTAGATGCTTTTGGAAGTTGTATTCTATCCCTGACTATTAGATGCATGAGCAGTAGGTTTTAATTACGGTTTATGGTTACCAGTCAATTCAAGGGGTGGTTGTTAAAGGTATCATTTCATCTTTCCTCTTGCTGTGAGAAAAGATGCACAGGGCATACTGTCATTTGATATCATGCTTTAAAATAACAGCTGAGACTCAAAGAACAGAGAAGGAAACTTTTGTCTAGTTTTGTCAGGTCTGGGGTGTTGGAAACTGTCAGGAAAAAGCCAAGAGCTGTAAATCACAAGTTAGGAACTGGACACAGTGAATATTGTCATGCCCCATGAAAAGTCCCAGCTAGAACAGGAAGCTTCTACAGGCCTTTCTAGTCAGGGGCCATCAGTGGGCAGCCTGGGTGAAAGGAGGAACTTCAGGGCAAAAGCAGCTTTAGCTTCCCAGCAGGTGGGACTTATTGGGGGGGAGGCTGTGGGGAGGTGGGCACAGTGCAAACATAGCAGTGAGAACACCCAAATGGCTGTTCTTACAATACTAAAAAGGCCTTGGGTTGTTCCTCAATTCACCTCTTTTCTCTCTTGGGGTTCACACCATATTTTTGCTATTCTTTGCCTTCCCTACTTCTGTAATATCCCCCAGTCATGTTGCTACCTACTGCAGTGGTGAGATCATCTTTAATTTAGTTAATTCACATCCTCTGTCAGCTTAGGGTAGTGCTGGTGTATTCATGGCTGCAGTCCCACCTAATAAAAAAACTTCCCGTCAAGCCTAAATCCAGCTGACTGTTATTTGGGGGTCCTTTCATCTATGCTCCGCCCCCCAATTTTTCTCTCTTCCTGCCCTTTCCCATCGCAGTCACAGAAGGAGAATTGATTCTTGGACAATGCTGTGTGTTATCAGTTTGTTTTGAAGTGAGTGGTGGGAAACAGAGTTTGACAATTTGTTCTTTTCCTCTTGCTGCGTCACTGAGCCTTGCAAATCCTGCACGTTCCCCGTTCTTCTGTTAATGCCACCTGTCTTCCCGCATGCTGAAGCTCCTCCCACCATCCTGTTGCTAGGGGAACTGCCACCACGACCATGGCAACCTGCCGTTACCATAAACACACATAAGTGCTGTTTTGGGTGCCTTTTTTAGATAAGAGACTTAACATCAATACATCTGACATACATATTTAGTGGCAAGATGTTTCATCTCTTCGCTTGTGCTTATTTGCAGACTCGGTTTCTCAGTTCTGGGTATTCTGAGGCGCTGCCTGGGGGGTGTAAAGAGCAGACCCCCCCTTCTTCTCCAGCCTTTCTTAGTGATAACTAGGAGGAGCCCAAGCATGGCTATTGCGTTCTTAAGGCAATTGTTGGGATTAAGCATACGGTGGAGTATTCTGCTGTATTTCCAAAAGATAAAAAATTGGATCAGCTAATCCATTTTTATTTTAATTACCTAATCTTAAACACATTTACCAGGGAGTAAAGCACTGCTGGGCAATGGGAAATGTACTTCCAGTGTAGAATAGTGGTTAGAGAATTGGACCTAGGACCTGGGAGACCAGGGTTCAAACCACCATTTGGGCATGAAGCTCACTGGGTGACTTTGGACCAGCCAGCGCCTCTCAGCCTATCATACCTCACAAGGTTGTTGTGGGGATTAAATGAGGATGGGGAGAACCATGTATGCCACCTCGAGCAAAAGGTGGGATAGAAATTCTATAAATAAAGTAAGTATTTCCTTGTAAATATGAACAGGATTTTGTTGTTATATAGCGCTGTCTCAGTGTCAGGGAATGAGTCATTTTAGATTTGAATATATTTACATGAATCCCTTATGTAGCATAGTTATTACAAAAATTGAGTTTATAGTCAATGTCTCACACCAAAATATGCTGACAATTCATGACACTCCTGTGAGGCAGGGGAAAAGCAGATTACAAGATACATGAGGTTCCTGGCTAAACAGAGTTTCAAACCCAAGTCTAACACTCTTAACTGTTAGGCTGCAAACAGCTAATACGTATATAGGAATGATCTAGGGGTTATTTCCCCTTCCATGAGAAGTGACAATTCAAGTTAAAACAAATTAAACAAATCCCAATATAACTTAAACCCTGTGCAGAAAAGACTCTTGTCAGATTGTTTTCTTTTCCCTCAGACTTTAATTCAAGGCTTGTAATATTATAAATGTTTGAAGCCTTGGTTTCTAGTGTTGGGCCAAGGAGTAGGACCTCAGCAATTTTTGCTAGGTACCCAAACTGGTTAATAATGCAGAGCCATTATCATGAAGATTATTCCCTTCTCAATTTCCCCTATCCTCACTTGGGAACCTTGGGGGATGTAAATAACTTAGGGCAAAACCGTGTGCACATTTACCTGGGATGAGAACAGTCTATTATTGAGATCCCAACATAGAAATATAAAACCATTGGTAGGAATTATAATTTAATTTGTATGTATAGGATATTATGATTAACACGTGTCCTTCCCCTTCCTTCCTGCTTCAGGAATTAGGACCCCGGGAACCCGATGTCTATTTTGCCATTAATAAAAGTACAGGTAGTCCATTGCACAAAAAGGTGCCAGCAGTCAAGGTAAGTCTGATACTTTTATCCCCGTTCGCTTCTGGGTTGGCTGCTGTTACCGAAGCCATATGTGTGATGGGAATGCTAGCAAGAACAAACACATTATAATCTGCAGATCCTGGCTCACCCAACTCAGCCAAATTACTTGTCACCATCAGTGGTATCTCCTGTCTGAATCCTCGACTGACAGGGCATGTGAGGTATGCTTCCTGGTGTTCTGAACACTGCATAGATAACTTCTACATGCTCAAGATTAAGACAAGCCACTTCTAATAATACATTTTATCTGGGTCATGTGTATCCACTACTAAGGCAGAAGCAGCTCTTCAGGGTCAATAAAGGACAAAGTCTACAGGTCAGGGGCTGCTTCTCAGCATTGCACTTTAAAAGTTCCGTGTGCTTCCAGATCAGCTTGTCAGGTAGACACTGTTGATCCAGTTTTTCTGGAATGGTTCAACAGTAGCTTCTTCCCAGCAGGGCAACCAGAGGGCAACTTTTAATCTAATTAAAATAGTCCATGACCAGGTCAACCTGATATAACTCTTTCAAAACTTGGGTTGCATGTATATGTAACTATCTTGAACCAAAGGCATAACATAATGGTATGACCAGACTAAGGGCAAGTCTGAAAATGTATCCAGAAGTGGTCAGACTTTAGGTTTGCACTAGAAGACTCAGATTCACTAACCAGAAACAGGTGCAAAATAGTGGCTAAGGAAGGTGGATATAGATTTGATGGGGAAATTGCCTCTGAGGGCATGTTCAGTACTGTACCAGAACTGGAGTTTACAGACATTATTGATCACACACAAATTTTGGGTATCCCTCCCTCCCCGCAGCATATTTCCTGATTTCAGCAGCCTAATTTAGAAGGGGGAGAAATGGTTTTGTTGCCACTATGCTTAACCCATTGGGAATTTTGCTGATCTGTAAATCATCTGGAGATCTATCTGTAAATCCCAGTCTGGCTTCTGGCTGCCTGTGCTCTACTCTATGGTGTTTCGGATTTTTTAAAAGAAAAATCTTGCCTCTCCATTGTTGCATATGCAATAAATAAAAACCATTGAAAAATGGAGTCACAGAAATCTCAATGTCCAACGGGCGCATACTTTGCCAAAACAGAACTCATTGAAAGAAGAAGGGAGCAAGTGCTGAAGAATTCACATCATCAAGGCTGCAAAAAATCCAGTTAACCAACCACTACTGGTGCCTTTGAAATGAGAAAGAATGGAAAAAATGAAAAGAGGGGGTGTACCTACATTTGCACATGCCCAGTGCCCAGATAGTATAGTCAAATTAATTCTGCTAAAGGTAAAGCAAAATTGCACTGTTAGCAACCTGCACTATAAAGAGATTCTGGGTTATTATGTGTACTGTCACGTATGCTATGTACGGTGCCAGAAAATGGAAAGAGAATATGGCAATATCTCCTAGATCAGCCAATCATGAAAAGGTTTTCAATCTTTTGGGTTTCACAGAACTCTTCATCAGGCAAATTGAGGGTTCAGACCATTAAACAACAATATAATTTAGACCCTTTTACTTTGAATTAGCAATGTGCTTTCTGTGTATTAGAACACTATATAGTAAGAATCTCCTGTATCTCTTCCAAAATAGAGCATATTTCATTATGAGCTAATTCTTCTAACTCAAGTTAGAAAGGGAACATTTGTACTTGACTGTCATTTATCTGGTGTCTTGTTTCTATGCTTGGCTCTGAAAACATATAAAGGTTGCCAGCGCATCTCTCTCTAGACAAGTCCAATTGGAATGCCAGCTGCTTAATTTCCAGATTATGCCTATATTGCTCTTGGGGCCAATTTGGATTTTGGTTGTTCTCTGGAAATAGCAGATGTGGAGTCAAATGCAACTCAGCATACCCACAGAAATATAATGTGTGAATTAGAATCGTGTGGATTTCATCCATGCACTAAAATGTGTTTCAGAGTACACACATCAGAGTACAAGTGAGACCCATTGTTGCTGGGTATTATGTCACTTTTTTGGTGGATATGCAGAAACATGAGTGATTCCCATATCTGCCAGAAGAAAGTAACCTCTGAATTGCCACTTGCCAATGTTAAGGTAAACATATGAAGCCAAACTGATGACTTTGACAGGTTAGGCCTTCAATGTTTTTTAAACTGAAGAAGGGAATAGAAAAAATGAACAACAACAAAAACAACAACAGTATGGTAAATACAGAACCTCCATTATTCTGTGTGAACGTCTACACACACTTCACTTCACTTCACTTCACTTCACTTCACTTCACTGTATTCATAGCATTCAGTATTACATGCCACCCCCTTACCCAGGGCCTGTGTTTCCTGTGTTTCGAGCTCATTATCTCTAAATCAGAACAAATGGCAATTCACTGAAAACCTGAATTGCTGTTTGCTCCAAATGAGTGCTAAAGAGTGGGTTTCCTTGGGGGAAAGCAGTAGGACAAGAGGAATGTGGATAAGCCCTAACTGCCTGAGGGTTTCTTTTTCACATTGCTATACCTTGTGAAGATATCCTGAACAGTTAATGTTAGGGGTTTGTAACATCCATATGAAGGTTCCCTTCTTGGGTGTCATCCAGGTCCTCATGGCCTCCCTAACAGACCTGCAGCTATCCCATGTATGAGGTCCTGTTCCATTGCTACTTAAACTTGGGTTGAAAAGTAAGAGGTGCAAGTTCTCACAGGAGCATAGAAAACTTCCTTATAGCAGGTCAGACTATTTTCCCATCAAGGTCAGTATTATCCGCTCTGATTAGCAGCATCTCCTCAGGATCTCTGGAGGCGATTTCCCCCATCACCTGCTACCTGATTTTAAACTGGAGTTGCCGGGGCCTGAACTTGGGACCTTGTAGATGCAAAACACATTCTCTGCTGCTGAGCTATGGCCCTTTATTACTTCTTGTGGAATGCATACCACAACAAGATCTGTCAAGCTTGCTCTATGTTCCGTTTTAGAAAGCTGGTGAAGACTTTATTCTAGCAAGCTTATGGGGGCAGTGGTTAAACCATTTAAACTGTAAATGTTTAAGTATTAGCTATTTTTTAATCTGCACATTTTAATATTTTAAGGTTCTTTTAAAAAATTTATTGTTTTATTTCATTTCAATACCACTATATATAATCTCAAAGCAGTTTACAGCCTACATAAAAACATCAAATAAAACATTCCAGGATCAAACACTCCAAAAGAAGCTCAAATACAAAATGTACAAAGCAACATAATTAACAGGAAACTAAAATATTATCTTAAATATTTCAAAATAAGACCTTACTAAAGGAGGTCAAATATAGAATACGCATTCAAAACAGGATAATTAGCAAGAGAATAAAATATTATTTTAAATATAGAACCTACCTGCTGCTGCCAGTGGTGATTCATGGTGGCCGATGGCTGTAGGAATGCAGTCTTGATGGCCTGGGTCGACTCTACACTAAATGACTTGGGTGCCAGCAGAACAAGCAAGGGGGTCTTCAAGTCTCCATGTGCAACACTAAGTGCACACTTTGCAGCACACTTGGTACATCACCAAGGTGCTGCCTAGGCAGCTCTATATACCTGGTGGAAAGGCAGACGATTGCAGAGTCTCAGTCTGATGGCAATCACCTGGAACAGAGTGCAGCCACACCTCCTTTCCAACAAGCCCAAGCCCAGTTTTAACTGCTATCTTGTTTTTATGGGATGGATCCCTCTGCCAATTGAAAGGGCTCTTTATATTCGTGGACAGGGTTCTTGTTATGTACTGAGTTGAATAGGATCCAAACTGCAGCAGTCTGATTGGTCCTAGAACAATAGGATTCAGAATGCAGCAGTCTGATTGGTCCTAGAACAATGCAGCAGTATGATTGGTTGGCAGGAACCACCCAATCATGCTCCAGATATAAGTGAATCCACAACCTGATTGGCTTACAGTAGAATTCCAGAATTAGCCAATCATGTGCAGCCCATTGTGTAAATAATGTATATAAAGCAGATACTTTGGGGGGACTTGCATTCATTCCTCCTCACCACTATGAGCTGAATAAAGAGCATGAAATCACTTTGCGACTCTGAGTATATTTCAGTTCTGCTTCACTACCTGGATGTTCCTGCAGATGAAGGGGAGCACTGAAAGATACTGCACTGCTCTTTTGAATCAGTAATGGTTGTAGCAAATAAATATTTACTTCCTATTAGGGCTGCATCCATGGCACGTCCTCCAGTTCATCTATTCCAGAGACTGATTGTACCGTTATATATGGGGTCCTCTTTTCCAGAACATAATGTTTTTTTATCCCTCCCCTGCCAATTTACAGGTGTCTCAACAGAAAATGCAAGAAATCACAGATGTGTATGAGAACAATACAGCAGATTTGTATGAGAACATCTAAGGAGAGAGAGCTAGACTGCACAGCCCTGCCTTTCTCCAGAGCTCAAAAGAAGGTTCTGAATTCTCAACATGGAACAAGCCATACATGTTATATAAAGCAAAATGTTCTACTGATGAAGATACAGGTAATATTGAGACACATGGAGCAGCCCAATATTGTTCCCAGAAAATCCAGCTCTTTGAGACACATGCTTTCTACTGAAGAGAATGGGCTAAGAAAGTGGGAATGGGAGCATCATGCAAGAAGAGAGATTTGGGAGAAGAAAAGGGGAATCTCCTGAGTTTGCTATGATTTTTTTTTAAATTATTTATGATTTTCAATTATAGACATTTCACTAGTCTTACAATCATTCTAACTCTACTTCCCCCTCTTTCTGCGGTTCCTTAAATTAATTTTTTTACATTTCTTACATATTCTAAATTAACTTACTCATTTATTCATCTACTTTAAATATATACTCTTCTAAAATTGCATGTTATTACAATAATCCTGCCAATGTTCTTATCTGTTTACAGTTTGTTTGTAGATATTCAATAAACCATGTCCATTCTTTTATTTAAAAATTGTTACCTTGATTTCTTATTTTTCTGGCAAGTTTTGCCATTTCTGCATATTCCATAACTTTTTGTATCCATTCTTCTTTTGTCAGGACTTCTTCTTTCCATTTTTGGGCAAATAACATTCTTGCCACTGTAGTCGCATACCTGAATAAATTTCTATACTGTTTAGGTAGTTCTAAACAATGAATAAAAAAGTGCAGATGGCCATGCGTTAGATTTTTGTAAGGAAGTCAGATACTTAGACCTGTGCAATTATGATAAAATTCAAACTGACCTGGAGGTTTCTCTCAATTTTAGACAATAGTTTGTGTTTGGGAGAAGAAGGACACACTAATATTGCAGCCCTAAGAGGCCTTTTGTTTAAGCCACAGCCAAAAAGACTATTATAAGTGTTTTCAATATATACAAATATTCTAAAGAAAATTTTGTGCCCATGAATCAAGGACATTTTGTTTGTTTGTTAATCTTCAGAAATGCATTGACATAAGAAGAAACAGCAAAACCTTTTTTCCCTTTTTTCTTTAGCTTAGAAGTCTGCGGGCAGGAACCATCTTATTTGCTAACATTATGTTGGCTATTCTTTGAGCCTTTTGGGCTGAAGAGCAGGGTAAAAATGCTTGGTATAATAAATATAGGTTATTAAATGTTACATGTTTCCTAGAACACCCACTTAACAGCAAATCCAAAGAATCCATTTTGGCATTGTTAACGGAGAAATCTGAGGGCTCCCTTGGACAAAAAAAACAAGGACACCAGCCAGGAATACCAGAGCAAAACAGCAGCCAGTAGGCTTGGTCTTTACTGAGGACTGTTGCGACAGGACTCCCACCTGCCACAAGGTGAAACAAGATGGAAGCCCCAAACAAAAGAGAAACCAAACTTTTGTTAGCTGCTAATTCCCATGTCACCCCCCCCCAAACTACATCACGAATACATCACGGTTACATCATGAAAGGGGAGGTCTGGTGGCAGTAATCTGAGCATCCTGGACCCTGCCCCATGGTTCCCCTTGCCAAACACCCATCAAGTGTAAAAGAGATATTATATTATAAGAAGTCTACAAAGATCCAGAGATCTACAGTTGTGGTTTTAAGAGTGGGATGCAGACATTAGGCCTTCACAGTATAGAGGCAGAAATAGTGAAGACTTGACAGCAATTTGAAATATCTTCAGAGCTGCCACAAGAAAGGGTTGAGGGGAAGGAATGTTTATCAGAGACCCAAAGGAAAGGACAAGAAGCAGTCAAGAAATGTACAGTCAGATGGAACAAGAGATGATGTAAGTTCTCCAGCACTGGCTTTGAAAGAATTTGTATATTTCACGAATGGATTACAACTAGCAAACTCTGCCATTGTGTCGTGTTTTGTTGCCAGAGGATACTCATCCCTTCCAGGTATTTTATATGGGTTTTCTTCACCCCCTCCACCAGTAATACAGCCTGCACCGAAGGGAGAGGGAGGATGGATTTATGAAAAGCTGTCCCTTAAGCCACCAGATGGTGCCCTTGATTCTCATTGGCTGTCTTCTCTCTAAGTCTTTACCTCTGCCAATATCTTGTGCTGCTCCTTCCACTAGTGGAATTGTATACATTTAGTCCACAACAAATGCAATCAGCTTGTTTATCTGTGATATTATTGCTTCCCATAATAGTTGTGATTATGCCTGTTTGGACACAGATGTTTCATCAAGTATCACGCTACAACATGAAATAGTAAGTTCAGAGTACAGGCTGAATGTCAGCAATAACATCTTCACTATTCCACACCATTCTAATATTAAGATTTCAGATGGCATGTTTATATACTTTCATGGTGGCATGGACTGGGACAGGTCTACCTACCTATCACAAAAACATAGACACTAAAATGGTTTGGCCTAAGGGTTCGAACAACAGAGGCTACTGACCTTACTCAAAGCGCTGAACAAAGTCTTCTGAAGTAAAAAGGACTGTTCTTCCACAACACTTGAGAATTAAGCTCCAAAGTAACGAGGCTTAGGTCCAAGCTATCTGAAAGACTGCATTCCCTAATATGCACCTGCCTGGGTTTTGAGATCTTCAGGGGAGGCGCTTCTTTTGGTCCTGCTCCTCTCACAGGCATGCTTGATGGGGATGCAGGAGAGGGCCTTCTTGGTGGCTGCTCCCAGACTTCGGAATTCCCTCCCTAGAGAAGTTCGGCTGGCTTCCTCCTTGCTGTCCTTCTGCCAACAGGTGAAGACTTTCTTTCGACTGCTTTTAATTCTTTTAATTAAAGGGCTGGTGCTGTGCTGTTTCTATTGTAATTATTGGTATGTTTTAAACAGATTTTATATATGATTTTAATTCTATCAATGTTTAATTGTATTTTAATGATTTAGCCTTCTAAGTTTTTAGTGGTTCTTGTTTTTATCTGTAAACTGCCTTGTGTCTCATGGGGGGGGGGGAAAGCGGGGTATAAATAAATATATAATGAGGATGAAGATGGTGATAAATTTGTCCTACTTTGTCTATAGCATCTCTTTCATCAACCACATGTTCGTAAAGATCTTGATGCGGCATTCTATCAGCTACCATAGAGATAGAAAATACAGAGATAAGATGCAAAATTCCACAGGGCTTTTCCAGACTTTGTGGCAGTCTAACAGCATAATGCAATTGTTGGGAGAGTACAATTATTTTCGTCTACTAATAATCAAATGTATATTATTAGCAAGAGTAAATTCCCATAAGCATTAAGAGTAGACCTGTCATAAAGATGTCTGTGGACCACCTCTGGAGGTTCTCAAGACCTTCTTCAAAGGCATCTCTAATTTATTAGGAAGTTACTGTTTATTATAAATTTATTTCAAAAATCAATAGCATTTTTCATCTAACCATATAATGAGTTAAGTAAAGCATTCTATACATCAGTCCTGAGAAACATACCACAAATGTTAAAAAATATAATAACAATCCCTGTTAGGATATGTTCATGTTACCACTCACTTCGTATCCAGTTTTCGAATCAGATTGAAACTGCTTCAAGAAAACACAAGCCAAAGAGCAATATTTGTCAAGAAACCACAAAATCAATATGGATCATGGCCAATGTTGTATGAAGGTGGCTTTAAAAATTAGCAGTGAGGGCAGACTGGATGAGAAGTAAGCAGTTACCGGTATATGAAAAGACTCTAAATCTGCTCCAGCAGAGCAATCTCCTGCCCACAACAGAGCCACTCCTTGGGAAACCTGATTACTTTATATAAATTAATATTGTTTTTCGTGAATTTTAATATATAGTGTCATGCTTCCTTGTTAGCTGCCTTTGATTTTTATCCTGAAAGACTATAAAAATAACCACTAGTAGCAATAATTAAGAATGATAATATTTGGGTGTCCCAAAGGTTAGTTTGTGGTGCAAAAGTAGCTAAATATAAACTTATTTAGTTTCCTTATTCGATTTGTTCTCTATTTAATTGTATGTTTATTATCACATATAAGCATGTTATCTGTATAATGCAGAGGTAAAATGTGTCTCTTCTCATATATTTTTGGACACCTGACTCCCATCAGCCCCAACCAGCATGTCCAATGGTTAGGGGAGGTGGGTGTTGCAGTCTGCCAACATCTGGATGGTCACAGGTTCCCCCCGCCTGGTTTGAGGTATGTTTTATTCTTGGTCATGGGACATGATGGTAAGACACCTTGTTGATGACAATCTTTTGGTGGTGTGGATGCTATAACATGGTGTGGCCCAAATCTAGCATACTTCCAATCTATTTCTGATTAATTCCTGGTAAGATTTCTGGGGTCCCATTTTGTACTAGGGTCCCATTTTGCACTAGGACAAATATTTTGCTAAGGTACCTCACAGAAGGCAGGTTCCCCTGATAACATGGACATATGATTTTGAATAGCCTTAAGTGTAAACATTAAAGGTACCCCTGCCCATCAGGGCCAGTCGTGACCGACTCTAGGGTTGCTCATCTCGGTCAAGAGGCCGGGGGCCAGCGCTGTCCGAAGACACTTCCGGGTCACGTGACCAGCGTGACTAAGCTTCATCTGGCGAGCCAGCACCAGCGCCGCACACGGAAACGCCGTTTACCTTCCCGCTAGAAAGCGGTCCCTGTTTATTTACTTGCACTTAGGGGTGCTTTCCAACTGCTAGGTAGGCAGGAGCTGGGAGCTCACCCCGCCGCAGGGATTCGAACCGCCGACCTTTTGCTCGGCAGGTCCTTGGCTCTGTGGTTTAACCCACCGCGCCACCCGCGTCCCAATGCGTAAACATTACTTTGCTTTAAATCCCCATTTGTTTTATTCTGACTGCGGAAGGATCTCTGAAGTAGAGTGAATTCAGATCTGCAGAAAGGGAAATGGGCCAATTCCAACCTGCAGTTCCAGGAACTAGTTTTTAAAATTTCTTTCTTAATTTTCATAAAATCTATATACTGCTCCATCAAACAAACAAAAAACCTTGAAGTGTTTTACAAAAAAAGGATCAAGAATTAAAATCAGTGCTTTTTTTCTTAAAAAAAATATTTAGGGGTACTCTCATTTTCCTACTTGTATTGAAATACTGCCCCTCCATGAGGCCAAATTTAGATTCACAAAATGTTTAGGGGTATGCGTACCCTTGCATCCCCCCAGGAAAAAAAACAGATTAAAATTATCACAAAAATATTACAAACTTATTTAAAAACATACAAAAAGTTTAAACCACACTAGAATAAACTAAAACGAATTAAAGCTCCTACAAATGTTCTGAACGTGTGGGTAGGCTTATCTCCCCGCCGCAAATAATATTGTGAAATCGCTTGCTTGACATCAATAGGCAGGGAGTTCAGTTAGCTTAGCACGGTCAGGAAAAATCAGAGCAAGGTTTTTTGTGTGTGCTTTTGGACACGTGCTGCACTGAGGCAGAAGCGACCCGGCTTTTTCTGCTGCCTTCCCAGACTCGGTTCGAGGTCCTCTCTGCAAAGACTTGGGAAGCAGGGACGGGAGGGGGCAAAGGAAAAGGAAAAGCATATACAGTATATATATAT